ATATCGACGATGTGTTCGTTGCATATACTATTGACCTGTTATCTGGAGTTTGTTTGTGGGTGACGGTGAGCTGCAGCGGGGGGGGGGATGGATGGCATCCTGGAGCTTTGCCCCATTCCAGCCAGCTGTCTCCGTGAGGGTTGCAGCGAGGGGTATGTCACTCCGTCGTGGAGGGCATAGACGACTTTCCTCTTTCAACACGGGCGGAACGTCACTACGATCTGCTCAAGTTTTTGAGCATCGAGATGGTCAAGGGCGTTTGATGGGAAGATAAAAGGAAAGCATGCGATGTCTGACGTTTTGAAGACGACGCTGACGTTGATGGAGTTCTCTAGGACCATATGGCAAGACTTTGGATGGGACTGGGCAGTGTTTAAGAGGAGACACTAGGAAGAGGGATACGGGAACTTCAAGGGATGAGATGAGATGAGATGGGCCGAATTGGATGGAGAAAAATATTGAGCAAGTACTCTTTCTGCATTGGCACACCTTGAAGCAAGGGAACTCGGAAGGACAAGTACATCGAGGCGATGCAAGTTTATCGGAGTCTCTCGGTGCGCGGTGCGCGGTGCGGCAGTCGAGGGAAATGAACCCGCTTATTTCTCCCTTGGGCACCACCCGGCAAGGCCCCTTCAGGTGATCGTGGGTACTTTTAAGTACGTCTCCACCTTTCAAAGGCGCATGAGACCGGGACCCCCTAACCCGGCCAAAGATACCGGCACGTTAAGCACGACAAGACCACACTGCACACTGGCGACTTGCACAGGAACTTGGCACCCACCACCCACGCACTCAACAAGGGACGGATAGCTGAGGCAGGGAGACGGGCAATCATACTGGCAAAGCGCACTAGAGACTGCTAGTAGCAACGGTCGCTAGACTTATCGGATCCGAACGGTCAATCCCAACGTCCGTCCGTCCTTTCCTTGTCCCGCCCCGGCACACGATCGCCAGAATGGGAACGGCGACAGGGCCTTTTGCCAGGTTATCGAGAGAGGTTGCAGCAATGGCCTGCTGGAACGGGTCTCGAGTGCCGCCCGACATGTGAGTTGTTATCGGCCCCTTGAAGAATACGCATAGCTCATATCTGACTCCCGCGTCTTCTATCAGTCTATCTACAGCACCATCCGGCGGTTGGCATTAATATTGGATTGCCAAGGCATTCCTCGCTTCTTCTTCAACTCGATATTCAACAAGTCTTATCATTCAAATTCGAGCCTACCCTGAGGCTGAATTCGAGGACCAAGCCCAAGGTGCTGACAAGCGTCAAAGCCGGGGAAATGTCTCGGAGGCGGGTGCTCAGTCTTGACGTTTGCCACGAGCTGGACGCATGTTCGAGCGAAGCATCTGCGAACACCCCGGACAACCCAGCTCGCGCTCATCATCCTCCTTCTCAACGTCAAATCGGAGCCCATCCTGCCGAGGGGAATACGCCCTCCCTCACGGTCATTGCCCTCCAAAACTCCAAAAAGCTAGGACTGGCCTGCCCAACGGCGATAGCAACTGACCCCAAATTGCAACTCCCCGCATCCTGATGGCAACCACACCACAACCCCCAAATCCAATCAGACGCCGACATCACCGGGCGCCATGTGACGCAAGATTGCATCTGGCAAGGGCGAATGCTCATCTTTCAGACTGGCTCGTCACTTTTCCAAGAGACGCGAGAGTTGACCGCTTGCTATCTCGCGTGACTCGCTCCCTTCGCTGGTCCTCTCAGGCCGTCTCTTACCCTCTCTGGCACCTCTAGCTCGCTGCTCTGCCCTGATTTTCCATCGAGAATCGAGTATCGATGCCCCCCTGGCCTCCTCACTTGGGAATACCACCTGCCAGCTAATCAGTGTTGCGCAGCCCTTCAGGAGACACGGACAAATCATCACGTCACAACCATCGGCATACTTTCCCCTTCTCGTAGGACCGGCATTATGATGGCCAGGTACCCGTCCTGTTTGTTAGTCAGAAGGTCGGCTAGCTCCCAGGAGAGCTCCAAAGAGCATGGAGGGGAAGACGATGTCCACGAGCCACGAGCTCTCCGAGGCGAGCCATAAAAGAGCGGGTGATACGCCATGTTTGCCCGCAGATCTCGAGCTTGGGAGCCCGAGTTCACAGACTGATTGCCCACGATGCCTCGCCACTCTCGTTTTGGCCTCGAGATGCCCAGACGTTCGTTCTTCGCCGTCTTTGCTTTGATTTCGTTTGTGCTGCTCGTCACCATCAGCCTCTCCCAGCTTGGAACTCGACAAGGCTCCACCCTCAAGTTTGAACGCAATGCCGACGGAGAGTGGCATGCTAAACCTAAGACGCGTGCCGCGGCGGGCGACAAGTACCTCCTCGGTGTTGGCAAGGCTGACATTACCGGCCCTGTCGTCGAGATTGGCTTTGCAGGCTACGCTGATCTGAGTCAAGTCGGAACCGGGTTGAGACAGCGGATCTACAGTCGCGCTTTCATTGTCGGCGATGTGAGCAAGCCGAGCGATCGGTTTGTCTATCTTGTGCTAGATACCCAGAGCGGTGATACAGCTGTTCGCAAGGGCATTCTCGAGGGTGTTGCAGCTCTTGGTTCGGGATACTCTGTGTACAACAAGAACAATGTTGCCGTTACGGGCACCCATAGCCATGCTGGCCCCGGAGCTTGGTTCAACTACCTTCTGCCGCAGGTCACTAGCTTGGGTTTCGACAAGCAGAGCTACCAGGCCATTGTTGACGGTGCGGTCCTCTCCATCAAGAGGGCGCACGAGTCTCTACAAGAGGTACGATGGTTGTCTTCGCGAGATGGGCCTTTTGACTAACACTCCCAGGGATACCTCGACGTCGGAACCACCGAGGTCACTGACGGCGCCATCAACCGCAGTCTATACGCCTATCTCAACAATCCCGCGGCAGAGAGGGCCAAGTACAGCGCCACCACCGACACAACCCTGACTCTTCTCCGCTTCCAGCGCGCCTCCGATGGCAAAAACATGGGCGTCCTCACCTGGTACCCAACCCACGGCACGTCGATCCTCCAAAATAGCACGCACGTAGCGGGCGACAACAAGGGAGTCGCGGCGTATCTTCTTGAGAAGGACCTTGCAAGTGACGCGAGCGCTGCGCCGGGCTTTGTGGCCGGCTTCAGCCAAGCGAATGTTGGTGATACCACGCCTAATGTACTCGGCGCCTACTGCGATGATGGTTCCGGCCAGCAGTGTAGTCTGGAGAACAGCACCTGTGCCGACGGCAAGAGTCAGTCGTGCCATGGAAGAGGCCCTGCGTTCCAGAAGTTGGATCTGGGTATTTCGAGCTGCTACGAGATTGGGCGTCGGCAGTTTGCCGGTGCCAAGTCTGTCTATGTAAGTTATGATATGCCCGATCCGGGGATCCAACATGGCTAATTCTCCTTGGTAGAATGCTCTTGCTACGACTTCCACTCCTGTTACTGGCACCAGTGTCAAGTCCTTCCACTTCTTCCAAGACATGTCCTACTTCAAGTTTCCCCTTGCAGACGGCACCACCGGCCAGACCTGCCCCGCCGCCCTCGGCTACTCCTTCGCCGCGGGAACCTCGGACGGCCCCGGCGCCTTTGACTTCACCCAAGCCGACTCTGGCACTCCCGATGCCAACCCTCTTTGGGCGGTCGTCTCCGGTCTTCTGAGGACGCCCAGCGCCGAGCAGGCTGCGTGCCAACAGCCGAAGCCTGTGTTGCTGGACGTTGGCGAGATGAGCACTCCATATGCTTGGAGTCCCAACATTGTAGACATTCAGATGCTGCGTGTTGGACAATTGGTCATCGTCGTTGCTCCTGGTGAGGCCACGACGATGAGCGGGCGGAGATGGAAGGCTGCTATCAAGGAGGCTGCGAAGAGCATTGTTCCTAATGATCCTCTTGTTGTCCTTGGTGGCCCTGCCAACACATATGCTGTAAGTTTTGCAAAGCGTTTACTTCGTGTTGCCAGTCACTGACAGTTCCCAGCACTACATTGCCACCCCCGAAGAGTACGCCATCCAACGCTACGAGGGCGCATCAACCCTCTTCGGACCCAACACTCTCCCAGCCTACATCAACCTCACCGTCTCCAACATCGCCTACCTCTCCCCCTCCTCCACATCTACCCCCGCAGCAGGCCCCTCGCCCCCAGACAGCCGCGCCAACTCCCTCTCCTTCATCACCGGCGTCGTCGTAGACGGCGCGCCAGCAGGCCGCTCCTTCGGACAGGCCATCGGCCAGCCGTTGGCGTCGTATACCCGCGGCGCGGTAGTCAACGCCACATTTCAAGCTGCGAACCCGCGGAACAACCTGCGTCTCGAGGGGACGTATGCCGCGGTGGAGCAGCTGCAGAGCGGGAAATGGGTGCAGATTCGGACCGACGCGGATTGGTTCCTCGTGTACACTTGGACGAGGACGAATTTCTTGCTAGGGTACAGTGAGGTTGTGATTAGCTGGGAGACTGGGACGAGTGATGGGGCTGGGCCGGGGACGTATCGGATCAAGTATTATGGTGATTCGAAGCCGTTGATTGGGAGTATCTCGGCTTTTGAGGGGACGAGTGGGAATTTCACCTTGGTTTAGGGGAGGGGAAGAGGGGTTGGTGATGATTATGGATTATGAGGATTGGATTTCGTAGTGATGAATCGTAATGTCTTTTTTCTCATGGATGCCTACTGCCTTTGTTTCTTCCAAGTTGAAGCCATCTCTTTCCAACACTCGTTGGACAGCCCGCTCATCTTGCGCAAGGAGGCAGTCACGTTCGAGTACGTACTTCATCATACATCCAGCAGGCGGCCTATCATCAACCCGGCCTGCCTGTAGTTGAAACCACGAAGGCTCCTCTGCGGATACATAAGTAAGCATCCCTCACCCCGTCGCTCGATTTGTTCCAATCCGCTGCACTCTCCATCAGCATGCACCTCACAGCCTGATTGTAAACGTTGTTCTGGTGAGTCCCCTGCCAGCGTCCCGTTTCTTTGAGACTGTACTGACGACAAATTAGGCACTGAATCATTCTGAATCCAGGCGGTCAAAAATGGACTCCGGCGAGGCTGAAGAGTTTGACTCTTCGATAAATGACCGCCTCTGCGATGTGTGCTGGGAGAATATTGTTCTCGATGATAGCGGCGAGGAGTTTTACGAGGGCACGAGCTGCAACGATGAGCCTACCCTCCGACATTCAGGGGAGGGAGACGATGGAATATTCTTGGAGCCCATTCGCTTTTGGCGAGACACATTGCCCGACTTGCCCATGATGGCTGAATCTTCTGCTGCTGGGTGCCGTATGTGTGGATTCCTCCGGGAAGCGCTATACAACAAAAAATATTCCACGCTGGCGACATCTATATCGATGCGGAATATTTGTTTGGCGGAAAAGGATATAGGTATGAGATCTTCGACACAGATCCCGGCTGGGCTTTGTGGAGATGCGAGGTCTACGCGGTCGAACCAGCGATCCACGGTTTGGACAAGCGCATTGGAGCTCTTTATTTTGACATTGAGTCTAGCAACAGTGCGTTCATCAACTTTCCTGCTGTGAATGGACTCTGACATCCATGTGAAAGGATATTTGCTTCAATGGCCAAGGGTGCACCGGAAAACCGCTCCCGAACCATTGGACCCGGCCAGTGTTGAATGGCTCCAGTTACAGCTCCGGGGATGCAACGATGATTGCGACCATGGAAAGCCAGAATCGCCATTCTTGCCCACCAGACTGATCCATGTGGGTCAGAATGAGGACGACCTCCCTCGACTCGTCATCGTTGAAAACATGCTCAACTCATGTACGATCAATGGTCTGGAGTATGCGGCACTGACTTATTGCTGGGGATCCAAAGAAGAAGCTCTCAAGCAGGCCAAAACTATAAAAGACACGATTTCGACCCACTGCCAAGGGGTGCCGCTTAGCTCCTTGAGTCCTGTCGTACGGGACACCATCAAGGTTTGCAGGGCGCTCGGTATCTTGTACCTGTGGGTTGATACTTTCTGTATCATTCAAGGAGACAATGTAGACTGGGACCGAGAGAGTCGGATGATGGGCCAGATCTATTCCTCTTGCTACGTGACCATCTGTCCTCTCTCTTCACGGTCTTGTCTCCAAGGCTATCTCGGACCACGACCGCAGGGCCTTGAAGTTGAATTTCAATCATCGCGCCATGAGTATATTAGGGAGACCTACAGACTTGTCTTTTCTTCCATAGACATCGACGCAGACCCACGGTGGGCGGTTGATAGAAGGCCAGCACAAAGAAAAGATCTCGACAAATCCTCTTGGAATAAGAGGGGCTGGACTTTCCAGGAGAGTATTCTTTCACCTCACATGATCTGTTTCGGGCCCAACATGAGCCATTTTGTCTGCGAGAACCTAATAAAATCCGAGAACGGATATATTGACCGCAAGGTGGAGCATGGCAAACTGCAAGTCATAATACGGAGAGCTCTTGGAAGACCTTATAACGAGTCGGATCGCTCAGTGAATAGCATGGCAAGTGTGTACGAGCACTGGGATTCTGTGCGCGTGATCCAGAGAAGGGTTTGGACATATCGCGAAGACATCTTCCCCGGGCTTGCTGGTATCGCTCAGGCATTTGCAGCAATTACTGGCGACACGTATCTCGCAGGCTTGTGGGAACATTGCCTACACCATGAGCTGATTTGGTACATGCCACGACCGCCAGTCGGTGACTTGGCCTCCCTTTTGCACAGCTTGCAGCACGCGGATCCGTATATCGCGCCATCATGGAGCTGGGCTTCGCAGACAACGTACCAAGAGGACGTGGTTGGGTGGTATTTCCGAATGCCAGGTTCAGATGAAAAGAGGGTGGTGAAACAAGGGGGGTCATTCGTCACATGTTCCCCAGAAACGCCTTGTCACGTCAGGCCCGACTTTGCCCTGATAGACTACAGCATGGATCTCCGAGGCAGCAACGTCTTCGGGGCTCTTACTAGCGGCTTCCTTCGATTAAAGGGTAGGGCGTGTCCGTTTCCTTCGGATGTCAGAAGGGAGGCCTGTGACCCCCACTTTGGCTTTTGTCAATTGTTCGGGCAGTTTTCAGGCGGGATCGGGACTTGCATGCTCGATTGGGGGGCCAGCGAAACCTTGATACAAGCGCCAGAGAGTATGCAATTGTTCTTGGTATAGAGCTGCTGCTCGGCAACATCGAACTGGGGAAACTTGAGATATAAGGCGAATTGCAACGAAGAAGAGATTGATGACTGGATACCGAGTGATGCGGAGGTTGGCGGCATGTCGTTTCCCAATGGCTATGAGGACATTGAGACGTGCCGGTACTGCGCGGATCCGACGCACAAACGTACCGGATATGGTCTTGTGATTCATCCTGCGGAAGAGCCTGGATCGTACGTGAGAGTTGGAGGTTTTGTAATGTTTGCACATAAGGGGGGTATGGATCTGTTCAAGAATGAGGCGGAGGAGATTAAACTCATTTAGGTAGCTTTACCTCCATCTTCATCTGTTCTGGAACGCGCTGTCAAGGCATTGCTGCCACGCTGAGACTCGTAAACCTGTCTTGAACACGAGGACGTCATTGCCAGGTATCTAAGGCAAGAGCCTGGCTTCGTTGCTAGAAGATGGCTCGATCTTCACACATTCTCAAAGAATACTGATGAGGTGACGTTGGAGTCTACGCGGTTACTTTAGTGCTATTTCTAGGACGTTCAGTTTATTCTATTTCTTTGCCACGAAACTGGAGTTACTGAAAGTCTTGAGCAATTTGACAGATGGTCACCCAAAGGTTCGATCTCAGATTCGATGCATCAACAATATCATGCAACCCCTTTGCGCTCAACTCATACAACATGAGTTCCTTCTGGGGGGCTTGAGCAACTGACATAGTTGTTGAAGATCTAGATATTTGACCTAGGTAGTTACTGCAAGAGTCTTGGTGGTGTATGCGAATGGATTTATAATTCTCTGCTTCTGCTTGGCACACGCACTCAACCTCTCTTTCGCTCTCCCGCGGTTCCTCCCTCTCATCTCTTGAGCACTCGTACAAACGAGCATGGGAATTATTGAGAGGGAAAGCGCCATAGACTGAAACAATCATAATCCCCAGAGATGCGAGTAACCGCGTGACTTCCTAGGTTGCGTGCTTGCCTACCTCGTGAATCGTGGATCGCGCGGCACACCTGCATTCCAACCAAAGTCAGCTCTCTTCAGCTCCCCACAGCCTGCCTTGCCTGCCTAGCTAGCGTTCTTGGCTTGCAGCCCTTGTTTTGCCTGGGAAATGCTTGCTTCTTCAGAGAAAGCAGACTAGAGAATCCCCGGCGAAGACCGAGATCGGCAAATGTGCTACAAATAGGGGGCTTTGGGCCTGGTCAAAGTCAATCGCACGCGTGCTTTCCAACGTTGCAACGCTCGGAAGTTGGAACCCACTCCCGACCCCTTGTTCAGCACGTCACGTACGGGTAGACTAGAGTCTAGAAGGGCTAAAAAAGTTCCTACATCGCGAAAGCTTAACATGAAGTAGTTCTCGAAAGCGATCATTTTCGTTATCACATCTTCTGATCCGTACAAGTCCAGCAGAATGGCATGGTTGTTCGACCGCGTTTGTCTTGCAATTTCAGCCGTACTGAGGCAGCTGAAACTGCCTTGGATGTTGTTAGCTGTCTCTCGAAGGGGCTGAGTGTTGAGACAATGGAAAAAGCCCCGCGCTCGTAGAGATTGCGCAGTGACAGCCTGCCTGGTGAGTTGCACCAAAGACACAGTCTATTCGGGGGTTGCCTCGAGCTTGAAACCATCGCGGATGCATGCTAGTACTCGTTGATTCACAAAATGGGCACGCAGAGCATGCGAGCAGATTCACCAGCCGGCTGGATTCTTTGCACGTGGCGTTGAGACCCCGGCCGATTGAGACCCCGGCCGATTGAGACCGAGAATATCTGCCCCCTTGCCGTAGAAGTCAGGTTTCAGTTCCGATCAAGTCCCCTTTCGAGAAGCTACATATGACCTGAGAGCTCCCCCAGTGAATTTGCTCCTGTTTTGACGCTTTCTCTCTCCTTTTGCTGCTGTTCTTGAAACTGGCGTCGAGTTCGTCCGCCCCGGAACCCAGTCCCTGTTCAATTTCTACTTATAACCAAGGTTCAAACCTTATTTCCGCTGACAGGTCCGTCCCGGCAACAAGACAAGGCACCGGCATAATTACCGCCGAACGAACGGAAACATGCAGGCCTTCCTCGAACCCTACAGCTATCTGATCTGCAGTCTGCTGCTACTGCTCAGCAACCTCCGCCAAGCACACGCTACCTATTACCTCAACCAGGCCAACGGGTACGATTCACTGCCATCATGTGCCGAGCCGCCCATCAGTTCCATTGTGCGGGATATGGTGGCGGGGTGCGGTGACGGCGGGAGGACGACGTCGTATAGCTGTTTCTGCACGGCGAGTTCCGACAGGTTTAGGGAGATTATCGCGACGTCGGTTGCGAAGAATTGCGGGCGGTCTGGGGCCGAGGTTGAGAGTGCGACGAGCGTGTTTGATGCGTATTGTCAAATGGAGAAGACTGACAAAGTCACTACTTGTGAGAATTCCTCGGAGTCGAACCCTTGGTCTGGTGGATACGCATGCTGATGTGATGATGTTTAAGCTGCGATTGAAGTGACATCAGCATCCGCAACTGCAACGGCATCTGCGGCGGATACCGTGTCTGCCTCACCAGTAAGCTCTGGTAGTCTCACGAGCATCGCATCGCCGACGTCGTCCTCGTCACCGGCTTTTCCGAGTTCCGGTAGCTCTGGCATATCTACCGGAGCGATCGTTGCCGTGAGCGCCTGCACTTCTCTTGTGGCTATCGCGTTGTGTGCCGCGGCCTTCTTTCTGTGGCGTCGACGACAACAGAAATCTTTGCGGGCGGGCCGGGATGCACAGGGCCATGTTTATGAAGTCAAATCTCAAGGCGACAACCCTCCAGGTGAATTGGATGGGAGCCGGGAAGTCTCCCATGGCGCGGGAGAGTACTATGCAAAGCCGGAGTTGGAAGCGAGGAGTACTGTGAGGGAGATGCATGTTGAGCCAAAAACTAGGAGGCATGGGTTGGCTGAGCTGCAGTGATTCTCGTGTGTTAGTATTGTTCGAATAAGTAAACGACGCACGAGTGAATACGGACATGGCGATTCTGTATGGGTTTTTTGAGATTCAGTGAATAGACTCGAGCGAAAATCACGTGAGGTGTTGTGAAATCACTTGAAATATGGAGTTTGACGCAGCTAGGTTAGGATCGAATCCACATGCATTTACTTTGAAGCATTATTACATTATTAGACAGGCTACTCTACAATCACTTCGAGGTGATTAGACGGCGAATCCACCGGAGCTCTTCTGTCTCGGCTCGCCAGCTGCCTCGAACGTGCCGTTGGGCAGCAGCCTCACACCCTGCGCCGTGCTACCGCCAGGCGCAACCCAGGTAACGGTCGTGCCCAAGCTCGCAAGGTAGCTCGTGGTGCCGTTATCGTAAGCGTACTCAAAAGCAGCCGTGTTGGGGCTCAGCTGGTCGTGGAAACGAGGCTCGGCGAGGGCCTGCGCCGCGGTCAGGTTTCTGTCGAGGACGTTGTGGAGGTTCTGGATCGTGGCGGTGATGATGCGGCTGCCACCGGCTGAGCCGATGACGAAGTAGAGCTTGCCGTCGGGGTGCTCGACAATGACGGGGGAGATGGAGGAGAGGGGTCGCTTGCCGGGACGGACGTAGTTGGCCGGGCTGGGGATGAAGCCGAAGGCGTTGCTGGAGCCAGGGATGCTGAAGTCGTTCATCTCGTCATTCATGATGACGCCCGTCTCGGGGACCATGAGTTGGGATCCGAAGAGGAGGTTGACGGTCGTGGTGAGGGAGACGGCCATGCCGCTGGCGTCAGCGACGGCGATGTGTGAGGTTCCCGGAGTCTCGAGGGACTCAATGCCATCTGGGTTGTAGTAGGACACGTTCTGGGTGCTGAAGTCGGAGATCTTGGACCGGATTTCGGCGCCGGCCTCGGGAGAGATCATGCTCTTGGTGTAGGCCGAGAGACCGTCGACAAAGGACGGGTCACCGAGCTTTGTGCGCTGGCCGTAGGCAAAGCGCATGGACTCATCCAGTCTGTGGACGGTGCTGTTCCGCTGGGCCGGGTCGCCGAACCCTTCGTACCCGCTGACAATGTTGAGGGCGCTGAGGGCGACGATACCGCCGGAGGGGGCGTTGCAGGCTGTGAGCTTGTAGCCCCTGTACGAGATCTGCGCGGGCTCTCTGATGGCGACGGTGTAGTTCTTCAGGTCAGCCATAGTCATGGTGCCGTTAGACTTTGTCAGGGCGGCGATGGTCGCATTGGCGATGGCGCCGGTGTAGAAGGCATCGGCGCCCTCCTTGGCGATGACCTCGAGGGTGTCAGCGTAGCGCTTGCGCGTGATGGTCTCGTTGAGCTTGAGGCGGGTGCCGTGCGGCGCGAAGTCGATGGCCCATGACGGGTCGTCGGTCAGGAAGTTGCCGTTGGGAGTGACGGAGTTCATGTAGCGGACCAAGTCCTCGTTGACGCGCCATCCATAGCGGGCGACCTTGATCGCGGGCTCGACGACCTTTGACCAAGGCAGCTTGCCGTACTTCTTGTGCAGATGCTCCAGGCCGCGGAGCTCACCAGGGACACCGCTGGGAAATTTGTTTTGTCAGTCTTGGTGTAACTTGTTTGCGCTGGCGCAATCATTTACGAAGGGGAAATAGCTTACCTGGCGAGACCTCCGTACAGGCTGGCCCTCGTGTTGTTCGTGTACATGTCCTCAAAAGCAGCGGCCGGGGCCGTCTCTCTGAAGTCAATGAACTCGTAGGTGCCATTGCTCGACCTCACGAGCATGAAACCGCCGCCACCGATGCCGCTGTGGTACATGCCAACGACACCGACGCAGAGGACGGTGCCGACCGTCGCGTCGGCGGCATTTCCGCCCTTCTTGAGGAGCTCGGTGCCGATCCTACTGCAGATGTCGGACTCTGAGGCGACGGCGCCCAGCTTCGGGATCGTGCTGTGGCTCGGGGCTGCGAGCGTGGGCTGGACGGTGATGCCGAACAAGAGCTGCACGAGGGCAGCGGACGTCAGGGAGAACTTCATGATGAGCCGGCTGGGGAGGTTGAACAAGCTTCACAAGGCGTCTTGTCTACTTCACAGCTCGTCGAGAAGGGACAGCACGATGTACCTAGTGATCCTAAGGGAAAGCAAGCGGCAGTAATGGAACCGGAGACGGCCTGGCAGAACCAAGAGAAGCAGGAAACCAACAAGTCAGTCACGAGCAGAGGCTGCCAATCTTTAATATGAAGGGGAGGCTTCACGCTCTATTGCGCAATCGAGCAGGCTCACCGATTTCGCCCACAAACCAAGGAGATTATGGACTTGACAGGTTGGGGGGAAACGTGGAAAAGGTTCATAGCTTCATTTCGGCAGCCTGCAGATCACCAACGGCGGCCGCTGTACCCTGTCGCAATCGTTGGTAATGTCAGATGTGCCCCGTTTCCGTAGATAGGAAAACCGATTGCGGAACTGAAAGATGTTCTGTCAAATTGTCCCACGTTCAACCTAGCTTCCCCGCGTGTGTGCCTGTCCGCCTCGCCGTTCAGCAGCAGGGCCCGGCCCGGTTCGTGACGTCGAGCTTCGATGTTCGGTGAGCTATTACTGCAGAGCAACTCTGGACTCTGTACCTAGCCACTAGTGCGGGCAGTCGGCAGGAAACCTGCATGGAAGCCAACATGGAGCCAAGAAACAGCGAGTCAAGTGGGTGGGTGGCTGGGATTCGGCGTGTAAACCGTAAGCCAGAACTATCAGATCCACGTCTTCATTGGTTGTCTGAGGGGGAAGACCGAGAGGGAAATATTTTGGAGAAATATCGAGCGAAATGACGGGAGGAGTCCACTCCGCAAACAATCGGGCGGGGTTCACCTGAATTCTCCTGCCTATTCCGGATAGCTCGCGGCGACCCCGATACCGCCGGGGGAGGCATCCCCGGTTCACCATGGGTCCGATGGGACAGGTACGCGGCGCGCCAAGATAACAAAGCTTGCAATCTATCATCGCTTGAGCTGTCAGGTTGTTGATAGAACGCGCGGTTCCATAGATAAACTTACTATATTTCGATTATTGTCATGTCCCTGACTCTAGTAACTATCTATAACTGCACTTATCTATATGGTTCTCACACTACTTACCTATGCGTACTCACCTCTCTAGCAAATGCCCTTCGATAATAGTCATTGCTAATGAACACTTGGACGCCCCATTAACCTCACAGCTCGAGCTTTTTGAGATTGAGTTTGGATGTTTCCATCACTATAACAGTAATATAAGCTAGATTTAACTCAATCTGAACCATGGGTTACCGCCATCACTGCTTGCAATCGCGATACCGACATAGGTGGACGGACTCCACAGGAGCCCCGAGAAACTCGCATTTGAACGTTATTGCCTGGAATCGAGCAATTCAGCCGCACGTGTGTAACGTGTAACGCAACGACGCGGCTGCAATTGTAAAGTTGTCTCTAAACGTTCTGGTAAGTAATAGCTCTGCAACCAGACTTTAGTGACGCGCGCCTCTGACTGGTCGATCGATCCATTACGCATTACGCACTCGGACTACAAATTCACATCCCAGCACGCCGTAGTTCTACCTGAAATACCCCGAACTTGAGATGGTGACAGGGTAATTATGCTCACCCAAACCGAGACAACGCCCACTTGGCGTGGTACAAAGGAGGCCCCCGAGTTGCCCTGAATGAATAGGTTGGGAAACCTGAAGGGCCCCTGACTTTTGGATTAGCATGACGATCAGCTGGGGAGTTAAGGTTAGGTCTGCAAATTAATTGCCTGGCAGCGGGGCCCGTTTGGAAGCTGTTGGCTAACACAAATTTTTTGAGTGTCTTCCATTTAGATTTCTCCATTTCGGAGGAAATGATGTTTGCTGCGTTTCTCTCATTACAAGCGTCCGTCAAAGGACTGTAGTCTGTAGATATCCCATGTTGAATGTAGCATAAATCCGACTCTCGAGCCTTGACCGATGTCCCAACAATATCTTCAGGCCTTGACACATTCAACAACTTGCAGTCTCTTATCTGCCCCATGAACTTTCACCATTCGCAGACCCGCACGGGTGATGATCTCGCCGAAAGCCTTTGCCGTCCTCTCCTTGCCAGCAATGTTCAACATTGTAAAGTCTAGCATGCATTCAGAAATCGGAGGCGGATTGGGTATGACGTTGTCGGCAATAAGAAGCCTGCTATCAGATGCCATGGCCTCAGCAATGTGTGTCAGGATATTGACACAGGTCTCATCGCCGTAGTTGTGTAGACATCGACGGATCCAATACACCAAGGCGTCTGCAAAAAGCAGTAAGTCAAAGTTTCTGTGGGCTTGGACAGGGTGATTGAGTACTGACGCTTGATAGGTTGCTTCGTATGGAAGTCATGGGTTTGTAACTTGACGCCCTTAAGCCCCTGGTCATCCATTGCAACAACAGCATTGAGCACGTCCTCTCTATCTTCGAGCACGACGCGTTCCATTGGGATGAATGAGTTTTCCTGTAGTATGGCTTTGGTGACGTGGCCATTTCCGGCGCCGACGTCCACAAGTACTGCCCGTTGATCGTCCATGTTTCGGATTTTCTCCTTGATCCAAACAAAGTCGTACGAGCCGGTGAACGGTGCCGCATACTGGGCCATTTTCATGGCTTTCTGGAATTGGTCCCTTCTTCTGGGTTCTTGGTAGTAGACTTCGTACGCAGTCATCTCCGGCTGGCCAAATCCAAAAGCGAGTGGTGTCCGGATCTCTGAATCAGGTTCTCGGCGGCCATACTTAGCGAAGTATTCCGGCATTTTCACAGACGGCACGATGGTTTCCTCATACCTAGAGTTCTTCTTAGCACTGAAAGAACATGAATAAATCGATGTCAACGTGAACTGCTTACCAGAAGTTAAACACGACTGTGTCCGGCAAGCCTGGAAGATAACGTTTGGAGATCTCGGTATGTGCCAACTCTTCTTCTCCTACTTGTATGAATACTCCGCGAGCAATTAGATGCCATGCGAACCGTTCTAAGATGCCATTAGCTTGGGGATGCCGCGCAAAACCTAACCTTTGGCTTCCACGTACGGACCAAAGACTTGTCGGCGTTGAGCTTTTTAGAAAGTTCGTCATACGAGATGGTTCCGCTTAGAGGGACTGCTTCAAACACGTTCCAATCGATGAAAATCTTCATGGCAACGAACTCGCCGAAGCCATTGACCCGTGTAGTCCAGTCGGGCATATCAGGCCGGGCTGCGGCGATGACCCTTTCGGCAATTTGTGTAATTTTTTCATTTTTCTCAGACTGTTTCAATGGGGATTCAACAAGAGAAGACAGCCGCCCTATAAGGTCAGAAATCAGGTCAGGGGCGGAAGACATGTTGGAATGTTGATATGCTAGGAGTGAGTTAAAGAGGGTCGCGAACCTAGACATCAAAGACTGTACCTCATGCTGCTGAGTGCACACTGGCTTTATATAACCCAAGTGAGTTAATATAGAGTTCTCTGCATCTTATAAATCAACTCAATGATGGTGTGTGGCTCACGCGTCTTCGCGCTCTTCGCGGTTGTCGGCGGAAACCCCCCCCCCCCCCCCCCCGAGTCTGAAACCGATGGGCCGCAACAGATGAACTCAGTATATCACGAAGTGGGTGTACTTACTTAAATATTCATAATCTCGCCGGCTCGAAGTAGAATCTTGTCACCGAGTTGGTGGAATTTCAGGACCGACACGAATATCGCTCCGACGATGGGAACCTACGTTCTTTGCTCAGTAGTATCGACAGCGTCGACTTCAAGGACTTCCACCGCAGCCAATGAAGAGCTGCTCCGGGTATCCTCACACTCCGTAAGATTTCAGCCACATGCTCTGCTTCGATCATCAAAAGGCTCGAAGTATCTCATATTCAACACACTTGGAAGATCACCATATGGTGCGCTTAGGACCGCCAACGCCTAGAAGAAGTCCACCATGTCACGTAGAGGACTTATGATATATCGTCAATGTAATTATGGGTTGGAGCGAGTTACGGCGAAGTAAGCTTTGTACATGTATCTTGATCTCAACATTGCATCAGGTGACAAACGCCGACATAATCAAGTCGGAGAATCGACTTATTCAACCTCTGCTCTCGATGACTACGGAATGATACATGCGTGACATGCAAAGAAATGATACCATTCCGTTCACTGTGCCAGAGGCCGGACACGTCTCAAAGAGGTGGTTGCGTATGCCAAGCTCTGAGCGTAAATCGGACGAAGCATAACCCGACGTTGCCTCTCATGGAGTCCGCGGATATGCCGGGAAGGGCCTCTTCAACGAGACGTCAGAATAAGCCCGCGCTCAAAGTTGTACAAGATGAAACAGTGTATGTACTGTGATACGGCGACAGATGCTCAAATCGGAGCGTTGATTGCGTGAAGGATCAGATCAGATCAGTGAGCCGAGTAACCCCCATCGACACATATGATTTGTCCTGTGACAGTGGCACTCGCATCACTCGCCAACCATATGGCAACTCCGGCAAAATCCTCGGCCTTCCCATTACGTCCAGTCATTGTCCGCGCCGCATGTGCCTCCGCTTTCTCCGTGTCCGCAAAGACCTCTTCCGTCATCGGAGACTCCACGAGTCCCGGCGCGATGGCGTTGCACAGAACCCCGCTCGGTGACCAGGCCTCGGCCTGGGACCGCGTAAGCGACACCAAACCGCCTTTTGCTACACCATAGGCACCGCTGTTACCGAATGCGCGGAATGACTGCTGGCTGGCGAGATTGATGATGCGCCCGCTTCCGCGCTCTGCCATTCCCGGGCCGAATGCTTGTCCCAGAGCAAACGGGGCGGTGAGATTCGCGGCAATGGTGTAGTCCCAATCTCCTTGTGTTATCCGTGACAATGGCAGGCGGTTGTTGACGCCTGCTGCGTTGACGAGGATGTCTGGTATGCCGTGTGCGGACTTGATGCAAGCGCTGGCGTGGTTGAGGTCCGCCAGGTTGGCGAGGTCTGCCGTGATGGATGTCGCGGGGACGCCGAGTTGTGTGAGCTGATCGACCGTCGCTGCCAGAGGTTGTGGCCTCCGTGCGATGAGTATGACTTTTGCGCCGGCTTGACCCAGGGCGAGGGCGATTTCCTTTCCGATTCCTGAACTGCCGCCAGTGACCACGGCTGTTCTGCCCGCCAAACTGAAGAGACGGGTGAGGTAGGTCGGTAGAGTGCTGAGATTTCTCGCCATTGTCCAGAGGGTTTTTGTCTCAACCTTTGAGTAAGAAAAATATCGAAGCAATGGATTTGACAGTTAGTAAGTGAGATGGAAGGTCAGCCTTTACTTTGAGTCCCAGACGGTGTTCATGGCGGGTTCTTGAAGTGTGACTCTAAGTCAAGTGTGTGTGACTAACTGACCGTTGTAAGTCGAATCTGGGATTAGTGGTTCGAGGCGGGAGATCTCACATGCAGCTACCGGCGTTCATAAAAGACTTGGGGTAAACTAGGACGCCTGCAGCACCCAATACTTCGACTTCTTACATGGGAAAAAATCCCACGTGATGGAGATCAAATTGGGCGATAATGAGGAGTAGCGGTTTTTGATTACTTAAGCTTGCGACTGGCGAGGTTGGCTTGCATGCGCAAGTGAGAGACCGATGCAACGCACGGTGGAGGTTGGGAATGAGGTGCACAGATATTATCCTGGGCATACCCTTCACAGCAGCAACGAGAAGGGTAACTGTACCACGAGAGAGAATCGAGAACCTTATGCTGAAGAAGAAGCATCTGCGTGTTTGGTATATTTTCAGAATACCACAAAACTCTCACAGCGCAAAGGTAGTCGCTCCGTATTTCTGAGAAGCTCCAGAATCGGCGTAGTGTGGACTGTGACTTAGCGCTAGACTAGTTCAGGTGACGGTGTCCAGCGCATTGGCGGCTGTCATTTGGAAGCTAACACCGATGTTGGCCCCAGATGCGGGGGTTGGCCCAGTCGCATTAGTGCGTGGCATCTCGGTCTTTTCTATGACCTGTTGATTTCCAGACAGAGACTTTAAGCTGTGTACCGAGACTTGTCACCCGGATTCATAAGCTGTGGGAGACCTCTCTTTAGAAATTTCATCTGATGGTCTCGTTGGGACTGGAGATAGAGAGGCGTCTAGAGGAAACGGTATTGTGAGGAAGCATGCATAACCTAGGATATTACCACCATAAATGCTCAGAAGGAGTTCAAGGAGACCGCCGCAGAGAGATACAGTAGAAGAAACTGCCCGCCGGGGGGGTTCCCTGGAGGTCCCTCGACACTGGACAGAACTAGAAGACTGGCTTGGGTAAGATAGTTATATGTTTTGTCCACACGACGGCACATATAGTATCTGAACGAATAGTTTCACAAGCACGTATAATGTCTTTAATGTCTTTAATGTCATAATGGTTGTTTGGAGTTTTATTCTTGGGACTCTCATAGTGGATGGTATTATCCAAGTACTAATTCAATGTCATAATCATAAAGCGTTCATCCCTCATCAGTCATATAATCGTCAAGCGTAGTGCATTTCCATCACTTCCCACCGGAACACCGGCCCAACAACCCCAAATCTAGAACTGCGGCAGGCAGTTCAATGCGGTGTACTGGTTCTTCGGACTGGCATAGAACTGGAACGTAAACAGCCACAAGTATCCGATCGCCTTGCCAACTCTTCCACTCATCTTGTAGTAGAATCGAGGGAAGTAAGTCTGAAGACCATAGAGGAAGGCCGTTTCCATGATCATCGTAATGTAGTTCAACATCCACCACCATATCTCCACACCAACGTGACACTTGATTCCACAGATATACTCGGTGCCAGCATGGAAGGTACCACTGAGGAAGAAGATGAGTCCATTCAGAACCCAGCGCTTATTTCCCCGGAAAGGTCGCCGACCTACGCCAAGTGTAGTCAGGATAATCTCGCCCAAGCCGTTGGTGGTGCGATAGATGAGTCGGTCAAAGAATTTGCTCCAGAAACGGCGGAGGTTCCAGCCTTCGCGGATATCGCCGAAAACCGGAGGCCACTCTTCAGGTTCGTCGATATGAAGCGCTACGAAGAAGAGAGCGACGGTAGAGTGGATAAAAGTGTACCAGTAGAAGGCGCCCCAAAGACCCTCGAAGGCGAAGTAACAGCGGATAACGACCTCGCGTAAGTCGGTCTCATTTCGAATGAGACGGCGGAAATAGGAACGTTTGTAGAGGGCAATGTCATCGTGGGAAAACCAGGCGTACGTGTCCCAAAGGTACTCTTTGACATGCTCCAAGATGAAGACGAGAGTGATTTTGGCTATGGTAGCCATGATCCAGCGACTTCTTGGACTTAATGAGTTCCAGGAGCGAGCCAAAGGCTGGCTGACTTTGTTCCAGGCGTGATAGCTGAGTTGAAGGACCAAGTCCCGGGAATGATTGATCCGGTCGAACATACTTTTGTTGTTGCTTGTCATAGTCAAAGTCTTGTACAAGTCTTTATTGTCCATGGTGGCTTTCTTGGTAGCTGTCTCTCCGATTGTGGCTGTAATGGTTGCTTCTGCGAGTTGCCTCTTGCGCTCTTCCTCTGCCTTGATCAAGTGGAGGACAGGAGCCGGACGAGCAGTGTTGACAAATCGTGCGTTCCACATGAGCTTGTAGGTAGCGAGGATGCGTTGTCCCCAAGGAAGCTTCTTTTGCTCCTCTGTGACGGCGATGTTTTCCCACAGCATCATGACAGCTGCGCCCATGTTCTGGATAACGAGTACCTGAACAATTGTGATTTTGACAGCGTAAAAAACAGGCAGAACGGAAATTTGCTGGATGATAGCGGCTGCAAAAGCGAGAGATGCACCGACGAATGCGGTGCGATATCGGCCGTTGGAGTTGAAGGCGATAGCGAGGCAGGCCAAGTTGAGAAAGTAGACCAGAGCTGGGTAGAGAAGTAGGTCTGTCTGAATCAGATATCTCTGTGACCGGAGGTGGTCAAGGAAATGATCGATCAATGACTCCCATATACCGATGGGCTCGCTGTAGATGTAATCCCAGTCTGAGTCTGTCCAGTTCCATTCGGGACCGGTGTAATTCCATAGGTTTGCCAATTCCTGCAGAGTAGGTGGCATGATGTCCATCGTCGGGATGGAGTTGATCGTTGAATTGCCATCCATGGTGAAAATTTTGTTCAGTCGGTTCCGATGAGCAATGGTAGAGATGTGCTCCAAGTTTGTTGCTTGTGGCTTGACTGGTGTTGGTGATCCAGATATCTCAAGAGATGGAAGGAAAATAGGAATTAACGATGGGTTGAGGGCATGAGTGATATGTGGCCAACAGAGGATGGGAGAAAGATATTTATACAAAGGACTGAAGTCTTGCCCTCTTTCTCCGGATACAACAGGGTTTCGGCACGGTTCTTAACTCTGCATTTTGACTGGTAGGTTCCAAACCTTCCGTGTATGGCCTAAATATAAGGGTCTTTTACCGCGAGTCTTGATACCTTGCCAGACCAAGCCATCGGATATGGACTCAGGCGTAAATCCGGTAGGATTTTGGAAAGGAAGCGTAGACTTCCAACACATCAGTTTCTCTCCGACGACTCATCATCCTTTGTTGTTTTTCTGTTCACCAGATGCGACTTTCGGGCGGCAACAAGTGGAGACCTAGAAATGGACAGGAAGATACATCATCTGCATACCTGCAACAGTAATGGATTGAAATGATATAATATTATGTATGGGCAATTTGATAAATCAATACCGAATCACCACAAAATACTGCTTGCTCTCTGCACGGAATCATCCAATAACACGACACAGTCTTCCATTCTCGTGAGGAAGCCCGTCTTCAGTGACAACACTCCAAAACTCACTACCGACCGCAGTAGCAGCATAGAAGACATCTTCAGGGTCCCACTTGCGTTTCAGTTCCAGCAGACAAGGGTACTTGCTGTTGCCGTAGAACGACTGTTGGAAATTCGGCTCCATCCTGTCCGACTCAGCGAGGTATGAGCCGGCACCTGGAGAAACATCTCTCCACCGCTGCATATCTCCGAAAGTAAAACCTTTGCGGGCTTCTAAAATCTCTTCCGCCGTTGCGTTCACAGACCACCTGACTGACTGGAGAGCGAACAAGATGTTCTCGCGCCAAGCTGGGTTGACTGCGTTGTCTGGGCCATCAGGGCTGATGGCTTTGATATTGAACCCAACAAAGACATGATTCGTCTCGAGGGATGTGCGGATAGCCTCAAAGGTGGCCTCCACAGCTCCTCAATTTCGAAATTCTTGCGGGGAAAGAGATGGGACCCGCTTTGAACGTTAACCTTTTCCACCACCTCGAGAGGGAAAAAGTCTTTCCAGGCAGGGTAAAAGCTGTCATATTCTGTGATGTTAGGGTCAAAACTAATCCCGAGACCGTGGAGCTTGCTGAACCATGGGTCCAGCAAGGTGGTCACCTCTTCGGCTGTCTTGTTGGGCGCGAAGAAGGGGGTCATCTGGAAGAGAAAATTTCCAGGGCTTGGGTTATTGTGTAACAAGAGGAAGTACGAGTAAGTTCCATTGTCCGCATTGTGAATGAATGAGTCAAAGTAGCTGCGTACGCCACTCCAAAACGTCTCGTTTGATATACCGTCCGCCGTAGAGAATTTGAACGCCGAGGCAGTTGTAGGGACATCCGGAAGGCCTTGACTGTGACCGAAATTGCTACACCAAATGTTGAGCCGCCGCCACCTCGAAGTGCCCAGAAAAGATCAGCATTCTGGCTGTGGTCAGCAGTCACAAGCTCCTCCATCCGCTGTCACAACTTCGAAGGCCAGGGCTTGATCTGCCCCAGTGCCGTATATCGAACTCAGAGGAGAGTGACCGCCGCCCTGGATGTATCCTCCCATGACTCCAACAGTCTAGAAAAAGTTAGTTTGGATACCCTTCAGGATTCTCCTGGTCAATGTACCTGTCCTTCGCCACCTACGACTCTACCGTACTCAGACGCCACCTTGTAGATTTCGAAAGCTTGAACACCAGTGCCACATTTGAAAGCAGGACAGAGTATCCCTCAGTATCGTCTGTGACATCCTCGATGTATTCGATGCTTTTCAGGTGGTGTGTCCAAATACTTAGCGACTCTCCACCACCTGACTTACCCGAGAAGTCGTGTCCCGTGTTCTTGACTACTAGTCTCACACCCGTCCCCTTCGCGAACCTAACGCCTTCTTGCACATGCCTGGCAGAAGTGGCGTTGATCACGTACCACGGAAATCCACCCATAGTACAGTTGCCAGAGTCGTAAATGTTAGGGGACAAACAAGTGAGACCTTGATAGACGGGTGAGAACTTTTCAATGGGGTCATCAAGGTGGGTGTAAGAATTTGTCCAGTTGGCCGTCATGGTGGCGCAGGCGGCCTCATCGTACTCGGGGCCGTTGTAGCATGCTGCTGCCTGTGGTCGTGGTTTGAGGAGGCGATTTTCGACTCTTTCGTTGAGAGCCGCCCAAGCTTCGTCGGAGGGCCATGAGGAGTCACCTGGGTATACTTTGCATTGAGCTGATGCGATGTCTGCTGATGCCACGAGGGCATACAGAAGTACCGTTGACAATCTGAGAGTCATGGCCTCGGTGTTAATCAATGGAGCCGTTATGCATATATACTTTATACAGCAGATGCCAATCTCAAATTTCGCGAGAGAAGACTTGTATCATGGGGCGCGCTCCTGGAGGAAAGTTCTTGACCGTCTTTATGGATTGTTTGTGTGTCAAGTGCGGGGATTCCTAGCGTTACAATGAAGATGGCGAACCCCTTGCCGCCGTTCCCCTGCTATGTTGAGCCAAGATGGCGATCTTCGTTAGAAATAGAGGGAATTTCCGTAGCATGTCAGCGTCGTACCAGTTTCTACGCTATTGACTAACTTCAAGTCTGATTCGGCTTTGAGTCTTGACCCGTACTTAGCCTACCTGTACTCACTGACGTCTCAAAGAGGCTCGGCAATAGATGTTGAGATTTGCGTGCCAACATCGCTGGCAATAGGCTAATTTACTCATAATATGTACAGGCTTCGCATGAGTGACAAAAGACGGGCAGCCTCACGTGAACTTAGAAAGACTTGATTAAATTCTAGTTTTCTCACTCTATTCTAACCGCGATAGGTTGCCCAAACTCCAGATGGTTATAATTGCATTTACTGTGTACTGGTCGTCTGGCCTTATGATCATTGAAAGCCGAAGACCCATCGCATAACTGTTGCCAAGCCACATGTCTCCGCAAAACTGATAACTTGGAAGTGGCGGCGCATGTTTGGCGTATATTCTTTTTTGTCCTTGTATGTCCAACTTAGTCTGAACTAACAGAACTTCGTGTATCTTCGTTTTGCTATTATAACATTATTAGCTAAGATCATTTGAGCTGAGAATGGAAGTCGACACCGCACCCGTATGCAGTTCAGAAAATCAAGCAGCCCGAGCAGCGCCATTGAAATCTTGGCTCATGTTTTGGCTGTTATTTCCAATGGTGTTATTTTGACCGTAACCAGTAGCCGATGAAGATCCACTCCCGTTGTCGACTTGGTTTTGAGATCCATCCCAGGGCTGGGCTGCTTGGGTTGCAATGTTGTTCGCATTCTCATTGCCGGATCCACTTCCGTTACCGGCAAATTGTTGATTTTGAGAATCGTTCAAGGGTTGGGCCACTGGATTTCTCAGGACACCAATCCAAAGAGTGACCTCTCTCATGTAGACTGTGCCATGATTGCACATCAATGATACGTTGCCCTGCACTTGGAAACAAGGCGACATGAACACGTGCCGTGAAATATCGTCGATTTTTTGGACTTCTAGGGTGGTCAACCCTGAGACGTAGAGTCCTATTTGCCCATGCATAGGGTTCGTAGTAGGATCGGCATCCGTTATATATCCGCTAAAGGCTGCTTGTTTAAATAGAAGTCGTGCTTGGAATCGTCTACGGATCCGTTTGTATTGTCGCGGATCAATGCCGTGTAAGACTATTTCGTAGAAGTGCTCAGGGCTTGAAAGGTACCCCTGGAGAAAGACGGAATGTGTGTCCGCTTGAGGCGGGGTGGCAGACATGGTGAGTGTTGATAGTCGATGAGTAATTAGGTCAGTGTTGGTTGAGCATCCAAAAGTCGTCTTTGGGAGTTTGAATGGCAAGAAGTGTTAGAATTGCGATCGGTCAACGTTTGGAATTTATATCATCCCGAGAAGAACGCTTTTCTGTGGTGTGGGACGCGTAGCAAAATATCAAATAGCCTCGCCGCCTTGAGTGGTAGCATGGAGCAGTGGCGGAACGCCGGAGACAGAATCAGCGAATCATCCTCCGTACCAAGGCAGTCGGTACCCGAAATCTAGACACTGGAAGCCAAGGCTGACCACTCATAGTTGCGATGTGTGACATGCCTTCTCGCATATGCTTCAAGGTGAATAAGGTGGCTGAACTCGAAATGTTGAACTGAGCCGCGGAGGTACCCAGGGTACCCTCAAGTATGATTAGAATTTGGATCAAGGATATAGCAACTGTTAGTGGTAGAAAGACGTATGTGCAGGATGGACAAGGGACTTGCATCAGCAGCACTGAGCTGTTGAGTGGTATATGAAGAGTTGTGACAAGCGCTGGAAATTCCTGGGATTCGGGGATGCAGCAAAAGCACGGGTCGTCACAAAGGGCCCAATAAATTAATATAGACACTTGGCCCATACTTTCCCGTCTGCGGGAGACGGATGCATCATGCAGCTGGCTTTTGGCAAGGTCAAGTAGAACCTCCCTTGAATCCGGGAGCCAATTCTGAGCAAGTCCAATCTTCTTGCGAAGTTTCAGAGTAGTGACTGTAGATTTCAGCTTGAGAGACTGCGATGAAGGATTATTAGTCATGATCTATCGCTACAACATTCGACCAATAGAAGTACTCCTTGGTCATCTATCATCTCACACATACGATCTAATCAGTGGTATCGGGTAATCATCATGTAAGTCTGCCTGCTTCTTAGATTTTCTTTCCTCTCGTTGGTGTATCAAGTCCACCGCCCACCTATCCCTCTTCTTTCCAACCTTCGAATGCCTTTGTGGGTTTAAGTTTGGATTCAAACCATACTTACCCTGAGGAATTCCTGGAGTGGACCTGTGATTAGGAGACTCCTTATTCCTCGCCCCTACTGGCTTCCACTTCCACTTCTGTGGTCTTAAGCTCTCATGTATTCATCTCTACCCATTCCTCAAGCGGCTTTAGCCAAGGAAGAGAGCAACGAAGGTATTTGTCCTATAGAGTGCATTGAAACCTGAGTCGAGTTGAAATCTCAAGCCCTGAAGGCAAGTTTGGTATGCTTCTGAGAATTTCTCGAGCATCCACACCTAGGCCCTTCAACCTTTCCAGCTACAGTGACATACTTGGACTCGATTTTTCTGGGGTTGAACTGTCCATTAATTGTCCATTAATTGTCCATTATTTGGCATTTTACCATGCGAAGGTCCTATTTCGGAAAGAAGAACATTAGCGGAAAAGGCACGAGTATCGTTATCTGGCATGCCTGAAGCTCACGTAGAATGAGGTCAAATCCAAATTAGTCGACTCTGTTAAAACGCGTAGACAGGGTGCAATATTCCACCCCATTATGCATTCTAGATGGCTGGGCAAGATTACTGCAAAAGATCATCACGAGGTCTCTTTTCTTGCGAAGCTTGTCTTTTTGGTTGCTGGGATGATGAAATATATCGGTAGGTGCACGTAGTTCCTGAGTCGTAAACGCACCCAATGGTAGTTCCCGAAGGGGTGGTGGGAGGTTAGATGATGTGAGGTCTGTTGGTTGCTACTGTTAGCGCCGGACACGGGAGGGATGCACCTTGAAGAGATAGATCGTGTCGAACCGGCGCGATTCGAGCTAGATCGAGGTGTGACTGGATAACAAGGACCTCGGCGTGGATTATTAGTCGCTTAAATCAAATTGTACCGGAACCTGATTGAAGGAATCTATCTCAGAGGCGTAATATGCGAGTGCTGCCGGAGACGGAACCCCGAAAGTGAAATCAAACCTTGGATTAACCGTTGAGAGTAGCTCGGTCACTCGGCGTAGGTTTCGCGCCTTTCAACTCTATCTACTTTTGCATCAGATATCAACGCTCAGTGAACGAATATGGCCTCGCCCGCCGCCGCCTTTGTCTCGGCGAAGTGGGCTCTCAGGTCCGGTGCCCGTGCCGTCTCCGGGGTTGGACTTTCGAGACAGAATAGGTAGTGGGATTACCAGTGAAGATTCCCCGTGGAACGCGTATGGAATGTCCTACAAGTATTGGCAATAAGGAAAAGGTAGAACTTCTGCCTGCCGCTCTCGTTCAAGTGTAGGATTGGCAGCAGCGCCCTTGGCGTCGCGATGCCAGATTCCCGGGCCGCAGCAGCACGAACAATGCCCTGATCGATCCCCGATGCGGCTTCTATGATAAACTAGCGGTCATGGTAATCAGGCCGCAAACCACAGTCTTCGGATGCGATTCCTGCCGACCAACGAGGTTTATGATGATGATGATGATGATGATGATGTATTTAACGTCTGGTAACAAAAGGACGTGCCGGGCGCTATACCGACATGGTCTATGCTAATCTAAACTATGTTACAGGCTACCGTCTTCACCTAACGTTCCTGTTCAATAACTCAGGCAAATTTCGGAAAAGAAATTGGTCTCCTCTATCCATTCGCATAGAAGAGAGGCTCCCTTAGCAGAACCTAACAAGAAATCAATGCTTGCTTTGGCCATACGTTGGCGGAGGTAGCGCGGTGTAGCCTTGCGTCCACGCTTGCAGAAGTAGAAATGGACTGGTGTCTTGGGTTTCCCACAGCTGCAGTTGAGCAACGCATCTTGATGAGCGAATCTCTCGTGGTATGCTGCAAAGTCTCCATGATGGGATCTTGCTGCGTATAGCCTTCCTAGTAAGTGCCGAGGGAGGCGGAGTTCGGGCGGCTTGGGGTGAAGAACTATCTCGAGGTCGGCATATTGCCGAGGGCATTGGGACAGCCATTTTCTGGCAAAGGCTTGGAAGGCAGCTGCTTTAGCTTGCCTTTCAAGGTGCGCTAATGAGGGCTGTGGTTGTGATTTTGGGATTAGTTTGCAGGCTTCCTTGGCTAGAGCATCCGCTTCTTCATTTCCTGGTACTCCCGTGTGCCCAGGGCACCACCAAACATAAACCCTGCCGGGGGTTGTCCAGCTCTCTCTTTGTCTCCGAGTCCAGGAGGAAGAGAGCCTATTGAAGGCCCTAAATCTAGCCTGGCTGCTTCCTGTGCTCTGGGAGTATAGTCTAGCCGCGACTGCGAGGTTATCGAGGCAGATGTGGACGTTATCTGCCATACGAGCCATAGGAGCCCGGGCGGCTTCCATCAGGCCGTGATACGCAGCATGTGCCTCCGTGTCATACACCTCAGTTGGGGAGCCGAGTGGTTCGGATCCGCGGAAGATCTGCCGTGTAGCTTGGTACCCTACCCAGCCTGCTCCGGCGGAGGTGCTGCTGCCGTCCGACATCTGGGACCCGTCAGTATAGACAACAATATCCCGCTTGGAGAAAGTTGCCACCCTGCCTGCAAAGGAGAGGGCCTGTTCTTCTTTGGTCTTGTTAGGTTCGTAGCCGACCCTGGCGAGGGCTGTCTGCCAGTCCGCTAGTTGCTCCCAAGGGGGGAGTTCTAACGGATCGATGTATTCGGTATTTTTGCTTACGAGGCTTGCCATTCGTCGTAGCCGTGAGTCTGGTCCTGATTTGTCCCTGAGTCTCGTTCGGAGAGGGTGTCGCTCGTCCAGACGATGGATTCTATTTCAGAGCGAGCCTCGTACCTATTCTCTACTTTCAATGGATAACCGTTCTCTATCACAAATCTCGATGCCCACATTGTGACCATACGACAGTATCCCATACCCTGTTCTTTTTGAAGGTCTTTCGGCCGGAAGAGTCTCTAACTCACGTGGGTCCAAAGCGACACAGCCGCCGGACTCTCAGCCCCGGCGCCACGAACATGAACCAGACCGCATTCTGGCCGGAACGTCGATAGCGCTTTGGCCAACATCGACCGATGCCCCACCGCATCGGATTCACAAATTGGGCAAAGGAGAGGAGGCTATAATGCCATAGTCTCTGGTCAGGCTGGCTTGTGGTGCTGTCAGAATGGCCCGATGACCTGAAAGTCGCGTGGCAGTCGGAGTCCGTGAGGTGAAGGTATCTTGGCGGTGGCTTGCTGTTGATTTGTGTATTCGTTGTTGTGCAAGACATCATGAAACGAGACAAATATTGGCAATAGCTGGATGCGTCTGTGATTCTAAGCCTAAAGACTCAGTGACTGGTGAAGCCGGTAATTACCGTTGTTGAATCGGCTACTGGGCCTCACCATTCATCGGCTGTGGTCAAGGTATCCCGTCGGTATGGTTTCATGCATCCTCTCGTCCACACCAAAGTGATGCTCTGTGCTTGATTTATCTGAGATCTTCTTACTTCATTAACGAGACTCTTGAGGGTATGAGGCACTTCTTGGGGATGACATCGGTGGCTTTAACCTGTCATATGGTGTGCCGGCGCCAGGACCTCACGCTCGTAGAGGCAGGGAGTGGCACCGGCAAAGGCTGAGCCACGCCAAAATGATCGATTGTTGAAGTCTAACCATAAAGTCATTCGATGTGTCGGGAAACCCAGTTTGACTCATGCATTCTCTGGCAAACAATTTACGGGGCGCTTCCCGATACCAAACCGTTGTCAAAGGAGGTCTATGCTGCCTCCCGACGAAAAATAATCCTTAACATAATGGAGCTGTGGCTGAATCCCTGTCCAAAGTGGTCTCACTGTCAGATGAGTTAAAATGCATCTGACTCGGAGGGATTCCAGATTCTTGGAATCAGACCAGTTCTTTATATCGCTAAAAACCTGAGGACTACGGTGGCTTGCGCAGAGGTCAGGCGGAAGCGAGTTGGCTGAACTGAAGCGACACGCTTGGCTAGGACTGGCCTCTTCTCCGTGGCAGAGATTAGGATCAGTATAGTAGACGACGATTGAGTTGTCATGATTGTCAACCGGTGCTCATTCACGCAATAGTTGACGGAGTGAGAGTGAAGTCACCTTGAGTGGATAAATGGACTTTGACAGCGCCTAACTCTCGATAATGCTCAGGCCAAGTTCGCCAGCTCAGTGCCAGCGTTACACAGCTTGCTTCTTCCGGCAGCCAAAGCTCTCTGATACGGCCAGATCTGCCAATGGATGTCGATCACCCCGCGGCCCCTCAGCATGTCTCACCCGGGGAGTCTTGTCCATCAACGCAGAAAAAACAGCTAGGGCGATCTGGGCCTACAGTGAAAGAAAAAGGCCAAGTCCGGGAAGCCGGGAGTGATAAAGAAGCAAAGCCCGGATGCGATTGAAGAGTAAGCACGGAGACAATCGTCACTGATCCCCACTTGAGCTAGCCGTAGATCCTGAGCGGAGGGCTCTTAGGAAGACCCCGGATTGCCTTGGCCCCAGACCGTCCGACGCCGCGGCTGTCCGAGCGAACCCTCCAGGCTCAACTGGCCCAATGCTGATTCGCCAATTCCCCTCGTTTGGACTTGGTGGCCCTGCAGGGGAGCCGATGCAATGAACAAGGCGGGTGTGTTGTGTGTGTCTTGTTCGTCCCTTCATATGTTTCCCACCCCTCAAAACATGGCAGGAATCCAGGAAAAGAAGGCCAGTCGCTAGGCGGAGTCCCCGAGACGTTGCGCCTCTGCGATGAAAGACGAGACGGTTTGTTCATGTTGCATTTGCCTTCCTAGAGGGGCCAAGGATTCCGTCCGCACAACCCCTTTGTGATTTATGATGATGTGATGAGTGTTTGCTTGTCACCTTTGGTCTAAGCGAAGGGAATACGACTCTGAAAGGAGATGGGGAAGAAAAAGGAATGGGGTAAAAACGCGCGACATTTCGAACATGTCTAAGTCTATCTGCATGCTGCACGCTCGGGGTCTCCCAAAAAAACGTCTAACGCTGCAGAAGCAAGAGAGAAGCAACGATGAGCGGCATGGAAGAAAAAGAAACAAGTCCGCAGAAGCAAACACCAAGACATATCCACAGTGAGCAGCAATCTTGGGTTGGCCGACAGTTACGTATGTTTGCCATTTATTTTTAATTGTTCAGGGCGTTTTCTCTTCGTCTGTTCGCACTTTGATCGGCTGATCGGCTTGTGGAGCCTCTCATCTGGGCGGGAAAGTTGGGTAACTGAATCGAGTCTCCATTCCAAGGGTGAGATTTGCGAGGAGTGGGAGAGAGAGGGAGATTCAAAGGGGACGAGGACGCCTCAACTCCCACACACATGTACACATGCATGTACGTACGCAGAAAGGTACTCAATAACTCACGTACCTTACCATACTCGTGCCCGCCCCCACTTTAATTGGATTTCGACACATCTCACCCACTAAAAGTGGGTGCTTTTCACCCAAACGACCATGTCACCCAAACGCGCACCCATAGTAAAGTTCAAATCCCAGTTTACAGATTGCCTTCTCAACGACCACCCGTTATCAGCAACATTAAGCAACTATGTAACCATGATCTCCTCAAGGTTCTCTTTCTTTTGGTCTCTTCCCCGAGTTCAAAACCCCCGAATTGCATGAAATGCGCGTTTGGGTGACATGGCCGTTTGGGTGAAAAGTACCTACTTTTAGTGGGTGAGATGTGTCGAAATCCAATTAAAGTGGGGGCGGGCACGAGTAGAGTGAGTGGCAAGGAAGCCTCGAACCTTGAGGCCTTCTTCTCAATGCCAGCCATGAGCGATCTTGACCGTCTTTGTCCAGGCAAAACGCCAGTGCTATCTGCATCAGGTGAAACAAGTTCGCCAGCAACATAAAGGCACTTGATTAGCCATGTCCCCCAACCCGTTTCCGGACTGCCCATACCACGTGTGCAGGGGCCCCGGTGCTGACGGCTTTCTTGAGGTACCAAACTGCAGGGTGTGTCGCGCACCACTTCCTGGAGCTACTCAAACACCCCCAGTCGGGTCCATCTCGAGAACGGCTCGACGGACGGCTTGACTTTGAGAACCATTTATCTTTGCAGTGTCTCCCCTTTTCGTTCTTGTCCAACCTTTCCAGCCCCTCTAGGTCGTCCCCATCTTATCCTGAATGAGTTGTCTTATTTGATATTCCGCCATCTTCTTGCTGGCCAGCGGCTGAGAACCCCGATCCGGAACCTACCCGCGAGCTGGACTTCGACCTACGGAATTCGAGGTCCCCCCCCCCGAGTATGCAAACAGCAACGGCCTCGATCCCGAGAACCCTGGTAGAAAATGGGCGGCTCCATACTTGAATTACTCGGTAAAGCCGACAACCTCAAAGACCCTGAACCGGTTCTCAACCAGCGACCAGCGGTCCTGGCTATGGTCGTTTCCTTTCTGGTATTTGACGTCCATCCAACATTTACAAAAAACGACAGCTTTTAACCACTTACCGCAGCTTGTCGCCTGGATTTGCGGTGCTTTTCGACTTTATGTTCGGTTATTTATTGCCCGATGTCCGGGATGGGATGATTTCTTCGTTGTATTATCTTTGGTATGTGACTACCGGACACGAGTTCCATGTTACTTGAAGCGTCTAACATGTCATCTACAGCTCACCAGCTTGCTTCTATCTATTGCGACTTGCGTAGGTAAGTGTCTTCACTTTATGGCGCCTATGTAATGACTCGTCCACTGACTCTTCGACATCACAGCTACGGATTATGGACTGGGAAAGCATTTTCTTTTACTCGGAGTTTCTGGCATGCAAGCCTTCATCAAAGCCTTTTACGTTTGCAATGGCGCATACCCAATGGCAACAGCCCTAATCAAATTGGCCTTACTGTTCCAATACTTACGAATGTTCGAACACAACACCAAATCTCGATTCGTCACCATCGTGATTATTGTCATCACCGCACTATGGGGTGTAACTTACTCCTTCATCGCCTGGATCCCCTGCCTCCCCGTCTCATCCTTCTGGGACCTCTCATCGACGACCGAGACCCGATGGGCCTTTGGCTCCCGTGATCCCGTCATCTTCGCGCGCAGCTTCGAGAGTCACGTCGGAATGAACGTTGCATTGGACCTGATTGTATTCGCGATACCCATCCCGTTGTTCCTGGAGGCTGGAACTCGGACGAAGTCGCGCTTGGGTCTGCTTGGTCTGTTCACCATGGGTGTTCTGTAAGTTCCCACGCCTCAAACTTCCTTTCCAACTCAAAGCGAACACGTCCCGTCTGACTCGGCTTCGCTAGTGTGAACGTTCTTGGAATCTTCCGTCTCATCGGCATTTCACACTCGAGAGCGGGCACTTATCCGACTCTTGACCCTAGCTGGTACGGCTGCGTGCCCATCGTACTCGCTGCGGTCGAAATCAACCTGGCGACGATTTGTGCCTCCCTGCCTGTCTTTTGGCCCACCCTACAAAGCAGTATCGGCCAGATCTTTGTCACAAAAGAAATCGAAATCACTTCCGAGATACGCCGTCTCAGCAGTCTTCGTGACGAGGAGGCCACCGCTGAGCTGTGCGACTTTTCATCACCGCAAAAACCGAGCAAGACGTATGGAGGAGCTGAGGTCAATGAGAGGTGGTGTATTAATGAGTCCCCGTTGAGGTCGACGAAAGTTGAGGTCGAATCAAGGGGTCTTCACACAAAACCGAGCCAAAAGTCGCTGTTCTCTGAAGGGTTCAAGAGGATGGCGGACGATCAGGAGTCATATGATCGCCTCGTCCCGTCTCCATCACGCAGTCGATTGAGACCATGATTAATAAAAGTTCTGATTCACATTCACGCATTACTTGGCGATATATCTAAATCGGACCGAATATCCTCTAAACGCACATTATTTCTAAAGATCTTCGTGAAGTGCAAGTCATAGATTACGACGGGCGTGATTACGATTCCCTGGTTCTCTCGCCCGCACATAACCTGCCAATGACATGAGATTCCTTTGTTGCTCGGGGACTCCTCAGTCATCATCGCCGCAATATTGCCGTCTTCAGCGACTTGAAATCGCAAGCTAGGACAAATGGGGATGCCTCCGATGTTAGTTCGGCAGAGGAACTTTATCCGGGTACATCGACACCGTGGCTGTCTTGGTCTTTTGTGTGCCAGACCCCAAACTGCAATGGGCCGCGCCTCAACCTGTGCACAGAGCTTTCCCTCCACCAGATGCGGCTCAACCTAAATTCGACACACTAAGACCGCGGCCGACGTAGCTCATCGGTCCAAGGTGGTTATTGGTCACTGTACGACGGGTTCGTATGATCGGATGCTGCGACTAGAGTGCAGACGCCGTTGTAACACACTAGACTGAGATGGTATAGTAGATATCCGAAACTACTTATACTCGTAGCAAAACGGGCCAACATGGATATCCATCACATCGCTGATGGGGATATCCTCTCCAAAGTTGGGATACTTGAGAGGGTACTGCAGCGTAATGTTCTCGTACGGCACGTCACCGAAGAAGTTGAACGGGTACGCGAATATGGTGTCCGGGCCGCCGATGGCGGTTTTACGCGCGGGCCAGTCTACGACCACGATTAGCAAGACAGAGCCTACTACTTTTGACATTCTCTTTTGCTGGGGAAAATGGGGCGCCTAGCCGCTCGTCCAAGTGTCTTGGTCTGTTCACAAGAGGCACTGAAACAAAAGTCAAGTTCGTGAGCAGAAAAAGATGCTTACCTCGCCGCTGCCAGTCGTTCCAGGTCTTGTCCAGTGCGCCGTGGACAAAGTAGAAGAGTGGATCGCCGGGTGAGGAATATGTCACGAAAGAGGTATAGCAGTGGATATCTCAGGGGTAGAGATAAGGGTTAGACAGGGGTATGGGAATACAAAAGGGGCTCCCTCGAGGGCTTCCCTTTTCCCCTTTTCCATAGTCGATTAGACCACAGTTGAGATCCCGATTTCCATGAGCTACTCTATATGCTGATTCGTGACAGAATACATGTCCGCACTCTGGTCCCAGCAGTTAGCTTCCTGAGATTTCACAACTTCACAACTAAAGTAAGGAACCAAATAGGGCCGAATAATGAGAAAGCATCATCGTCTGATCATACGTACCTCGCCAACAGCACCGCCGATGCCAAGATGCATGCACGCGTGGAGAGTCAGGCTGTCGAACTCGAAACTGTAGCCCTGAATGTGAGAGTTGAATTCACCATAGGTCGGCGCAGAGAGCGCACGGTCAACAATCTCGTCTCTCAGGGCACTGGCAACGAGGGTGGGACTGAAATCTCGACGTAGGCAATGGGGTTGCGGTTCAAGTGAGGAGCCTAGGACCAGGATGTGAAGTCAGCAGATGCAGGGCAAAGACAGAAACCTTGTGGTTTGCGGAAATTCCCAACGCACCGAGACCCATGGAAACAGTGAGGTTCGCAAATGGCCCTTCCTGGACGCAACCTCCTCCACTCCTTCCCGGAATTTCCGTGGGGGTCTTGACCGGGAACTCCTCGTCATCACTGATATCCTCGACATACGGCCCGTTACCGCCGAATCCGTAAGTGTTGTCAAAGATTGGCGAGTTGACAAAACTTTCCGCAGTGTTGTCAAGACTCAAGTCCCAGTAGGGTAGTGTTCCTTGGTAGGAGCATTTGTTCCTCAGCTCGGATTCGAAGAGAAATATCATCCACCGATGCCAGCTACAGTTGAAGTGTTAGGAGAAATGATCGAAATAATGTTAGAGTTATCTCTTACGGGAGGAAAGGTCCCTATGGTAACATCAGCATATTGAATCCACCCACTGGCCTTGGAACGCAGATTGAGTTGACTCACATTGAAGTGCACCTGTTCTGTGACATAGATGTGCATACCCTGGAAATCGTCGTACCGAGTCTTCGCACCAGGCCACAGATTATTGCCTTCCGACGGCAGAGACATCAAGCATTTGATAGCATCGATGTAGCTTAATCTCTGCTCCAAGGATAGTTGTCGCCATTCGTATCGGACCAGAGGGTTCCGACAGCACCCGGGGCTGGTGTGATTTGATGGGGCACCAGCGACTGTCTGGACGCCCGCCAGGCCGATAATGGCCGTAGCGACAGTGGTGAAAAGACGCATGATAATTCAAGAAAGAAGATTCAGAGCTGAGAACACTGGCGTAAAACCAGGACAGAAGAGAATGAATCGAATCTCATTCTTGCTAGCTGTCTTCTTTCGCATTGGAGGCGGATCGGTTCACATTTGAGGGAAACCGACATATTGTCAAAGTCGGCATGCGCTTGCAGATCAAGTGCATCATCAGCCTACCTGGAGAAAACGAGATGAACATACTGCTTTTCGTGTGCTCCGATGCATCTTTGCGGCACAATCAGGCCCTCATCAACGGCCGAGTTTCTCCTTTGAGCTTTTCATTGGCATCAAGATGCAGGTTGGTTGCAATGCGTTCTCGACTTCGAGAAGCCCTGCCTCCGGCTACATGCTCCGTTGGGGTACGCGTATCCTTCGGCTAGGGATCTGCTAGGTAGTCAACGACGGTCGATGGTTCCATCGGATGATGTTGTGGAGGTTACCTCGAGACCCGCTGCTAATGCCTGTTTCTCAACGCTTCCAACCCTTGCCGTTAAGATTTTTCCAGGGACCCTGCTCACCGAAGGCGTGTCCGATCACACTAGTTTTGAGCTATCATCGACTGCCCCCCTTCAAGGGTAGAGAGATGAGTTGCGGAAGTTTGGAGATGATTGGAGAAATGAAGTTCACCTCAGGCAAACGGTTGTGGGGAGCCCAAAGACTCCTGGTTGTGCTTTAGACTTTGATGAATGCAGCGACCCAAATTTGGCACAACTCAGATACCTAGCAAATGCCAGCCATGGCCCATTGATAAGTATTGCGTAAAATCTCAGGACCAGGTCGACTTAGCTCATAAGCAAGGGTCCGAAAACAACGAGGCAGGAGCTTTGGATCCTCAGGGGCTCATCTTGTCTGAATTCCTGGCGCCGAAAAGTGCAGTGGTGAGACCTGGCTTGAGTGAGTTCTGTCCTCAAAGCCGTGGGAGGCGCTTGAAATCCTCAGCCAACATCTGGTCAGGGTTCCTGGGGCTTCGTTTCTATGGGGCGATGGAACCTCACTTCGAAGTAACGAGGCTAATTTGACTTGATGCCAAGACAGACGTGCTCAGCACGGGCACTTCATTGTGGGGGAAGAGTTTATGGGTCGATTTCTGATTGAGGCAAGGTACACTTCTCGAAACATGACAACATCGTAGCTTCTTGCCTGCTGTTGGATCAGGTCGGGCAAGCTTTCATGGAAGCTTCATAGCCGGCTTACAACGGTAGTGATTGACTGCTTTATGCCTCAACGCCGGCGATGGTGTTCATGCCCGACCATGGGTCCGACATTGTCAGACACGGCACCACCGGCCAGTATCCCCGAAGCTTGAAGGCAAGGCCTCAGTGAAGCCTCGACAAAGGCTCGATTGGCCCCTTGGAGAGGAATATGATTAATCATCGCTAGCCAAGGCCGGAACCGACAGCTTGGGTCGTTTTATTACAGTTAGCTACAGAGCTTCATCTTATGTTCAACGTGGTGTCATTTCAGCATAACCATCTGAGGTTCGAGGCGCTCCCACCCTCAAGGATCAAAAAGGGTGACCAATGTAAACCCCATTGCAGGAATATTATTGCCAGGTCCGACGTGGTGTTCGGCTTCGCTACTTCCAACACGATGCAGCAAGGTATAGCTTTCATCACACTATCTTCAAGCTTCTAAGCCGGTCCGACCGCCGCGGGCATCGGAAACGTCTCGCTCTCTGAGCCATATCTCCGTTTGGCGAGACATGCGTCGCTGCGAAGCGCTCTTTCGGGCCAGGTCTCGACCAACACGCAGGCCAGAGACCTGACTAGCGGCCCGATGCCAAGAACCAAAACCAACAACACCGCGCATGAAGACGTAGTGCCAACGATGGGGGTTTGTCCAGAAGAATTAACCGACTGCCTACTACTCCTCTGATAAGGTGGATACGTCACTGGTGTGCCAGCATAGTAATTACTTCACAATATCGCACTCGCATAACAGGTGAGAGAGCAAGAACTGCAAAATGCAACGACACTTTAAGTATACAAGATTCGTGCAGATATAGAACCTTTACACGTCTAAGTGGGCAGAGTCTTTGGTTTTCCTTAGATTTGGTAACGGCAAAAGATTGCTCCTTCTAAAACTTGGAGTTTAAAGACCAATTTAACCGCGATCATGCTGGGATAGGTGGTAGGATCATGTATGCATTTGTGAGGTTGAACATAGCGGAGGGATATCACTTCGATTTGTCTTTCTTCAGGAGAGGATCCAACTACTGCCGACTGTCATCCCGCTCTCATGCATGCACAGCGGCTGTAACCAACCCTGACACCGAAAACCAGGATTTTCGTCACCTACAAACCGGAGACTGACCAAGACAATTCTGCAAAAGTCTTGACACGCATGGCTGCGGCGCAGTAGCTCGCTCGCCGAAGATTTTGCGCCGCGTGTTTTGAAGATGTGATGGGGGCTATGCAAGGCAACTGGCTTGATGCCACAACTCGAAGAGGCATTTCACGTGGGCAAAACCCGCGGCTGGCTGCATTTGGCGGCTCGACTCCTAGAATTCCATCTCGTCCGTCGACAGATTTCGTCTTGTCAACTGCCGCGTAGTAGACTTATCCTTCAATTCTTTCTCTTTACCCCCCTTCATGCTGTTTCCTGCCTGTCTCGGTGCTAAAATATCAAAAATCACATCGAATGACGTCCGCACTTGCAATGGACGGCGAGGTCCACTTCATGGACTCTCCAGAATACGCCGGTGATAAGACTCTGCACCTCAATATCACCCTGATTATCTGCACAACGATCGTAGTTGGTCTCAGGCTCTATGCTAGGGCTTTCATGGCTAAGGCATTGGGGCTCGATGATTTGCTTGCATTTTTAGCCTTCGTAAGTCATCTTGCGCGTCTTGAATTCGCAGAAATATGCTAAGACATATCAAAAGGGACTAGTGTCTGCGTTGTCCGCAATGGATATTCGCCGTAGGTTACTTCATTATGTTTCTTTGGGGCAACATTAGAACCGCTGACTGAATTTTCTTGTGGGTAGTTGTCCAGTTTGGCAGCGGAGCACACATCGAATATGTCCCAAAGCCTTTACTAACGATATGGTTCGAGGTAAAGTTTCGCTAGCGGTCTCGGTAATGGGGAAGAAGTTTACTGACGAGCCTCATCAAGTCTCTAACAACACAGACACTGATTTACTTCGTCGGAACCGGGGTGATGAGACTGTCGATTGTGGCTTTTCTTCCTCGCCTGAGTCAAGATAGTAGGTCATCGCTTCCGACAATTGCAAATTACTCATTGATTTGCACTGACAGTGCTTCCTAGGGACGTATCTGATACTTGTCTACATTACCGGCTTCTTTGTGGTGGCCCAGACTGCCGGATGCTTTTTCTATCGCCTCACGGAGTGCAGCCCCATAGCGTTCGTGACCATAGACATTCCTTTGATCCATGGACTTTGCTGATAGTACCTCTTCTAGAGACATATGGAAACCTCCCTTCTTGCCAGGGCTTAACTGCGTTCCTCCCGAAGCCGAGAATACAATGATGGTAGCTAATCAAGTGATTGGTCTGATCCTGGTTCTTGCACTGATGGGATTACCTATAGTTATGGGTTGTTTACACGAAGATGTTTTTCTCCCAACGAGCCTTCCAGGTTATCTTAGTGTTCAGCGTGGGGCTTTTTGTAATTGTTACAGGTTGTATCCGCCTCGTAATGTTGAAGACACTACTTTTCCTCGCCGATCCGTAAGCATTCCGGCAACCAAGACACTTTTGCGAGTAACAGCTGACGTCTTTCTGAAATAGTACCTTCAACATGTCGGCTATAGGCGTCTGGACCGATCTGGAAGGACATATTGGGCTCTGGGTTGCCTCATTTCCCGCATTGCAACCTCTCGTTCGAATTGTCTCCTATAAACTTGGCTTTCGAAGCAAGCTCCAAAGCTACGTTGAAGAAGGACGTTCGGATACTGGCGGTGGTGGTGGTGGGACAAGGTCGAGATCAGGGGCTTGGACTGGTCCTGCTCGTAGCAGAGGCTACGTACGCAACGGAAGCGGCATCGATGCTGCAGATAGTCATAGCGAGAGGGGCATCATATCTAGTGCAGATAAAGATGTAGAGTTGGACAAGATGGATTGCAGAATTTCTGGTATTCACAAACAAGTTGATGTGGAAGTTCGAGTGGATGATGAACCTAGGAGGGGTAAACCAGTACATAACACTGTGGACAAGGGGCCAAAGAGTTGGTTGGCGGATTGAGAAAACTTCAGGCAATACACAGAGTCCGAAGCCTGCAGATAGGACAAAACAAGCACCCGAAGCAATTTCCACGGTCTTATTCTTTCGAAGTGAAGCCGCCGTTTCATCCGTTAGAGCAGTCGGAACTTGGTGGGAGGGTTCTCAGGCAAGAGACAGCCCTCCATCGACCTTACCGGTCCGACGTGGTGGAGCTGAGGAAACTCGACGGCAACAGTATTGCCAGAATTGACTCTTTCATGTCCACAATTCCCCAAAACATCCGCCAAACACATTTCGCGTACCTCACGCCAAGCCTCAGTCGCCGGTATTCTTTAGATCCTCAACAAAGATACCAGATTTATCCTTTTCTTCCTCGTCTTCGATACTCCAGGGTTGGATCTCATGACCCACAGGCAAATTGGTGTTTCTGAATGGCTTGCCAGACTCGACTGCCGAACACGCCTCTTCGAAGTTCTCTGTGGCGTATTTTTCGGCATGGTGAGTCCAGACCCATTTCCCGAGGAGCATGGGCTGCCTTTCATCCTTGAGAATCTCATTCATATCGCGGTGGACCTGATGCCTATTGACGAAACCGTTGTGTTGCAAAAGCGAAGTACGCTCATGTCTGGACAAAGTGACTAGAAATGAGGCTGTGCACAATGAAACCGCTTGTCACCTTACCTGAGAAGCTGATGAGCGCGAACGGCAAGAGCTGTTCGATCTTTGCCTCCCAGTCTAAGGCATTCGGGAAGTGACATGGCGTCCTCGAGGGCCATGATGCCCCGTTTCCAGATGATGGGATGAAGCTGTGGGCTGCATCACCAAGCTGAATGATGTGACCACCGTCGGAGTGCCACTTTGGTTGCGGGTTCCGGCAACATAACTTCCATCGCACAACAGTGTTTGGTGGGGTGCTGTGAATCGCTTCCATGAGAACTGGGTCCCAGCCCTCCTTGTCGGGCATCACGTCCGCAGTTTGCTCGGGAGTCACAGTCGACGACCAGGATTCCACAGCTGTTCCATCGTCCTATGTTTCTCATGTTAGTTCGGGATAAAGGATGGCGAGCTGCGAACAGCACATACCTTGTGCGTAAAACCGAGGAAAATGTGTGTCTTTGACAAGAGGAAGATAATGTACATGTCAGGACTAGTAATCTGTCAGCCAAGTCTTTAGTTCGAGTACCTGGTTAAGTAAAAGCCTTACGCGGTATACATGCGGAGCTGAGGTCGTTGGAGTTCGACAATCGCTTTCTGCAGTGCAGGGGCATCTCTGATGTGGTCGGTCGAATACATGACACGATCAGCACAGTAACCCGTGCTCACTGCGCGAACAGGCTTGCCCAGGGTCATACTGCAGCTTTTGGAACCGATGCCATCTGCCGCTATTACAACATTGCCAGTGAAGCTGCGGCCATCTTCGACATGGGCGGTGGCGGTTCCCTGCCCATCTTCTGAGTAATGGGCGATGTCTACACCATATGTCACAGGAATTCCCAGTCGCTCGCATTGGCCAAGGAAAATCATGGCGAGATCTCGTCGGCTAACAATCGGCTTTGCTCGGATGGGCCATATCACATGTGTGGCAACTCCCGGGAGGTGGTGCTCGACTTCAGCCTTCGGTACGGCAAATTGCCCTCGCGGTGACAGAAACACGCCTCGGGATCAAAGGCGAACTGGTCCCATTCCTGTAGCATTTTGGGATACTCCTTCAAGGTAGCATAGCTGTTAGGTCCGAGTCTGATAACATCGCCTGGGCGGCGCACATCAGTTGAACTTCAGGGGAAAGGAAGTCTCAAGATGAATACATACCGGCCTCGGAGATCGCCTCCCCCTTCTCAAGTATTTGAACATCATGGACCTTCCTCCAAAACTCGACAGCTGCCCTGCAAGCCTCCCAGGCCTGCGCCAACAATGACAACGTTGATCCCAGAAGGAGGGTACCGCACAACCCCGTCCACAATTGAACCGCAGTCGGGCATTTTGACAATGGAAATTTATTTAAAAATAGGTCTAGAAAGGTACGGGGAAGTTTGATTAGGTTAAGGTCTCAAATCTGGAGCTTTATACTCCACGAATGTCCAACACAATCATATCTGTCAGTGCTCTTTAATAGCTCCATGATGTGGCAGGAATTGACAATATGCTGGTGACTTGGCGGGCTTAGGTCACAACCCGGTGCCGCAAATGACCCATGCATCAACTGACTGCCGCGGACGGCATTTTCATCAACTCCTTTGAGACGCGAGAGGATTCGTAGATCAGGGTTACGAGTCGTAGCGGAGCTCCGCCGCAGTTCCCTCCCGGTGGGATATGCTGGTGTCGCAGGCTTCTTCGCATTATTACAAAAGCCCGAGACTAACTCCACCAGCAAGATCAATTCTCCCAGACCTCCCTTGCCCCAGGTTCATCGGCGTTGTTTTAATTGCTCGAAACACTTTGTTCATACCTGACCCATGGGCCTACAACAGCTTCATGACAACACAGAACTCCACTCCGAATCAAAGCTTTGGTTCAGCAAACGATTTATCTAGGTACTCTAGTCGCATGTCTAACTGTGTCGGAATGTTTTCATACTTTCAGCATCACGCTAGGGACCCAGGGGCACGCCTATCGATATTGATGTCCAAGTTGAGATCTTCTGACAGTAGACCCTGTTGTTGTTGTTGTTCTATTTAACGCCATGGCGGCAAGGGCGCAGCCGCCCTTGCGGCAGACCTCCCGGAGGGTATGTGGCGTGAAGGGTCGCAGGCTCTAGCTATATACTATATAGTACACGCCGTATCCTGACGTCCTCCAAATCTTGCTCGTGAGCTACTATGTGTTCTATCCATCCCTAGTTCCCACTGGTGCCCTAGTTCCGTTATAACTATCTGGTTTCTTAATAGAGGTAGTTTGTCGTTTGGAGGATAGGTTATGACCTATCTCCTAGTACCGCGGGCAGATCTTCTGGAAGAAGTCTGTCACGCAGAGGAAGGCCTGGAAGCCTTCAGAGTCAGTGATTAGCCCCTTGAAGTAGCGATCGAGGGACCCTATAGGTCCTACGGGCTCCTGGCGGCTGTAGGGGTAGAGGGTGGGCCACTGTTGCCTCCTCAGTAGGGTCTTTCGGCAGTAGACTAGATGGTCTGCCTCCTTAACCCATCCACAGGAGCAGGTGAGTAGTGCTTCTGTGTGGTTAAAGCGTTGGTGATATTGTTTAAAGTCCCCGTGGCCTGACCGTGCCGCGAGGAGGTGATGAAGGGCAGCCCTAGAAAGGCCAAGTTCAGGAGGGCAAGCAAGGGTGGCCTTGAGCCCTAGTTGGGTATAGCGGGGAGTTGCCTCTTGTTTCCACCATCGTCTATATTAGCGTCTTGGCCGCTCTTTAGCAAGCCACTTGATACCTGATAGAGTAGCTAGTTGGCTCCTAGGGACTGGTAAAGTTGTTCCCTCCTTAGCTAGGCTGTCTGCTTCTTCGTTTTCTTTAATATCTTGGTGCCCCGGGGACTAATGGGTTCGTATATCGTATATCCTAGCTACCTCCTGGATCTCAAGGAAGGCCGCTTGTGAGGAGTCTGGGACCTTGCCACGGATTCCCTGGATGACACTGGTATTATCGATGCAGATGTGTATCGGCTGGCCCTGAGAGGTATGGAGGGCCCGTCGGAGCCCCGCCCTCGCCCCTTCCGCCTCACCGTCAAACACCTCTGCTAAGCCGAGGCGGCCGCAGCCCTGGGCTATACGTCTGTTCTTGCGATAGATAACAAAGCCGAACCCCGTGGCCCCATCAGCGGCTTTAGAGCCGTCTGAGTAGACGATTGTATGATTGTCTGGTACGGTCTTGAGCCAGGCTTGGAAGGCTTTAGCTGCATCCTCCTTACGCTCTAGGGCTATGAGGTCTTGTGAGCCTGGGGGGTATTGCGGCTGTATGAGTAAAGGCCTGGGCATTTAGGTAAGAGGCCAGCTGTTCTTTGAAGTCTTGTCCGTTGCCGCCCCTGCTGCCAGAGCCTTGGGACCAAGGGATGTTGTTGGTCAACCTTCTGTAGCCGCGTAGCAAAGCGTAGTCGTGCTGCCTCGAGGGCAGCCTCTGCTGTGGGCAGGCCAGCCTCACGAAGGAGGCTGCTAGTTGGTGTGGTCCTCCAGACAGGTAGGATAGCCCTTGCCGCTGCTGAAATAACTTTCCCGACTTTGCGGACCAGGCCCTTCTGTCCCGTACCTATAGTAGCTATCTGCATAGTAGTACCACTACTGGTATTGGTGTTGTTACTTAAGGCTGGTCTGTATAAGCCTGCATACCAGGTTTCAGCTCCGTAGAGGACTATCGGTAAGATACAGGCGACGGCCGCTTTACGCACAGCAGCTGCTGGTAGCCCCCCTTTTGTGTTTGTTAGGTGCCGTAGGAAATGGGCTACCTTTTTTGCTGCTGCGACCTTTGTTTCCACATGGTGCCGGAAGGTGAGTCTCTTGTCGAACCAGACCCCTAGCCATCGTATGGGCTTGGTCAAGGCCTTAATAGTTAGGCCTCTTGCCTGTATATCTGGTATATCCCTTATCTGGTTATGCTTCCTGCTAAAGTGGATTGCCTCGCACTTAGCTAGGTCAAAGGCAACCTTGTTATCAGTGCCCCAGTTGAGGATGTAAGTAATGTCCTGGCCTAAGGCTGTGGCATTATCTTTTAGCGTCGGGCTAATAGCTAATAGACCTATATCATCTGCATAGCCAAACCGAAGCTTTTGATTATCAGCTAGGATATCGGCTAACTATGTATAGTAAAAAGAGTATCGGGGATAGTGGGGAGCCTTGCGGCAGCCCACAGGATAGGGGGAAGTCCTTTGTAGTAGTATCCTCTAGCCTGACCCGAGCAGTTCGGCTGGAGGTGAAGGTAAAGATCAGCCTAATCAGGCTACCAGGCCAGCCCTGCTGCCGTAGCCTAATAATAAGTCGATTTCGTAGAACGGAATCAAACGCCCCCTTAACGTCCATTGTTGCTAGAGTTGCAGTAAGCCCTGAGTCTAGAGCGCTTTCTATCTCATAGGTTAGACAGGTTGTCAGGTCGACTACAGCCCTTCCTGGTATTGCCCTAATCTGCTATAGGCTAGCAACTCCTTCTAAGATGGTGAGGTATGCTATCCTCTTTGCTATCAGCCGCTCTAGGCCTTTACCTAAGTAGGATAAAAGGGAGATTGGACGCCAGGATCCAGTCTTTGAGAAATCTGTTTTCCCCGGCTTCTAGATCATAACAATATCTGCTTTGCGGAAGGTCCTGGGGAAGTAGCCCGTTTGAAAGCAGGCCTGAAAGAGCTGCTGTATAGGTGCAGCTATCAAGCCCCAAGTGCATTGTAGTAACTTTGTAGTAATCCCATCAATCCCAGGGGTTGTGGCCTTTGTGAGAGTCGCCTGGCGCACTTCTTCTATGCTGACTGCCTGCTGCCAGGGTATTAGACGCCTTGCCACTGCAGGAACAGTGAAAGGGTTCCCAGGTAGGTCGTCTGCAGCGTGAAATCTCTCTAGTAAGGCCTTCCGTAGGGCCTGTGCTTTGTCATAGCTGTTATCAACTGCCTGTCCGTCTACTACTAGCGGTGGGGCTTTAATAGCTAAGCTGGACTTGCGCCAGCTTAGTACTTGATAAAGGCCCTGGTTAGACCCAGCCTCCTCAATCCTAGCAGCCCAGTAGGCACGTTTTGCCTTCCTGACTGTAGTCAGAAAGGCCTTCTGCTCCTCTAGGATAGGCGGCGGTATAGCCAGCCCAGGCTCTTGGGCTTGTTGGCGCCTGGCTTCAATAGTCGCTTGGTGGGCTTCTGAGCACTCCTCTGTCCACCAGGGGGCTCCCCTACCCTGGTTAGTTCGTCTCTTCCCTACCGCCTGGATAGCTGTAGAGAGGAGGCTGACTAGTTGGGTAGCTAGGGAGTCTATTTCTGCTGGAGTAGGTTTCTCCCTTAAGGTAGGTAGGGCTGAGACTCCTACCTTTACTAAGTCGGAAGTCGAGGTAGGGCCGTGTCTGGGACTGAGAGATGGCTAATCTGGCGTCTCTGTGCCTGGACTTTGCCTAGAGGAATAATTGTTGTAATGACCTGGTGGTCTGCCCCTGGGTGTAGGTGTGGGCTGATATAGGCCTCTATAAAGGGGATATTTGAAAAGGTTAGATCGAGGGTATGCCCATGAGTATAGGTTGGAGCCCCAGCTTCCCCAATAAATTCCAGATTGTGGCCTTCGGCCCATTCTGCAATATCGTCTCCCCGGTTCCGGCTACGGGCGCCGGGTTCCCAGTAGGGACAGTAAGCATTAAAGTCCCCAGCTATAAGGGCTCCTACTGGCGGTTGATAGCCCAAGAGGGCACTTGTTGTATGGTTTTTAGGCTCGCCCGGCGGCCTATAGATATTTATAATAGTAAAGTTACTAACCTTTACCCATAGGATATCTCTTGATTGGGTAGGTCTTTGTTGCTGTATTTGCAGCCTTAGACCCTTATGTATATAGGTCATAACCCTAGGCCTTGTGTCTCTATTGTTCCAGAAATCAACTGGTACATAAGAGTTATAGCCTGGGTGTGTGTTGATTTGCATCTTATCTCTATAGCCTATCCAGGGCTCCTGGATCAGTACTATATCGATCTGATCCGCCCAGCAGAGCTCTAGGAGAGCTGTATGGGCTGGGCTTCTCTTCCCCACGTTACACTGGGCGACTCGTAGTACCCGTGGGGAGGCTGGCCTGAGCCTACTGCTCTGAGTCGAGGTCGAGGTGGGTGTAGGCATTAATAACGTTGTAATCAGGCTTCTGCGCCACCCGCTGAGCCCTGCTGCTTGAGGTAGCTAGGGTAGGTTGGCTGGGTAGGGGGGGTAGGACTGGGTCTTCAGGGGCTTGCAGCCCTTCTGCTTCAGCCCCATTCTCATCTTCATCCATGCTGCTACAGCTAGCCGCATCACTAACGTCCGCTACAACAATTGAGTCCTGGGTAGGGGTAGGGGCGCGTGGTCGCTTTGAGCCGGGCTGATGGCTCGTTAGGCTGTTGCTAGGTTGCTGGGTGTTGCTGGCTTGGGTGCCAGCCTGGCTGCTCTGATAGAGGGCCTCATAGGCCTTCTGACCAGCCTTACGGATCCGGGAGAGTTCCTTCCGGTTTGGGAGGGTAGGGGAGCCATTAACCACTAGGGGCCTTGCTGGACAGTCCTTATGGTTAGCTTGGAAGGGGCCGGAGCAGTTGGCGCACTTCGGTCTAGCTATGCAGGGCCCAGTCTCGTGGCATCCCGAGGGCCTGCTACAGTTGCTACAGAGTGGCTGTCGGTGACAGTATCGGTTCGAATGATATCCCTGGCATCCAGGATGATGTCTGATTAGGGTCTTCTTCTTTTGGATAAGCTGAGACCTGCTGCTTTGGTTAAACAGTCTGAAGGGTGGTACTTCCACAGAGAAGGAGATGACCCAGGAGACTTCGTTTATAATAGGGTTTACACCTAGCCGGGACTGCTGGGCCCGGGTAGGCTTACGTCCTGTTTAGGCAAGGACCTCATCTTCTACCAGAGTAGCTAGGTCAAGGGCGTCGCCATCAAGAGTCCACATCTTAGCAGGGCAACGTAGGACGACGTAGGTAAACCACTTAGTAGGGGTCTCAACCTTATAGGCTCCAAGACACTCTGCTAGTTTCTGTTTGTTTGCAAGGAGGGCTTGCTGGACCTGCTTATTCAGGGGTCTCAGTGAGTAGCCAGTTGCAATATGGTAGATGTGTGGGATATCTGCCAGCTGGAGCCTAAGGGCCTGGCAGACTGTCCGGCGTAGGGCGAAGGGGGCGTGCTTCCTAGCAGCCGCTAGGCCCTCTTCTGGGATACGGGTAAAGACCCGGAGGTCCTCCTTCGGTTGGGATAGAGCCTGGGCCCGGGTCTCCGTCAGACTTTGTGTCTGGACTTCGGGCCGGGTGGGGATTCGGGTACGGGTCGGGGCTACGGCCACGGCTGTAGTTGAAGCCGAGGCTGCTACGTCAGTCCATTTCCGGCTCGGAGCCGGAGCCGTAGTCTCGTTACCCATAATCCTCTTCAAGGCTTGGATTACATAGATTGTAGCTTCTTTTGCAATCTGCTTCCTAGGCCCCTCAAAGTAAGAGATCACGTTGTCCACAGACTGAGCAATAGCCATAAAGACGTCCTTTCGGGCTTCATAGTGCTTAGCCTCTTTATTAAGAGCTGTAAGGACAGCTCCAGTAGCTCTCCCAGTCATAGTCGAGGGCCCCTTAGCCGTTAAGGGGGTTGTTGTTGGGGCGTCGGGCTGGCTTCCCACGAGGCTGGGCCGGAGTGGCTGGGCCTCGGTTTCGCGGCGGCGTTTAGCCCTTGAGGATGGGGGCGGCTCTGAAGAGGGTCCAGAGCCTCGATCAGGGCCGGCCGAGGAGGCCGGCAACGGCCCAGAGCCCGCCGGAGGCTGCGAGGCCATCGCGGGAGGGCGCCGGAGGAGAGGCGAAGGGTTTTCAGCTGTTAAGGATTTTGGTGGTAGCCCACTTATTACACTAACAGTAGATGCCAAGAAAACTTAGGCGAGAGGGAAGTTGTGTCGTAGGGTTGGATGATTGAGAAGATGCGCTGGCTTCGTTTACATCGTGGACATCGTGCAGTAGTTCCACGAGTCCATGTGCGGTTGTGACAAATGCGACGGTCTCGCTCGGAGGCTCGCTATATCCGCTTTCTATGATGATCAGACCGCCGATGTGAGAGAGCCGATGCCGCTCCTCCTTCTCTCCGGATGAGCTTGCGCAGAGATTGAGGCCAAATGCTGACGAATCACATATAGGAGGTGAAACCTTGAATGAAAGGTGACTTGCGGATTTCGAATGTGCAGTAGTTTTCTTGGCCTCAGTAGACGGAGCGGAGAGGTAGGTAGCCGCCAGTAATGAGTCAAAGTCAACCAAAATAGGGACTCGAGAGAGCTGCTCGGTACTAAGCCACGAAGTCTTTTTCAGTTGCCGTTCGACTCTTTTGACTGTTTTTTTGTCGCCGCAAGCGATTTGTATACATGGCTGAAGCTAGTAACAATTGTCCACGGGTGTCGAAGCTGCTCTCATACGCAATTGTAGATCGATTATCTTGCTTGAGCGTAGAACTTCTTGCGTCAGGATGTCTGGCTTCAGCCTCAATAGGACTTTAGTTGCCTCCCCAAACATAGGATCCCAGCAATTAGTTGATTCGGGGGACATCCAATCGTCCGGCTTTATTGAGAGAAGAAAGCCTCCGGGCCCGGGAAGGAGATAATCTGGAGCTCTACCATCATCAGTATGGACCAAGATCCCTGGATGATCTGGATGATCTGGTATACTGGTAGAGGTGTCGGCAGAGGCGATTTGATGGGAATCTTCATTAGGCTTTTGAGACGGATAATCTGGGAATGCAGTTGATATCCCCGCTGTTGAATTCTGTTGCAGTGCCTCGGATAAAATATGCGATTGCGGATCCTCATGACTGACCTCAACGTGTGAACCCGAGGGCACCCACGTTCTCAGTTGGTGGAACCAATTTTTTACTTTCTCAGAAAGACTCATGGTAGGCTTTTTTCCACGTAGAGAGGCGTTTAGGGCCGGGGATCTTTGGACAATTGCCGAACCTGCTGATGGCAGTGGCGGTTGCTGGAAACTGACCACTGCCTTCATCATTCTCGTTGAGTTGGGGTTTCGAAAGTCTCTATGGTGACAGGCCTTCCGCCAGGAAGTTGCTGGCGAAACCTACTTGAAGAGACTGGATGTGCAAAAGTCAGAATTGCTTAGCCCCTGGAAAGGCCACAGCAACGTTGCACCCCGGCCTGTTCCGGGCAGACTCAACACCAAGGCAGACTTCATGACCAAGGTCATGTGAATCATGCTCTAATTTACGCAGATGCAGGACAAGGAGTACTCCAGGACTGTTTATTTGAGCCTGACTTGGTGGCTACTGGACGCTGCATGTGCATATGCGGTCCTCTGTCCAGTCAAACGGAGTGTGGTGAGACAGGGTGATCCTCAGACATCAGCGTCAATTGCTCCGAGAGTGCTTGCTGTTATTAGGTATGACAGACCACGACCCCCCCGCATGGCAAAGTATTTAAGTAGCTTAATAGATCTCTTAATTTGCATCGACGCCCATTTATCATAACTCGACTGCCGAGATCATCTCAGCAAACCGCGTCGGCGACAACAAACCATTCACCAAAAACAAAGTCGCTCATCCCATGAGTTAGATCGGCCTAGGAAAGAGCTATGAAGGCATTCGAGCAAAGCGGAATATCTCCAAAGGCCCACATGTGGCTTCTCCAGCGCCTATGGCCCCAACTACCTGCCTCAGATTGTCACCTTGAAGATTACAAGTGCTTCCTCAATTTCCTCGACAAAGAAACATCCAAAATCCACCGGGCACCACTTCATCATACAAAAAGTTTACCTGAACATATCCCGGACTACATTGATGTGGTGGTGCAAAACGTACTGGAAACAAAAATCCGAATCAGCGAGGTACTCGATCTTCGCTCAACAAAACTTACGAAAGTTGTTCAACCCAGGGAAAACACAGCCAAAAACACGAATGTCATGACAGAGGCACCATCCGAAAAGCTTGGAAATGAAGTTTCCAGAAGTCTAGATCTTGTCGCCAGACTTTGGCTTACCATCAATTTCGATACTTTACCCCTCGGTCAAATCTATCCTAAGCCAGTACAATTGGCCTGGGAAGAAACCAAGACCCTTCGCCAAGTGATCGACAGTTACTTTGCAGTCACTCTTGCCGACCGGCCTGCCGAGTTGAAACGGGGTGATATTCCATCCACTTTCAACATTACGGTGCTCTGCGAACGATATAATTTTTTCATTCGTTGGACTTCCAACCTAGCTGAACACTTGCAAATTGAAGAAAATTCGGGCCAAAGAAGTGTGATGTTGTACGAACATATTGTGTGTCTCTGGAACCATTTGGAGTATTCGAAAGATTGCCCTGTGCCTCAGAGCCTGCTCGAAGAAACACTGGATACTCTAGTTCTTCTGTTTCCATACGAAGACACTGGAACCATGAAACTACTTAAGAGAGAGAAGAAGAATTTCTGGAGACTGGGGCGCTGTGGCCGGACAAGGAAGGTTGAGCTCGACGACTTTTCATACTGGAAGCCAGGCATTCAGAGGTTACTGGAGGAGTACAATAAGCCACCTCGAGGGACCCAGCAAATTCGTCTCGACAAGGAGGGGCGAAATTTCCTAGAGTTTTCCACGTTCTGGACGGCACTCCTCGTTGCTATCTTGACTATACTGGGCATTGCCTTTGGGACGATCGGAACTGCATACGCCATCAAGGCCTACAATTTGTCCTACAAACAATAACGTGCTATCACAAAAGCAGTACGCGCTTGACTTGGTTCAAGCTTGCGCAGATTCGGAAGCGCCCCAGAAATGGCCAGAATTTTGCAGGAGCTAGGCAGGACTGTTGTATTGTATCGGCGAGGTGGCAGAGGTCAACAAAGCACAAACGCGATTCCATTCATATTCAGTTCATCAAGTGTTATCAATGTATTCAGAAGCCTAGTCGTCGTCATCATCATCATCTCCACCCTTTCCCCCCCCTTTTCCTTTATCGTCATCCCCGCCCTCTCCCTCACGGAACGCATTCGGAGTCACCGCAACCGCCCGACTCGATCCAGCAACTGGTTGCCCAGCGGTGGCAGCCACCGCATCAAATTGCGCAGACTTTGCGTTTCCGAGACGAGCAGTAAAAGGACCAAATCCTCGCTCGTGAAACCCCAAAGTCGCTCCAGGATTTCCGGGATATCTCACCGCCTTCTCCGACAAAGCCCAACCCATAACGGCGTTGGCACTCGTAGCTTCCGGTCCGAGCCCCAGTGTCGCATCAAGACAATTTTCGCAGAGAAAGGTATACGTCAAAGAGGTCGCGTTGACGGAGACACCCTCAGTAATGGGACGGACGCCAAAGTTGCCCTTGACTTCTGGTGGGTTGTCCTCGTTGGTGCCCTGACGGAAGGTAGCCATGACACAACCCTGGCCATCTGGCCATGCCGCGAGGAAGAAGTTTCCTTCCATGTCACCAGTCAAACCCATTGCGCCCCACCCGGCGCCGTTGACAAGCGGGAACGACAGCTGCCCGATGAAAGATGATGAAGCTGTTTCCGGCAAAGCCATCGCAAAGGCGAAGGAGGTGCGGGCGCCAAAGAAACGTTCCATAGCCAGGCCTGTGGCCTGGTCTACGAAGAGAGCGCTTTGCTGAGCTGGTGAAGAGGTGGGATCTTCAGCCTCAATGAGGATGGCGATGGAACAGAAGAGAAGGATCGAGTAGAAGAAGGTAGGGCTAAGCAGCCTCAGGGGCAGGAGAAATTGTGACGACATGATGGTATCGTGGGAATAGGCTCTGTATCGAATTGAGTGATTACGATATGCCGGCGAACCAGCGCACGACCGAATTTGATAGATAAACTCAAAGGGGAAGACGCGTTGGAGGCTGAAGACTTTCTACTCGAAACTGACTTAGAGAGATATTCTATACTACTTTATATATTCTAGTTGTCTGCCGTCCACCAAGTAAGTATTAGCCAAGACGCAGTCATGTTTTGACAGCTTCGTCTCATTGAGGCGTACAGGAGGAGTTGATGAGGCCATGTTTGAGCCAAGATTAGCACCTGTCCAAACTTCCATCACATAACAGCTAACCATCGGACGCATCGTGGTCGACCTCTCAGAAGGCTGATTTTAGCAATCAGACCCGGACTTTTCTATTAATATGTCGAGGTTGTTTGGCAGGATTTAGCGACGCACTACAAGTCAAGGTGTCTGACAGGCAAGTCGTTTCGGGTTGTCTGGGGTAAGGCCTGGTCGCGCATCATCCGTGATGTGCAGCCAATGAGGCCGGTATGGAGCCCCATATTTTGGCCGTTTCATGGACGCAAGGCGGGAATAGTCTCACGACAAAAGAAATCCGATCTCCTCGCTATCTCTTGCCTCGACTACGCCGTAACTTGCAAATAGATCTATTTCGAGAGAGAACTTCGTAAATCGGTAGAGAGGCGTAGAGGCTCCAGCAGTATTCCTGCATGCGGAAACGGCTACGTCGGCGGAGACAAGCTTGGCGGCTCGTCAAATGAGAGGTAATGAACCATGCGATGACTTGCTGGGTTCGCATTCGAAATTCAAGGAGTTTTACTGCCGTATCGAGTTACATCGTTGACATGGAACTATACTTCTTTACCGGGCGATATGAACTATTACCCCGCCAAGATCGTCTCTTGGACAGTTTTCCGCCCAGCCGTTCGAAAGGGACATCATTCAGTGCCAAGCATTTGGCATCGGGTCGACTTGTCTTCGTCTTGAACCCGGCGATATGGTTTTGCCTGAGGAAAACGAGACCACCGAGAAGTTTAGTCGGTGTTGTACTTGGCACCATGATGACTACCTTTGCGGAAAATCTTGATGGCAAGAAGTAGCGACAGCGAGGCTTGGCTTGGCTTTCAACGCCAGATCAGGCCTTGGCAAACAGGAGTTGCTGAATGTCTGAACGTGATCTCGAATCTGCGCTAGGTAAGTCAACCCACCCACTTTCGGCCACCCCATTAAATCCCTCCCAGCCACCGCATTAGTTATTATCCTACCCTCAATGTACAAACCACCATAACAATTACAAAAATCGACCAAATGGATTTTCTTTTCGCACACTTATTTATTGATATGTAATGGTCGATTAAACCGAAAATGAAGTTGATCGGGCTCTTCTAGCTATTGTAGACGGTCTCTCGGTCAGGAGAGCCTCGATTGAGTTTGGAGTACCACGATCAAAACTTCGCAATCGCATAAGCGGCTAACAGAATCGAGCAAGGGCTTTTGCTGAGCTTCAGAGGCTTCCTCCTTGGCAGGAAGATAAGCTAGCTGAATGGATTCGAATTCAGCATACTCTAGGAGTCTCTCCAACCCATGAGCAAGTTAGGGAATTCGATGAGCGAGTTCTGCGTGCTAATGGCGATACTAACCCTATTAGAAAGGGATGGATCTATGCCTTCCTTCAAGAAATCCATCAATCAAGGTCCAGAGAAGTCGTACCATTGATTCAAGGCGTGTTAATGGAGCAACTACTAAGGTAATTAGGCCCTAGTTTAGATTACTCGAGATACTAGAGATTAAGGGCATTAAACCAGCCAACCGGTATAATATGGACGAGACTGGTATCCTTAAGGGCAAGGGATCTAATGGATTGGTCTTAGGTATGGCAGAGACCAGAGTAGTGCGAAAAAAGAGCATGGATCGCGTGCTTGGGTCTCTATTATCGAGTGTATCTCTGCTGATGGTAAAGCCATCAAGCCATTGGTCATATATTGGGAAAGTCTGTCTAACAGCAGTGGTTTCCCCTTCAACTTAACCCATATAAGGGTTGGCACTTCACAACAATAGATAATGGGTGGACGACAGACCAGACTGCCCTCCATTGGCTGAAGGAGGTGTTTTTGCCAGAGACCCAGACCCCCCCCCTTTAGGGACCCCCTTGGTCGACTTAACGGTCAAAAGGAGCCTCGATTGTTGGTTCTGGATGGCCATGGGAGTTATACGACGACTGAATTTATGTAGGAGTGCTTTAGTAATAACGTCTACTTGCTCTTCTTGCCACCACATACCTCTCATGTCCTTCAGCCCCTGGATATGGCTGTTTTTGGATACGTTCAGAACAAGAACGGACGACAGCTAGTAATGGGAATTTACATGGGTTCAGCGTTTAAAATTTCAGACCCCAAATGCTCCATGCAGCCCCGCCGGTTGGACTTCCCCTCCCCAAAAATCTGGATGATCCCGTTCGTCTGATCGCCCCAGGGTCAGGGGCAGTCTCAGACCTCGTGTCATCTTGCACCATTTTTTGGTGCCGCGAGCAAAGGCAGAGTTCCTGAGGCTCTTGACAACCTTGGCGCCGGGCGTTCGGCAACTTCGCGTTCGCTTGCTGTTCGACATGTTGAACTTGGCGAATGGAGCAACAGATGCATCTCGTTTCTAGGACACGGGAACGAGCTTGTTTTCTGATGTGAAATCTCGCTCGTACACCTTGAAGCTATGGGAGGCCTTGAATCAAGAGAATTTGAGAAGCAAAGCTATCATAGCAAGACTCGGAGACATTCTGGGCTAGATGCTCAGGTGTCCTGCGATGCACAGCATTGGTTGACGCATGCTATGAGAAACATATGCTCAAAGTGCTTATTTTCAGCACCTCAAGCTCCGTGAGCTAGTGACAACACAGTGAGCACCCACATCTCAAGCAAGCAGGTGTTCAGGCATGCACATAGGTCACATCTCGCCTAGGATCATGAAGGAGGGCAAGCCCGACCTCAGCATCCCCGCCTCAAAGCGGGTTCCATCACACTACGGCGTTGTGGCAGAGTGGTCTAATGCGCAAGACTAGAAATCTTGTTCCTTCGGGAGCGTCTGTTCGAATCAGGCCAGCCTCGATATCTTTTGAATTTCCAATGTCTTTTTGTCACGAAACAGGAATGGTATCAGCACTTGTCAAGCATCTTGCCACGTGCTTTCTCACGTGGATATCACACTCTCTTAGTATATAGACTGCTCTCATGTGCTCATTCTAGATGGGTTACTTCAAGCCACTTTAACCCACTTCATATGCCCATTGCTGCGTGCCATAACTCGTGACACTTTTTGCTGTTGATGTTATCAAGATCTGGGTTGTGAGGTTTCGTCAGACTTCGCACTTTTGAACATCAAATCCCGTGCGTTTTGGTCACTGGAAAAGTGGAAACTTTGATTTTGCACATTGTGTCTTTTTGTTGGAGACCTTATCAGATGGAAAACGCCACTTATGTCAGCGCGTCTCCCTCGACTTATAGCATCGCTGTCCACCGCTTCTGCAGGACGTCAAGCCTCGGCATCCAAGACAAATCGTGTCTGGTCACGATGCTGGAGTGTACCTGCCTATGTCATGATGGAAAGTGGCCTGACCAAAAAGCCAGCGCCCAAAACAAATTTAACTTATTGTTCTCACGATCCATCTGTCAGACAGCACGAATCCCGTCCAGTCGGAACCCCATACTCTGCGGGGTTTCTCGGTGTCCGACGACACCATCACGATGCCAACGTATAGGAAAAATACATGTATTCCGTGATTTTGTTGCGTTGATTGATAATCTTGTCAAAGATCGAAGGATACTGAGCATATCTACCTAGTCGCTCGCCAGGCAACAATTCCGAGGTTCCATTCTCACAGCCTGCTTGACCCCAACCTCGCAAAAACCCGCAAGCGATGCTCCAGGAATGCCAAGCCGCCAACTCAAAAGCAACCTCAAGCCACAACACAATTCACACCAGGGTCCAACAGAGACTAGCGAACGCCTCTCTTGGGGCTCCCCTCAACTCCATTCGTCAAAGTCGTCAAATTTGACTCAGCCGCACCGCACCAGTCGCCGTTAATTAGGGCGCAAGAAAAGTATGACAGAACCTTGCCCTGTTGGCGTGCAAAAGGCTGTGCCGCTTCAAGTGTCTGTACTATGTAATACCGTGCATGTACGCTTGCACGCTTGATAGCGTTGTTCATTTGTCTTTGCCTATCGTGTACCTAGTTCCAACTTCCAAGCGGGGCATCTCGTGCCCGAGTCAAAGTAAGCATTCGAGACGTGTCGACGATCTGGACCTTGAATCGGCAGTAGCTTGAGAGCTTCACTTCGCTTACTCGCAGGAGCTAATAAGCTAGAGAAGTTAGAGAAACAAGGTTAAACGAGCTGAGCTCGCTAGCCCAGGCTGACAGGAATGCGGGGACGGGATGGACAGGCGGACTCGGACTCGGAGTCTTGCCTTTTGGTGGCAGGTGATGTCAGTCGGGCAATCCACTTCTGGTGGAGATCAGGCAGGATCGTTGATCTACGATTTGAGGTTGTAGATACCAACATCTCGGTGATCTACGTGGAGTTCGGATCACTTCTTTGGACAACCGACCAACCGCAGCCCGTACATTGACCTACCCCGGAGCGATCCACCCCGAAAGTACCCTCGTAGGTCTCCTTACTTTCCCTTCTCTGTATGGATGACTCAAGCTGCTTATCTGAACACGAGACGCCTCTCACGACCCTCTCATTAAACCATGTTGCCATGCAGAAAAGAAACATCTTAATGTCCAACAAGCGTGATTAAACCCTGCATGTCTAGCTCATCCCCATAAGGCTCACCCACCATCTCAACCTCTCTACTCCGCCCTATCCCCTTCCACCATCCAGCATCCCAGACCCATTCATGTTCCCGTCCAAAGGGTCACCAAAGACCCCAGTTCTTGTATAGAGTACAAGCAACCCGCCTTGCCAAGAAACAATCGCCTTGTCAATCAAGGGATTAAAGGACTTGGCAACAAGGTAAACGCCCGTCCTATTGTTCATCCCACCTCCGCCCGCGCCCCGTGTCCGTGTGACTTTGACCGCAAACAAGCACCCAAGAAATAGAGATGGACGTCGGGTAAGCTTTGACAAGGAAGCTAGCGAGCGATGAGCAAGGTCCGGGGTTGGAAGCTTGGTATTCAGCTCTGCAATCCTACATGGTACGGTTGCCTATGCCTCACTCAGCCTGATCAACGGCTTTGTATGAGTGGCTACTCTTGGGCAGGACTCGATAGAAAGCCACGGAGATGTCAAAGTCGAAGACGCCCGCCCTACAAGGCCAGTATTTCTTCTTGACTTGAGTCTGGCCAAGAACTACATATACCACGACGTAAGTCTCTGGAGTTGTTCAACGGTCTCGTGTCTCTCGCCCCTCAGAGCCTTTGAGCTTCAGGCGAACGCTACCTCAATACAATATCATCTCTTTTTAACAAACAAATCAAAGAGCTCACAAGTCACACCCGCAAACAACCAATCATGCTCTCCAAACACCTCTTGTCCCTCACCTCTCTCCTCCTCCCATTCCTAACCCACGCCGACGAACCCCAAAACTTCGACGGCTCAACCTCCCTCTCGACCCCAGCATACCTCTTCCCCGGCACCGACTCCACAATCCCGATCCTCAACCTCGGCGCCGCGGCCGCGGCCTCGTGCGCCATCGGCCAGAAACCCTGCGACAACGGCTGTATCCCCGTCACCGGATCATGCTGTGGCACGGGATCGGGCGGATACTGCGAGGTGGGCAAGTACTGCACCTCAGGCGGCTGCTGCCAAAACGGCAAGACGTGTTCCGGTCCGCCGCAGGGGTGTTCTGCTGGCAAAGTGCTTTGCAATGGGCTTTGTATCCCCTCCGGCGCGGTATGTTGTTCAAATGGAGGGTACTGCGATGCCGGGAAGACGTGTACTGGTGATGGGTTCTGTTCTGGCGGTAGTGGAGGCGGGGGAGAAGGTAGTTCTTGTGGGAACGGGCAGATGTTGTGTGGGACTGGGTGTATGCCTTCGGGACAGACTTGTTGTCAGACGTATTACTGTCCTGCTGGAAACACTTGTGTGGGCGATAAACGGTGCAATAGCGGAGGAGGAGGAGGTGGTGGTGGTGGTGGAGGAAGCCAGTGTGCGGCTGGTCAGACTCCTTGCGGCTCGGGATGTATGCCGGCCGGGCAAGTCTGCTGCGATACATACTTCTGCGACGCCGGAGAGACGTGTATGGGAAATAAGAAGTGCAATAAGGGTAGCAGCGGCGGCGGCGGCGGAGGAGGAGGTGGTGGTGATACCAGCGCGACATCCAGTTTGCTCGCAACGATACCTGGTAGCGAAGCGGGCACGACGTCTCTGAGAGATTTCCCTCAGCCCACGCAGACACTTGATGGCGGTGATGATGGGCCGACATCATCGTCGTCAAGATCTTCGTCGTCGACAACGAGGTCGGGGACAACCACGACAAGCGCGGCACCGACATCGACGTCAGCCCAGGCTGCAGCATTCTTGGGACGATATCTTGACGGCTCCTTCTTGATTGCGGGCCTCCTCGTTGCAGCGCCGCTAGTTATCTGAGAATCAGCTGGAAGTAGTACATTCCAGGAGTAAGAACGACAAATGAGTAACGCGAGTGTGCCACTAAATATCAAGAGAATAAGTCTATAATTTGAATCATATTCCTTAACCAAGTCTCGCTCCCTAACGCCTAGAGAATCCCCGTTAACGCCAAACCTTTTCGAGCCCATGTTGATGCTAGAAACGTCCAGGCGCCATGTGTAGTGCTATCCAAGCAATGCTGCCTACGCCCGTAAATGTGTCATGATAGTCCTACAGATACCTGGGCCTCATCCACTCAAGATTACGAATGCTCAGGTTGAGCCCGTTACCAGCCCACCACTTCCGTACCGGCTCTTGATCGCCGATGCTGTCCTCCAACGCCTCTTCGATATCGCAGGTTCGGTATTCGACGCGGTGTTTCCGTCCTTCCATTCCTTCAAGCTCGCCATATGCAAATTTGCGCCACCACTCCAAGACTCCAATGTGCTGGTGGATTGTAGGTTGAACGAGGACTTCGCCATCGAAAGCAAGCTTGTCGTCGCCCTTGAGCTTCCTCCAAAGTTCAAGAACACCGACCTGACCCCACCGTGAAGCAATCTTTGCTACACCATCTCCATTGGCAACAGGAATACCAGAGGCCACCCACCAACGTATGACGTCAACCTGGCCGTGCTGGGCTGCCCACAGCAATGACTTCCCAGGCCTGAGCACAATGTTCTCGTCCTGGGCAGCAGCATCACGCCACCATTCGAGCACAAGAAGATGACCCTTTCCACTGGCCTGCTCGAGAGCAGCCTCGGTGAAGCGGAGCGGTAAGCCAGAGCGACGCCACCACCAGTCTAGAATCTGTATATAGCCGTTCTTGGACGCGCCATCGAGGACTTCGGCGTCGTAGCACTGTTGGTGGCGGCCACGGAAGTTTCGGCTCTCCTTCCAGTAGTCGAGGACGTCGGGTCGTCCAAAGTATGCGGAAGCCTTGGTCGCGAGGACCTTGCCGTCGAAAGCCTGAAAGAGATCAGGACGGTTGGCTTCCATCCAGGTTAGGACTTCAATGAGTGAGAAGCGGATAAGAAGTTTGATGACCAGTGCCGGGAGTTCGTGGAAGGTAGGCGGTGACTGAAGCAGCTTTTTGCAGATAGAGGTTGAGTCGCCTGTAAGTACAAGCCACTCCAACTCGTGCTCGTAGACCTTGAGGGGATCATTGGGGTTCCTGGGTTGCAGCTTCCAGGGATATGGCATTGGTGTGTTGGTGAAAATCCCCAAGGCCTGCGCTAACTCCCAGTCGTCGGCAAAGTCGAGAATGATAGTCCAGATCTCGGGCGGTAAATTGGAGTACACTCGCGGATCACCTGAGGCGAGGTAGCCCAGATGGGTGACGACGTCCACATCCCGACCCAGGCCCAGCAGGTCCGCTTGATTCTTGATGATGCCCAGCACATCATTAAAGCCGTTCCAGTTGACAATTCGCTTAGGGTGTTTATGCGAGCTGTCGTAGTGCCAAAGGATAGGTGGCATAGCTCGTATCCAAGGCCATTTGCTATTGATTTTGTTCAACTGCCTTTTAGTGACCGGGTTCTCCCACATGTGCGTGCTCATTCCAGGGACGAGGAGCACCTTCTTTGTCGTGTCCCAGCCGCGAAGGACCTCAAGAAGGAAAGTATCAGCGATCCCCACCATCATCTTGGCAATGTTGTCGGCGTCAATCGGGGCGAGAACCAAGAGATCAGCCCACTCGACCAGCTCGAATGCCTGCTGGCGGTAGAACTCGATATCGTCAACGTCTGCTTCGGAGCCGGCACGCGACGGACCCAGCGGTAATGTCATGGATCGGTTCTGCATGGTGATGACAGTCTGGCTAAGGCGGGGCACGGCATCGTCGACGATGGCGCGCATTTCAATGGCCGAACTCTTGGAGAGACGGACAACGAGAGCTTGTGCCCATGATATGTCGCGGGGCCCATTGGCGGCCACTAAGAGGTGAAGTTTTCGGTCGCGCGGCTTGAAATGGAGTGACGAGGAGGAGGAGGCGCTCCTCGTTATTCGGAGCGGCAAGGGGTCGGGGGGATCCATCGTGTCATGCTTTGGTGGCTTGTGGGATATATCGTGGTGATCGAGGCGGTATCGTCGGCAGTCAGATTATTGAATTCGGGTCGATCGACGGCGGCTGAGAAGCCAGGTAACGGACGCGGTCGTAGATATGAGGGCCGTATTTTACCACTCCCCGGCGAGGTTGCGATCGGAGGCGGGTGTCGAGGTGATAAGGTCGAAATATGGACTTTGGGCGCGAGTCGAGTTGCCAAGGAGTAGGTGGTGACTGTGAGTCGGTGAAGAAGATCAAAAGTCGTTGATCGGCGGTCGTAGATAGCAGGGCTCTACTTGAATCTCGGGGACAGGCGTGGTCTAGTGGATTTGTGATTTATCGGCGGTTGGTGGTGTGTTGTCCGTGACAGCGTTTGCGGTGTGTGCAACGTCGCGTTGGGTAGGTCTGCAGTAGTGGTGGTCCAGCAATTATCCGGGGTCCGTAGGTAGTACAGCTATTAGGTGGTAAATCAGACCAGGCGGGATGCGTGTGCAGGTATCCGATCCGCAAAGCAGCGAAAGGTTGCGTGAGGTCGCTCGCAAGTCAGATCAGCGAATGATAGGTTGGAGTCAAGGAGAGTCGTGGTTGGCAGACGGGAAGAATTGGACATAGATAGGTCGCAATATGTGGCATCACCATGACATGGGTGCGAATTCCTTAATTCCACTCTCGGGACGAGGTGCATGCGGTGACCGACCGACCGAGTGAGTGACGACGGAAGAGGGGGAACGCTGATGGGTGGTCCTCACTTCGTCGGTGACCGGGAACAAGCAGGGCTTGTCTGTCGATGGTAATGGCGTCGTTGAGTGTCGCTTGTCTTTGATTTCTTTCTAGACTTCGATGATTCGTCGGGCAAGGAGGCAGCGAAGCGAACTGGATGCGAAAAAAAGAAAAAAAGAAAAAAAAAAAAGTCCGGGCTTGTTCCCTTGGGACGACGAGAATGCGAGCAGCAGCAACAGCACACACGAGACGGCGGACGCAGAGACGCAGATGGGGATTTTCGGGAAGACCAGGACGAAGGAGTGGGGAATTCCTGCAGGGCAGAATGGAAGGGGGGGCAGACGGAAAAAACAAGGGGTTGTTGACAGGGAAGAGTCGAGTAAATGCAGATTGAGAGGGGAGAAGGAATCTTCCTTTGCTGGAGATGGAAGCGGTCCACGAATCCGTACCTTGGAAAGACACCGGGAGGAAAAAAGAGGAGGGGAGACTCAGACAGACGGTGACGGTGACATTTGTGGAGACCTTGCGGGGCGGAAAGTCTGCCGTCCTTTCTTTCCAAATTCTTCTTTTTCTCTCCTGTCACTTGTGAGACCGGCACCTCTCTGGCGGCTTGCCTCTCGTGCCTCTGTGCCTCTGTGAGACGGTGAGACCTGCGATGAGGAGGCGTCGGTGAGCGGCAATTACCTAATCTGCCCCGCCTTTCCACGGTTATCATACGCTCCTACTCCGTTACGCGGTTATTAGAAAAAGTAGTACATATTAAGGGAAAAATACTTCTACACCCATATTTACTTAGAACTACTACTAAAATTAACATTTATTATATTAATTCTATTAGTTAACTTAGTTACGTTATAGAAATTAAGTTTAAAAATAATTAAGTTATAATAATAAAATTATTAAAACATTATTTTACCTTTTTATTTAAAAAGAAATTTATTTACTAAGATATAGAATTTATTCATTGGTTAGTTAACTAACTATAGTATCTATATTTATAAATTATAAATATATCATTAAAATTGTGGAAAATCAATGAGTCTAGATATATTTATAAAACATCTGTAGCCCTTATATTCATTAGAATATTAATATTTATTTCTTATATTAACTATAGAGTACTAGTTCTAGGATATTAATTGAGTATAAGTTTTAGAATTTTAGTAAATATGCTAAGTATTAATATTATTGAATTTAAATTTTTTTTATTAGTAAAAGTGTTAGTTATTTATAGGAGAAATTAAAAAGGGGGTAGGTGCGGGGAAGTAGTAACGTATTTGGTGTGCCATTTTTTCTGACAACCGCGTGTCCGTAAGGTACCAACCAACAAGGGCGGTAGGCTTTTTTTTTTTTTTTTTTTTTTTGGCAGGAGTCAGACTGAGCCTCTGAGGTGCGCCTTCCTTAGCAAGTTCTCCGTATCTACGTCACCGGCGCTCCTGCCTCCTGAGACAGTTTAACCAGTGGCGGCAGGTCCAAAAATGCAAGCAAGCAAGACATCCTTCCCTTCCTGCCTTTCTGCCTTCCTGCTAATGAAATTCTCCGTGAGTCGGTCCATTGCCGTTACCGGGTTGATTCTCATTAAGGTAGGTACCGGACCGTTATCTCCTTGGTACTTAGGGTAGGTGCTCACCGAGACATATGGACCTCTTCACTCTGGGACTCACTCACCCTCCTATATCATTGCCCAAAGGAAAGTACAGATACGATACGTACTCCAGTCAATCATAAGGTATCGCCGCTTCAAGCAACTCATGAGTCACCAGCCATCTCAACCTCCCTGATCGACTGCTGTCAGCCTGCCAAACCCAGTTATCGGATCGGCTCATCCTGGCCGCCATAAGGCAAACCCCAAGACTTATTTTCTGCTCGTCTCAGCCTGCTAAGAAGAGCCCCCTGTTTTGCATTTCCCACTCCCGAGTCTGCTAAGTTTAGCGCATTCCGGCGTTGCCCCGCAGGGTCCTCCGTGTCATCGACGCCGGATCCCCACCCAAACGGCGAGTAAGTGTGAATTTCATCCCGACTTTTTCAACCCTCCTTGAGGAGCCTTCAAGCGAGACCCCAGTCAACCACCCCGGGCCGGAGAGAAATTCTTATTGATCCATCCAAGATAAAGCTTGCTGACATAATCCAACCATGTCGCATTAGCTTGACCCGCGGTCTACCTCTATGCATGGCCTATCTGTAGGGAACTTTTGTAGGTTGTCGGATCCTCCCTAGAATGCGGCATGCCACTGCTGCTTTATTCCGTGTGGTGTTGCTTCTTATCCTTAGGACAGACGGCTACTGCGATACGTTTTATGAACTCGGTGTTCCGTCGAGCAGACCCCCTGATACTTCTTGCTATCATCAACGAGGCAACAATATTATTCTATGTCGAAGTAGATTGTAGACACACCTCAATATGATGCGCCGCCAATAACCCAATGAAAAACATTGCCTCACCATTGAGGCAATTCACGGCTTCATCGGATTCAAGGTACCCATTTTTGATTCGCTCATCAGTAGAGTTAAGCTTCTCTCATACACCCACGAGTTAATGAACTCTATTCTTGGCACACACCTCAACCTCGTTCTCGGTTGACTAACGCAGTTTAAACAAGGTGTATGCATCGATCTTACACATTAGATTCCTGGTGCGTTACGGCTTATATCACCAGATGAACAAGATGTCATGTGATTAAGAAGATATGAATGCATAAAGACGATGCCATCGCGAATAATGGCAAGCAGGAACCAAATCCCGCATTACCTACTTCAATGGCTTCAAATGAATCAGGATGAGTCTAGCCACCAAGACCGATTCTTGTGACACGTCAGATCCGGGGACCATGGGACTTTTCCACTTCGAAATACCATTAAGTTGCGCTACCCACAGTACTGATTATCCTTTGTGGGTATGCTAGGCATCAAGAGGTCACCGTCTCCATGCTTCGCCGACAAGCCCACTTTGCGGGCTCATAAATTACCGGTGACAACTTATCGAATAACCACTCTTGAGCCTTACTGCTAGTCTCCAATGTCTATAAGATAGTTGTAATGTGCATGGGCTGGAAGATGACAGTTCTTCTCAGAATGCGCAGATTGCACCTTTTCAAAAGATCATTTATTTCAATACAAGTCCACACCAGGTGTTTGTGTCTACATATCGTAATCCGCAAACAAGAATGTTGTACCATCGCTCCTTCTGGGCTTGGGCCATGGCCTGTATCATCACTGCCGCCAATGCTACCTCTGCCGTTCCTTTCACCTGGCCCCCTCCGCAAGGATCCATGTCAGACTTCGAGTACAACCTACGATACGGATGCGACTTCATGATTTGGTGCGGTGGATTTGATGGCGGATGCTCCGCCGAGGTATCTACTATTTACAACACCACACACTCATGCCGTTGCTAATGCGCCCATGTGATAGTGTCAACGGCAAGGAAAACAAGGCTGGACATGTACAAGTCCCAACTGCGAGTGTCTTTGCGAATAAGACAGTGGCCATTCGGTTGGTCCCTGTTTCAGGGACACATCAGAAGGTCCATCGAGCAATTCTATGCAGTGCTGTTTCCATTGTGACATTGACATTGGTTTCAATGTATCCGAATTATCCGAGACCAGCGCCTATCTTGACGGGGAGTTACTACTAGGCAGGTAGTAATGAGAGGCTTTGAGGCAACACTCCTAGAGGAGCAACTAGACTCCGCAACACAGCATGAATTGACCTTGGGCTCCATGTAGCCAGCCTAAATATCCGGGTTACGAAAGCAGCGTCCATTATTTGGATCGGCCCTATGTACATACAATAAGCTTACTGCGAAATCCCAGTGTCATGAGGGTTATGAAAGCAAGCTTACGTGTATTCCCAATTACCGTACGCCGTATGCCCCCCTTGTGCGCACTTTGCTTCCTTTGAGAGGCCATTCACGCACTCAGGGCTATGAATGGTACGCGTTGCACCGCTGCCAAAATACTGCGAAGAATCAGAATCAACTAGAAAATCTGCAGAAATGGAGTCGATACCTTCAGCTCAATGTCCCACTTGATGCCATTCTTGTCATGCACACAAATCCGTCGGAACTCGCCCTTGTTGTAGAGACCTGTAAGCAAGCCGCACACAACGCCGAGATCTAGGACGTCGTTATTGTTGGCGTATCCTGTTCGCGGTCCTGATTTGTAACATTCCCCGAGAACTGAGGAGGGTCCAGCAAGGAGGGCAAGAGGGAGGATTTGGATGAGACGCATCGTGCTAAGGACTGGAGAAGATAGCCGCTTTATTTCAGGACTCGTCAGTGATCGAGTCTTTGGGATAGTGATTTCTTCTATGGCAAGCAGACCGAGTACCTACTTATAGTGAAGGGCTGCACATCCGGGAAGTTGCTACTTCGAGCATGACAAGCTGCCATAAAGGCCAAGAGCAGTTTCCAGCTCATCAGTCCGAAAGCAAGCAAGCTGCAACGATCGTCCTCGTGTCAATTTTTATGTTGCCGATCTTTCGTGTCGAAAATTACGTGAGCTTGTATTCATTCCTAGGTTACTATCAAGCAGGTATCGAAAGCAAAATTTGCTGATTTGTCGGATGCCAAAGCCCAGAACCGGTGTACACATCGCTTGATGAGACGGTCAAAGACTCTCGAACTGCTTGTATCTCCTAGAGACTACGTGAAGCTACTCAGCTGTTTGCATCATAATAATCCATTGTTTCTATTCCATTACCTACCCCTACATACACCCTGCATCGTTATATCACCTGTCTGAAAGACAGCATCTCGTCACATGAGCGTGGAATTCTGACCTTTTTGCAATGTCATAGTTTTGTGGCGTTTCCAGGTCAATTGGCAAGCGATAACACAACACACTGCAGGCAACAGGTTGAGGAAGCAAACAACGTGCTGAAAGACTCTGTAGCTCAAGCACCAAGCTGTGATCTTCAGACTCTCATGTTTACAACATGATCCGTTTCGCCGCCAAGCAAACCATGGTCGCTTTTTCAAACATCGATCAATGTTTGCTTTCCTTGTGATCTTGATTTCTGTCGAGGCCACGAATGTCTTCGATGTCTCCACTGATACTTCAATACCAAGAAGCGAAACATGTTGCCGCGGGGCAAATCACTACCTAAAGTGCGTAATGTGTTTTTGTCTAATATTTAAATTTGAACTACCCCCGCAAAGCAAAACCTTCAGGAGACTCCTACCTCAGCCAACGCTATCGTTAGCTCTTGATCACAATTTCAATAATTCTCCAAGATATTGGCTACTCCGTCCAAAATGAGGACTTCGCCACTTTCTCACCTTCTTGTTCTCGCCGTCTGGGCCGCCCTTTCCTCCTGTGCTGTTTTTGTAAAGAATGCTGGCGAGGTCGGCGACATCTTCCGAGGTGGTTCACAGACAATGACAGGTCCTATCGAGAAACGCTCAGTTCTTGTCAGGGATAACCTGAAACGTGATAGAGCCGAGGAAAATGATGCGGTGTTCTCTGCAAGGTAAAGTCATATCAAACATCAAGCATAAATCAAGTAACTGACAGTTCACGAAAAAGTATCATGCATCGAATCCAGAAAAGTTCTATCACAGAAGATCTGGCTTCACGGAATGATGATGATGCACTTGCTCCGACAGAGAAAAACCTGTATACTCTTTGTATGGAGCTTTGTAGGGAAGAACATAATGCAGCCAGTTTTGTCCATTGGGACCTGTAAGTCGTATTGTCTTTCTGGTTCGGCTCATACACGTCACAAGAAGTTAACTTAATTCCCAAGAGCTGTATCAAGAGATGCAACCTGAGTTTTCCTCCGGACAGAAGTCATCAACTGAACATGAACTACATACGTCAACACGGGATTGCTAGATTCGCATCTGTGGCTGCGATCAGGCCACTTATGGCGGCAGCCAAGACATGGTGATTGCAGCGTAGTTTTCTAGTTGTTGCTGTACTCGACAATGTTTCAGACACACTTAGTGTATCTTCAACTTTGTTCAAGACATACTGCAACGGCTTACGACGATTCTTGGGGCCTGGAAAGGATTCCAACCGATTCAAATTAAACTTGTTCTGAGGAATAACTACTTATGTTTAACCCCTCCTCGTTTTTCCCTCCATGATGGGATATCCGGGCACTTAAGCTGCATTGAACGATGAATGGCAGACGTGGGTCGAGAAACAAACAATCGTCGGCCGTGACAAACCGACCCTAGAACTTTTGCATGTCGTTCTTTACAACATGTTGCTCGGATGCATGTGTGTACCTTAATAGTAGATTGCAATATCTGAATGGATGCTATCCCGCGCATAATAAGCTACCAGCAGCTCCCAAGCAACGGGTAGACCGCAGGTTTTGAGAGCGCGAAGGCCCACCAGAATTATTCTATTGCAGTAATGCTTACAAGTATTTACATTTACTTAATCTATCGCCGCTAGTATTGGCTGCCAACAGTGAGTGTTTCGGTAGCGACGTAAGATGGCTCCCCTCTCTGGTATAATAGCCATTGCTTCATGCTGATGTGAGAGCAGCTTGAGTGTAATTCTCTCAAAATCATCCCAGCGCTCTGTGATATGCGCTATCTTGGCCTGGATCTTGCGGCGATCACCTTTGTCTATAGTGTCTTTAAGTTTCTGACGCTGCTGGCCCACCTGCTGCTTCTCAGCAGTCAATAATTCGAGCCTGTACATGGCCAGTGAGAGGGCCGAGTCTCCTGCTTTGACCCTGTTCACAGCCTCATTACGTGCAGACCATTCCCCATCGTAATATCTCTGACATCTCCTGGAGCTATGGAATACTGCCTTTCCGGCCGCTGATAGTGGCCCCGTACCAGGGATGGAATAAAACGGCAGGGCACCCCCAAGAATTAAATTGTCGAAAGCAAAAACATCGCCAAGCAACGAGGCCACCATCAACGGTGTAATGCCGTCCGGTGTCGTCGCATTCGGGTCTACGCCGGATTCAAGAAGTTTTGTCACTGTAGTCCCCACTGCGAGATGAAGCGGGGCTGTTCCGTGAGGATCTGGTATTGTATGTTGTTGTTGTTCTATTTAACGCCATGGCGGCAAGGGCGCAGCCGCCCTTGCGGCAGACCTCCCGAAGGGTATGTGGCGTGAAGGGTCGCAGGCTCTAGCTATATACTATATAGTACACGCCGTCTCCTGACGTCCTCCAAATCTTGCTCGTGAGCTACTATGTGTTCTATCCATCCCTAGTTCCCACTGGTGCCCTAGTTCCGTTATAACTATCTGGTTTCTTAATAGAGGTAGTTTGTCGTTTGGAGGATAGGTTATGACCTATCTCCTAGTACCGCGGGCAGATCTTCTGGAAGAAGTCTGTCACGCAGAGGAAGGCCTGGAAGCCTTCAGAGTCAGTGATTAGCCCCTTGAAGTAGCGATCGAGGGACCCTATAGGTCCTACGGGCTCCTGGCGGCTGTAGGGGTAGAGGGTGGGCCACTGTTGCCTCCTCAGTAGGGTCTTTCGGCAGTAGACTAGATGGTCTGCCTCCTTAACCCATCCACAGGAGCAGGTGAGTAGTGCTTCTGTGTGGTTAAAGCGTTGGTGATATTGTTTAAAGTCCCCGTGGCCTGACCGTGCCGCGAGGAGGTGATGAAGGGCAGCCCTAGAAAGGCCAAGTTCAGGAGGGCAAGCAAGGGTGGCCTTGAGCCCTAGTTGGGTATAGCGGGGAGTTGCCTCTTGTTTCCACCATCGTCTATATTAGCGTCTTGGCCGCTCTTTAGCAAGCCACTTGATACCTGATAGAGTAGCTAGTTGGCTCCTAGGGACTGGTAGAGTTGTTCCCTCCCTAGCTAGGCTGTCTGCTTCTTCGTTTCCTTTAATACCTTGGTGCCCAGGAGACCAATGGGTTTGTATATCGTGTATCCTAGCTACCTCCTGGATCTCAAGGAAGGCCGCTTGTGAGGAGTCTGGGATCTTACCGCGAATCCCCTGAATAACGCTGGTATTGTCGATGCAGATGTGTATAGGCTGGCCTTGGGAGGTCTGAAGGGCCCGTCGGAGCCCAGCCCTCGCCCCCTCCGCCTCACCATCAAAAACTTCTGCTAAGCCGAGACGGCCGCAGCCCTGGGCTATACGTTTATTGTTGCGGTAGATAACAAAGCCGTACCCTGTAGCTCCGTCAGGAGCTTTGGAGCCGTCTGAGTATACGACTGTATGCTGACCTGGCACAGTCTTGAGCCAGGCCTGGAAGATCCTAGCTGCTACATCCTTCGTCTGTGTAACTATAGAGTCATAGGACCCTGGGAGGTATTGCGGCTGTAGGAGCGCTGGCCTTGGACACTTAGGTAAAAGGCCAGCTGTTCTTTGAAGCCTGGTCTGTTGCCGCCCTGACTGCAGCAGCCTTGGGACCAAGGGATGCTGTTGGTCAACCTTCTGCAGGCGTATAGCTAGTCTTCATCTCTGTCAGCACTTTCGAGAGAGATAGTCCACGTAATGCCAATCGACGTTGCTGCAGAAAATTTGCACTGAGACGTAGGTCGCGAAGAGCAACAAAGACGAACTCGCCTGAATCTCATCAGTCGATGAAGGTGACCAAGTAGTGAATCCCCTTCTTCTAAAGATGTGGCATCTAAGCCGTCTAGAATCAGAACGCATTGCCACGTCGGTGGCGTAATTGTGAGCAGAATATCGATGCAGTATTCGGCGTGAAATGTTTGTTGTCCACTGCCGCGTTCATCAAGAAACTTATTCAGGAATGGCGCAAGAGCGGGAGTTCTCAAAATCTGATAAACAACGCTGCCGATAACGTTGTTGCACAGTAAAGACTTTTGATTGCCCTCTTTGAAAAAGAAGAAGGCTACTGATCGTAAGTGATCTGTTGCCGTCGAGGCTGGAGGGCAGCATGTCAGCGCTTGCGAAGCAAGTAGAAAATCAAGGCGTATCAGCCAAGCGCGATGGACTTACTCCCAGCCTCAGTTTCCTTATGTGCCAGCACAAGATCTGCAACCACAGAAGCCAATGCGACTGTCTTTCCGGACCCCAAATTGCCTTGTAGCCACAACGTTGCTGACGACTTTGTGCCCATCCACTCTAGATAGCTCTTGTTGTTCAATATCCATCTTGAGGTTCCCTTTTTCCGTTCTCTGCGCCATATGGACTCGAACTCCTTCTGATCAGGGGCCAGAGCCTCAAAAAGACGGTGGGATCGGGTTTCTCTATCGCGCTTGGCAGCATCCTGGGAAAACATGACCTGCAAGCGGCCAAATCTTTCCACAGTAGATGAATGACTTTGAATACTGCTTCTTGCAACGAGAACTGAGACGCGGTTTTCGATCAACTGACCCCATGATCGCAGTTCGTCTTCCAGAGGTTTGAAAACTGCGTCGAACGAAGAAGTGATAGACATTGCCATCTGGGAAGCAAATGACTTTTGAGCGTCGACGGTGATCTTCTTACAGATGTGAACGAAAACGATCATGTATTCGCAAATGTATTTCTGAGTCTTCTGACACGTCGGGAAGAGGAGTACAAAGTCTTGATGCAGTGAGATCGAAAGACCAATCCTTAGTAGCAGGGCTGAAACCTTGTCGAAATAAGACAAGAAGCTGACCGATACCTGTGATTCTCATAAGTTTCTCAAGAGGGCCTGTGAGCGCGACAAGAGTAAGGCTCAATGATGGGTGCTTAGATTGGCACACTGCATACCTCGAGAGCCATCCTGACTGTTGCCCATACACCGGAAGCCAAGAGATTCTGGGCACCTCCAACGAGCACATCGCCTACGGGGGCAAATTGACGGATTCTGTCTAAAATGTTGACAAGGCGGGTAGCGTAGGGTTTCCAAGCGCGATGGCGACGAGCTCCATCGCTGTTGATCTCCTCCGTCAATCGCAATACCTCCGTCGCGTTTGGTGGACTTCTCGTCTGTAGATTCTTGAACCGGATGTGAGCGTCATCTTCGCGGCTCTGGAGAGCAACGCCAAATTCCGATATGGCTTGGGCTAGACGAATTTCAGGCTTCAATTTTCCCACGGTTGCTACCGTTGTCGGGATGTTTTGCATTCTTCGGTGATGTTCTTGCCCATTGATTGGCTTGAGGTCCAGACGACATATCCGTCGACGTTTATCGAACCGGAACCATTGGGGTAGAGATGCGCGGCAAGAAGTCGATTGCGCATAGAAACGGTTTGATGCTCGTGACCTCAATGGCGAGGAAGTGGTTTGGTATGTTTAGTGTGGAAACTGGTGGGGGGCGGTGGTCAGAATCGAAGAACATGAATGCCCTGCCTCTCAGCTCTGCGGCGGCTCTAGGTCGTTCGGACGAACTGGCAGGTCAGCTTTTGTGGCAGTGCCGCAAAACGACTGCTGTGCCACTGTACCAAAGGCTTCATGAACTCATTGGTTGACAAGATTAAGAGCCAGTAGGCTTTGAAGGATTCATGCATCTCGTATGCCTTGTGCGCCTGTCAACGGGCGTAACGAGACGCCACATCATGCACCTATGCAATCTAAGGCGTCCTGTTCATCCCTTCAGATGCCGGGTCAGACAGACAAGATTGAATGTTTGAGATTTCATTCCTCTTGTGACGGAGCCTGCTTATGTGCCCTTTCTGGCCTAGCTAATGTCAAAATTGCAAGATGAATGACGGTGCCCTAGAGAAGGAGCGATAGACGGCAAGTTGAATGAAGGCCAGAACGCTGAATTAGACCCTATAAAACACCATTCGCTATGCCAATGTACTCCCAAAAAGATGCACTTCCGCAGCGTCGGGCTTGGATTTAATCCTGCTTTAATCTGAATCATCGCTGTTGCTCTTTTCTGCCCAATTTTGAGCCCTTGATGCAAACTTGGAAATGCCCAAGACCAGAATGCCGGCTAGAAGAGCGGAGAATGCGGCTAAGTTGTGGTCAGTAAGGCATGGGATAATGTGAGAGAAAAAACAGGTAACCTGAGGGACTTACTAATGGTAAAAGACCAGCCGACTCCAATGGCGTCGATCATCGGCACCAGACCGCCAACGCTGCCAGCTCCGAAACTGTACTGGACGATGTATTTGCTGCTGATGACAGCTGTTCTACGCTCGGGCATTGCCTCTGGCGAAAGAGATTAATCCTGGCCCAAGAGACAAATAAGGTGCCATGAAAGTCTTACCGGCGGAGTATGTGTTCAAACCACTGAAGGACCACATGAGACCGAGGCCCTCAAAGAAGCAGCTGATGATAGGCAAAGCTATTCCACCTACTTCCTTCTGTACGCTCCATCCATAAATCAAGGTGCCGGCTGGCAAAACAACGAAGATTGCCGGCAAGCTGCTCTTGAGCCTGTCCTGAGGCAGACGAAGACCATTGCGCTTTCGGATGTATCGCTTCACAGTGTGGTCAGAGACTCTGCCCCCGATCGTGCTTCCCATCAGAAAACCTGCTCCAGGGGCGAGATAGAAGAGACCACTGATAAGAGGTGTTGTAAGATCGAAACGAGGGTTGATGACTCGTCGGATGGAACTCAGAAGACCGTACTGGTTGAATCCCAGGAGTCCGCAGGCAAAGTTCTGCAAGACAGGTCAGAAGTGCACACTAAAAGGGAGTTTGGCAATGGGGAGAGGGCCTGGTAACTCACAGCTGCAACGATGTTAGGATATTTGAACTGGCGAAGAACACCCATCGGGTTGAATGCGTGAGCCAAGTCACCCATAGATCGGATAGGAGCTCTTTCTGCGACGGCGATCTTCAGATGCGCCAGTTGGCTCGCTTTTGGTACGAAGAAAAAGGCCATGATGAGACCGACAAATGTCATGCCAGCTTGGACCCCGTAGATGACTCGCCAACTAGTGAAGGTCACAATGACAGCTCCCGTCAATGGCGCTTGAAGACTGTCAGTTTGAAGGCCCATTCGCAAAATTCTGGTCTAGTAACTTACCAATTGCGTTTGCCGCCACGCAACTTCCCAAGAAACAACCCACAGCAGTTCCGCGAGTTGTCTGAACATCTGTTAGACTCAATAAACTAGAAAAAGGTGGCTTAGTCTCTACTCACAGGCTCAAATATATCTGCCAAGATGGTTTGTCCGGCCACTAGAAAGAAAGGGCCCGTCGTTCCTCCTATGACCCAAATAGCCGTAAAGCAGGCAAAGCTGTTGGAGAGTGCCGAACCTATCGAACACAGGGTCAAGAGGCAGTTGGCGACGAGGTATGTTGTTCTGCGGCCAAGAATGTTACTAGTAGGCAGCCATACCAAGGCAGACATAGCCATGGCGATGAACACGCCAGCATTCGCTGTGGTGATGGCATGCGTTGAGACGTTGAAGTCGGCAGCAACCTCGGACGTCGCTGTCAAGATGGAGCTGCCGGAGAAGGTGACGGGCAAGGCCATCCAACAAACGACCGCAAGTGTCACCCATTTCTTCCATGTTGGCATCTCCATCACCTCATCATCTGCTGCAGCCACGGGCCGAAGAGGGGCGGCCGCGGCCGGAACGGGGCCTGTTAGTGGATCGGGGCTGAGTTGAGGGATCTTGATAGCGGCGGTCACGCCGTCTGGCTTTTCGGCATTTGAATAATCCATAGCGAGTGAAGTTTCATTAAAGAAAGGAAAGGAAGCTGATCTCTATGCGGAAGTATCGTCAAATGGCCCAGAATGCCTCGGGAAATCCTCCGAGTGTATATAGTCTTGAACTCCTGCAGCTCTCCGCCGGTCGGAGGCACGCCTTCGGCAGGCGAATTTTCTTCCATTTTTTCACTACATTTCCTCTGACTCAAATGTTTCGTTAAGTGGGCCTTGTAGGGCGACGTGATGCACGCTTAAAGCGACGTGATCAAGCCCGTCCCGGGCTTGTGACGGAAATGTGAGTGAAATAGGGCGCCGGTGGTTGGTTCCTTGGTCTGAGTAGTCGGCAACATGGCATGAAGCCGACTTGGGAAACTGGTTAAACCCCTGGACAGTTTGTGGGGTAAAGATCGTGACGGGAATCTCGGTCAAATCAACATCTTGCCGATAATGTGGAGAAATCACAGTCTTTTCTCGGCGTAATGCGCGATTTATGCCGAACTTCTCGGCTAGGCCTCTACCCCCAAACGTCTCGCTGTAACAACAAAGAAACCTTTACCAAACTAGTGCTGATGACTATCACCCAGCGATGGTATTCCAGGAATACGTCACAAGTCATAGGAACTTTGGAAGGTGAAGGGGTGTCTTCAAATATCCACTGAGCCCATCGGTGTCCCTTCACGGTTCCCGAAAACATCGGACCTCACGAGGGCAATATCCTAATCCGGCATACCGATAGACCACCATGACATCGGAAGGCGACGCGTCCAGTGCGGAAGATAGGGTTGCTTTGAGGTCCGCTCCGGTATCCTCGTCGGCTTCATCCCGACCAAAGACCAAACCTACAGCGTGAGTATCACTTGCCGCGCCGCAAAGCTGCGGAAGGTTCCCTCATGGTTAACACTGGCGTTTTCGCCATATCAGCTGCCGTAGGTGTCACTCTCGCAAAGTGAGGTGTTCGGGTGGTCAACCGTGTGAGAATTGTCGCCAAGCAAGCAAGGGCATAGAATGCACGTACCCTCGACGAAACCGCATGGTCAAAGTTAGCCAACGGTATGTTAAAGTCGTAGCCTACCTTGGATGTAACACTTCTGGGCTATGAGTGTTAAATGTAACGAACTATCAACTAAATTACCCATAGCTACATCGATGACCTCATTGCCGAAAATCAACGGTTGAAGAGCAATGACAGCATTGGAAGTCAACCTCGAGCAGCCAACCTGCTCCCAGACATCGCAGTTGTTGCCCCGGTAAAAGAGACAGCAGACAGCAATGCAACTGCCATACCAGCGCCATCGCTTGATGAACGACCATGGTTCTTCGACATGAATATTCCGCACACGCCAATCCTCATTGGCGAGGCCTCAGACGCCGCATTTGCTACCCGCTTCCGCCAAGCAATCTCATCAGCTGAGAGCAGTCACATCCCGCGGGTGAACTATGCCACAGATGAAAGGCTGCTCGCTCTGTCTGATACAGACTGCCCTTGGCCTAGCCCGGCAAGAGCACGTTTTCTTGTCGGAGTTGCCTTGAGATATGTCAGCCGCTGCTACCACATTATCCGAAAGAGCTCTATTCTGGATGCCTTGGAACAGACACTTCAGAACCCAGCTGAAAGCGATTCCCTTCTCAAAAGTAAGCTGTGGGCAATGTTTGCTATTGGCGCCATGTACTCGACCCGGTCTGCTACGTCGGAAAAGCACTTCCCTGGCATGGGCTACTTTGCACGGGCAACCCGCATCTTGCGTATCGTGAGTGAGCGACCGAGAATCGATGTTGTTGAGTTACGATTGTTGCTGGTAAGATTACTGCAAGACTTTGTTGTGTGGTTGAATGTTTCTAAGTCTTGACAGTCTTTTTACTCCCTTGCGCTCAACCGACGACATACTGCCTACACCTTTGCCGGCTCCGCAACCAGGCTTGCCGTTGTCATGGGCCTTCATCTGAACGTTCCCGAATCTCAACTCAGGGACGCAGCCGCCCGGGAGCACAGAGTTAGGGTATGGTGGACAGCCTACATCTTTGACAGGATGTGGGCAGCCAAGTTAAGCCACCCAGTTGCCGTCCAAGACATCGATATTGAAGTGGATTTGCCATCGAACCCGGTTGTCGACGATAATATAGCGGATGACTTTGCCGATGCATCCTACTTCGTTGCCAGTGTCAAGCTCGCCGGTTTACTGGGGAAGGTGGTGCCTTCCATATATCGAAGAAGAGCACAAGACACATCATTATCCCACAGGGTTCAAGAGGCATTGAAGGATCTCCGTGGGTGGTCGGCGGAGTTACCACCGCAGCTTCACATTGACTCAAAGCCTACATCGGAAAGAATGCCAAAGCCAATCTCGCTGCATCTCAACTTCAATCAGGTAGTTAGCCAGACTATCGTTACTAGAGGGGGTATCAACCCGCTAATTTCTTCCAGTGCGCTATCAGCACTACCCGTCCGATTTTACTCCACGTGCTGCGAACACATGTAGCATCTTGGGGAACACCAGAGACCCCAGAACCTCGAGTCCCGGCCACCGCCATGACTCTCGCAGAAACTTGCATCCGCTGCGCTCGTCATACCTGTCGACTTCTGACGGAATGTTGGATCGACGGCTCTTTTGCAACGTTTGACTACTTCTACACCCAGTACCTCTTCTCAGCCGCCACCATCCTAGCGGCATCTAGCCTTCTAAGCGGAAAGGAGAGCCACAACGATAGGGAACAATTTGAAGAAGCTGCTCAATTCTTGTCTCAGCTGAAAGATAATGGCAACTATGCAGCCGAGGAGTTCTGCCATCACATCGACGCTATGAAGCCTACAATGGCCGCAGCTCATATACGCCGTGGTGATTTCGCCATGGCGGCAGACTCGACGGCTTTGCTGAACGATACGACGGCTGCTTTCACGGATGCTGCAGTCAGTCTCAATCAACCTTTCGCGGAGCAAAACACGACCGCTGGTATGGCACTTAATGAACCGTCGTTGCAGGAGCTTCTGGCGCAGCCACTTCTCGACTTGCAGTTCATAGATGCATCGATCTACCATGATGGGGCTCAGGGCCTTTACTGGCCAGACTTCAGCCCGGAGTCATGGACGCCCGAAACGTGGACAGCAACTTGAGTCTTCATTATGTTAAACTGATATCAAGAGCTATTAAGGGCACGTGCGTGCCTTGGAAGACGAAATCAGGCGAAGAGAGACTACCATTGGGTAGTTCCACACTACCATTCATTCTACAGAAAGGGTCGGGGGCATTGTTTACGCAGCCATTTTTTATACATCTCATCCATGTATGAGAACATAATCCTCAAGTGCTTTTTTACCAAAACTTGAAAGGGACGGCCAGTCTTCCTGCCGCATTTGGTGTCGCACTAGCAGAAGCCGAGGACCCCGAGGCACCTGATGCCGTACCGGTTTGCGAACCCGTCGCGGCCGTGGACGCTTGTGTCGTTGTCACCGTGACCACGTCGGTCGTTATGGCCGTGCCAGACACGCTCGCACTACCTGTGCATGCCTCCTCGCCAGAGACAATGGTGTAGCTGGTGCTGCAGCCAACCCTAGGGCAGGCACTCTTGTCGCAGCCGAATGTGAAGCTCTCTGTCGCAGCTACACTAGGGCAGCCGCATGACTGCGTCAGAGTCGACACCGTAACGCATTGCGGTGCGTCGCCGGTACAACTGGGACACAGGGATAGCTCTGTTGCGGTGGGACAGCCGTCTTCCACCACGGTAGGAAGCGGCACCGGGGTAGGAAGGGGTGTCAGTGAATCAGTTGGCAGGATCGAGTAAAGAAACGATTCTGAACTGGTCTGGGCAACAATCGGTGCCGCGCTGTTGATGTTAGCGACAAGTCTCTGTGAAGAAGGTTGACGGATTCATACACGAAGAAGAGCGTTGCTACTTGGTTGACCACCTTCATGTTGATTCTTCTTGATGCTGAGGATTCAGCGTGGAGAAAGCGTTGTTTGATAGTATCACGGAACAAAACTTGCAGCAACGGGAGGAGAAGACAGTTTTCGACCATTACAGCGCACCTGAGCTCTTATGAAGTCACGAGCAGGTAACACCACCGCCGATCAACTCCTCATAGAAAGACGACCATCATTCGTTCATAATCGTCGGTGTACAAACCACCATCCTTTTTCGGCATTGGGGTCTTGGCTTGCAGGGATGCTGTTGCGGAGAGCCCGTATCGACTGGCTACCAACCTCTTTGATTCTGTGCTATTGTAGCACCCTTCAAGGGAAAACACGTAGTCTCACTGCGGCCAATACCCCAAAAGCAAGAGTCACACCAGCCGAAACTTAGTCTTTCAAGGCGCTCCTCCTTACGTTTCAGAAGTACGTGGACATATCTCGGGTGCTGGTGCCAAGGACTCCAAGCCCGCGAATCGTTCATTGTCTTCATCACCTTCCTATAGAGGCACGAAGAGAGTGGCTCGTGCCCGCGCGACTTATGACGCAAATCATCGTTTGCACTCGCTTGTTTACTTGTGTCAATGGACATTTACTTGGTACTCAAACATACATGTGCCAGACCGCCTTACTGTTGCTTGTCAGCGATCTTTTCCTCCGACGACCTTGTTTCTCGGGTCGGGTGTCCCTCATCGCAAATTTCTTGAGCATCGATGGTAGAATCATGGGCATTTTGTGCCACCCCATCAATATCGAGCGTTCCCTCCGCGTTGGCTCTCGAAAAGATGATGCCAGGCATGACAGGATAGTCGCCCTCGAGTTTCTTGTTTTCAGGAACGAGGATATTGAACCAGCGGGGCATGATCAGCCCAACGAGGGAACTGACAAGAACTATGTGCATAAAGGCAAACCCAGCAATGTGTAGCGGGTCCATCCGATTCTTGGCATAGAAGTTGGGGTAGGAAAAGGAGAATACGATCGCCACAATCGGCGCCGTATTGTACTTGAGGATGAATCCCCAAATGGCCGGGATCTTCCACTGTCCGCTGACGGAGATCGTGGCATTTAGGTCTCGGCGTAGTTGATTACCCTAAGAGAATCAGTAAGCAAGCAAACCAACACCGTCAGTGAACGGCCGATCGCGAGTACGCACAGAGTAGGATGTAAGATACCAAAATCGTCTCAGATATGTGTTCTTTGAAAAGAGTCTAGGCGTGTAAGCTGTAGGGTCCGACGAGACTAGCACCGAAGAGATCATGCCGACGATGAACATCCCAAAACCAACACCAGCACCGGTTTCCGGAGATACTGAATGAGCGACAACGAGGCCGATGATGGTGCCTCCGATGTAGCCAAGAATGTTGTACAAGGACCATGATAGGAGGCCACACTGATCAACAACATCGCGGAAGCGGTAGAGTGTGGTAGCGCACACAGCTTCGCACCACACAATCCAGAATAGAGCTAGATAGTTGATCCAAGTATCCGCCGCGTCAACAAGAACGTATCCAAACTCGGTACAGAATGGTAGAGAGATGAGGAACGAGGCAACGACAATGACAGACGATACGTAAGGGCGGGAGAACTTCTTGCCCCAGTCTGTATCGCAGACCATGGTCACCAAAGTCTCCAAAAGTGCAAACGCTGATCCAAGACCCAGAATGAAGAGCGTCGCAAAGAAGAGAACGCCCCAAAAGTTTGCGGCGGGCATCTCGGCGATGGCTTCCGGGTATGTGAGGAATCCGACGACAAATGTGTTGAGTCTTTCGCTGGTGTCGGGGTGCATACCGAGGTATCCAACGATCCCGAAGACAGACATTGAGCCGATGATCTCGATAAGAGAGTTGGAGATGCAAATTATCAGAGCGTCTTGGACGGCATTGGAGTACTTGGAGTTGTAGGAAGCGTAACTCGTGTAGTATCTGGAGCTCATGTCAGTTGAGGTCCTCTTCCAAAAGCTCAAGGAAGTGGAACGTCACCCCATGCCGATTCCAGTGCTGAAAAAGACTTGACCACAAGCCTCTTGCCAGATGGTGCCCGACGCAAGCTTCTCACCGTGCCACTCAGTCCAGTAGATTCTTATGCCATCAATGGCGTTTGGTAAAGAGCATCCACGCCCGATCAAAACGATCATGAGGATTATCGGCATTGCCATTGTGAAGTACACTACTCGGCCAGTGAGTCCGATCCCCTTGAACATGCACAGCCATACGACTAGTATACCGGGAAAGGTTAGTCATAAGATGCGATGGACAATTTGGGCATGCAACCACAGGTACGTATACTCACCAAACCACGTGAACAGATTCCACAAAGTAATCTCGGTGACCATCCCCATACCGGGGTAAGCCGTATAGTCTTGGACAGCACTACCATCTGCCGTCAAGTTTCCAGCGATAGGGTCTACATTCTGGAGAACTGTTCCCTCGAAGAATTCGGTATTCCGTCCTGTCCATGGAAGCGGGTTATGAAATGAGGACCGGAAATAAGTCATAATCCAGGCGATGATCGGAACGTAGTAGATCACAATGGCGTAGCCGATGTAAACGACACCGAATCCAACGCCCTTGGCACGCTTGTTGGCATGATGCCACGCAAGGACGCAACCTCCCCTGTAAGCTTGACCAATGCTGATTTCGAGAAGTAACGTGGGTATGGCCAGACAGCAGAGTGAAATCAGATATGGAATGAAGAATTGAAGGCCGTGATTGTTGTATACAATTGAGGGGAACCTCAGGAGGTTACCGAGACCGACGGCACCGCCCATCGCGGCGAAGATGAAGGATATGCGAGAGCCCCAGACATCACGGCCGTCTTCGCCTTTGTCGGCACTGGGCGCAAAAAGATTGTAGAGTTTTTTGCCGACGTTTACCATAATTGCCTTCGATGTTTTAAACTGAGCCGGAAGATATGGCAGTAGTTGACGGAAGCAGCCGGGCGACCATCATGCGCGCTTCGTTGCCCTCTTATATATGATGATATAGCCTTCAGCCCCTAGCCAAGCGACTAGGAAACTTGATCTAGAGAACTATTAGACAGCCTGTAAGCATGCCAAACTTGAGGTAAAGTCAGAAGAACCTAGCAGTGTGATTTTATCACCCGTACTGGCGTAGCGCTGGGGTTGAGAAGTGAGGACCAAGATGGCCGGGGCGTTGGGGCGCACAATAATGCCAGCCAAGTCTCTTGGTTGTCTTGTCCAAGATAAGAACCTTCCAGATTTCGACTTCAAATTTAAGCCCATGCGGTCATCCCAAGCGACGGAGAGAAGTTTGGATTGGACGAAATGATAAGCCGAGCCGTGGCACGATCATACCGGATCCTGAGAAGCTTGGGGGCTACACGGCTCTCCGGCCGTGCTCTGACGTCTGCGCAGCTCGTCAGCGCTATCATGAACTCATCTTGGCTCATGACGATTGTCATTCGACGCGTGACGGGACCAAACTTCCCCACACCTTGGCAGACACGCGTCGGTATTGGCGGCCAAGAATTTGATGGCAGTCAAGATCCAATGAATCTCGCCAACTTCACCTCTCCAAGACTTTGGGACTTTATATAGACCTGCGAAATAATCCATTGCTGCACTAGATCATTCATCTGGACTCTGGCCAAGCAAAAGTCACGTTTGGTTCCGTTGAGGCTATGTAGTGGCCCCTTATTGTCGTAATATAACTTTTGTACTAGTCCGTGACAATTCTCGCAACACCCCGCTTGGAGTCGAATGCACTTGCATGTCTTGACTTTGAAATGTTTGAAACACGAGGGAACTGGGGATACGCTGAAGATCTAAAATTCACTCGGTGAAGTAATGATATGTTTTCCGCGGAGATGTCAGTCCATATCTGCGAGTGATGTCGTTGTTGAACTCCTCCTCTTTCGAAGCTGCTGCTATCTGCAGTAGGCCATGATTCAAAGCTCAAGCGACCTGAAAACTACCCAAATCTGCGAGCTCCTCACCATGATTGGATCATCAGATTGATGGAGATTAGTAAGATGCAATGAGTAGTACGTCGAGTCCGTCGGGACACGGTATGAAACTCCGGTCATCTGAAGGTTCAGCTCAACTCATCAAAGCGTCACACATGGTCCCATAGCTTATTGCCTGAATAGGTATTCCCTGACGCAACACCAGAGGGGTAAGCTTTGTTTTGCTGACGAATTGATGCCCGTATTAGTCAGTGGCTCATCGTTGCAGTTGCCCGAACAAGTAGGAGTAGCACTGGGCGCATTGTCCGATGCATCTGATGATTCTGATAACCACAAAGTAGTCGGACTTTGAAACCATTAAAAGCAGAGAGATTTCCATCAAAATTCCTAGCTAACTTCTCAGATGTATTAATCCCATCAACGTGCAGCAATCACACGATCGCACACAAGCCAGTCTCCCCTTGCTTTTGCCGTCAAGTTTCAACAGCAATGATGTCGTCCGCCCCCAAACTGCCCATCAACCTCGTGCTAGGTGTGGCGAACGTAAGTTTGGCTACGGCGTGAGAAGGATCTACCCTGGCTCCAAGAAAGCTGATTTCCGCAGGTCGGAGATTCATCTGCCGACCCCATGGCGCGCTACGACACACCCGACCAAGTGAACGCATTTCTCGATGTCTTTGCTCGACGGGGGTACAACCAGCTTGATACCTCGCGCATGTACTCCCCCAAAGCGCCTACAAGCTCTGAACCCAGGCTCGGCGCAGCCAACGCTGGAGAGCGCTTCACGATCGATACTAAAGTCACGTCCAGATCGCCAGGATGTCACACCAAGGACAAAATCTTGAAAGAGATTGATGAATCCCTAAAGGCGCTAAAGATCAAACAGATCAACATCGAGTATCTGCACGTGCCGGACCGAACGACACCATTTGAAGAGGCCTGTGAGGCTATGAATGAGGCGATCCGACAGGGTAAGATCAAGAAATGGGGGATCTCAAATTACTCCGCTGCCGAGGTCCAGCGATTTGTCGACATTTGTCAGGAACGAGACCTCATCAAGCCAAGTGTGTACCAGGGCCATTACAATCCGCTCGTGCGAGGAGGCGAGGAGGATTTGTTCCCGGTCTTGCGCAAAAACGGTATCGCTTTTTACGGATACAGCCCCGCTGCGGCTGGGTTCTTTGCCGGCAATCACAAGAAGGTGAAAGCAGGTGGGCGATATGATACATCGGTAAGACTTTCCAACTCGTCTCGATTAAGATGTAAGATACTGACCAGGTGTCTTATGACACTCAAGATTCCCGTGGGTAGCATATACGCAGGGATGTACGTCAAAGACTCGATCATGGCGGCGACGGAGAAGGCGCTTGAAGTTGCGTCTGAGCATGGAATCGGCGGCCATGCTGCGGCGCTTCGATGGACGGTGTATCACGGTATCCTCAGCAAGGAGCACGAAGATTCAGTAATCATTGGAGCTTCGAGTCCAGAGCAGCTGGAGGCCAATCTCGACATGATCGAACAAGGACCGCTTCCAGAGGATATTGTGTCTGCTTTCGAAGCTTTGTTCGAACAGCTTGTTGACAAGGTTCCTTACCACATGTAGACGATGCTGCCCTAAAGCATTAGGGTAGCTTCATTTGGACTAGAGTCAACCACTAAGCTCGATGGAGTAGGAGTACACCTTGGCAGTGCTGACTGCTTACATCAAGCCATCAACTTCACCGCTGACAAATATCAGTGTTAACCTATGATCTGTCTCTTCTCCGAGTATCTCTTATTCTTGTTGCTGAGATACTTTAATATTCAAACTACTAGTTGTCGTAACTCTTCTTCGAAAAGAGTGATTTTTTGAGACGAAACTCCCTGATAATTGCTACGCTCCGAATTACCAACATGGAATTCATCGTCATGGTGCATCCCAACCAGAGAGGCTCAGCCCGCTTGAAGAAACAGGCTCACTCTCATGCAGCACGGGTGACCCACGCTCGATCAAGAAAACGCCAGCTGGCCCATCTCGGCAATCCAGAATCGAGAATCATAGCTGAAAGTCGCGGTCGGTCGGTAAATTTGAGACAACGAGGAGGGAAAGAACCTGAAGTCAGTCGATCACAAAGAGACATCGTTGAGTCACAACATGTGGCAGCGCCGTCAATCCCAGGCAGAATATCGGGTGCATTCGAGCATGAGCCATTGGCTAGCTTTCTGAAGTCTTCCACAACCGAAGAAAATTTTTTATTGTCGTACTGTAAGACGCCACACATCGTTTTTGCCGTCTTTGAAGCTCGCTCGAGGTCATTGGCACTGCAAGGGTGGTGGATGCTGACAGGTGAGTCGTAGATGGTCAAGTCATTGTTCCCAACATGGATTCACAATGCCCCACGCTGTGCTATCTCGGCGAGAATTTCGACCACATACAGAACAACTGGCTGCTCTATGGCTCTACCGACATTGACTTCCTCCAGGGATTCTTGTTTGCAGCCAGCCGTCATTTGTCTCTCAATCACGGGGAGGAGTGGGGAAACTGGGCAGTCAAGTATAAGCTTCAGTACATAAGCGACCTGCGCCGCGCTCTTTCTTCTGACGAAATGTCATTACGACGAGCCGGTGTTGCGAAAGCATTGGTGTTGTCATTCGACGAGGTAGGCAAACTTTAAGGTCTAAGTTTTCTTTTACCAAGTGTGATACTCCAGGAATAAATCTGACTTTCTGCTGTAGATCATGCTTTGTGACATGCACATGGCTTCGAAACACGTTCAGGGTGCAATCTCAATCATCAAGGATTCTGGAGGAATCGACGCGCTTGGGGTAAGTGAAATTGTTCGAAGTGTTCTCTTTAGTTTCATGTTCGGCAAGGGCCTGCTAGACGGGAAACCACTCTTTGAAGTCGGTCCAGTGTCGCTTTAGGAATCAATAGACTATGTTCTAATTTGAAGGCACGTATTTCTAAGACCACGTTCCATTCGCAGGTCCAAAGTAGCCTATATCCGGCATTTGCAGCCATGGCAGGCCTTGTCCGTCCGCGGTTTCACTCCAGACGGTGTTTCCCCACCAATCAGGGAACTGCGCATTAGGGCCTAAGGTCAAAGTTAGTCTAAAGTTCAATGATCTGTGTGGGGTGACTTACCGTAGGTGACTGCGAAGAAGATGACAATACCACTGATGGCAAGTCCAGTGTCCAATGCTGCGGCGAGAACATAGTTGTACTTGCTCCACCAGGCGTAGAACTTGCGGTAGATAATCTTGTTAAAGATCAGGTTGACAATGTACCACGAAGAATAGTTGATACCAGTGGCGGGCGGCACATTGTAGGTTCCGACGAAGATGAGCGGCCAGTTGATCTTGCGGATGAAGTCAGACTTCGTCTTCTTGAAGATGAAGTACGTGATAGGTGGCAGGATAAGTCCGATCCAAAAGAAGTGCAAGAGGCCGGAATAGATGGCGCCAACGGAGTAAAGTCGGGCAGGTCCGACAAGACCCCAGATGACAGAGGACGAGAACACCGTGCGACCGTTGGGGCAGGAGAAGCCATTGGGCTGGTCCTCGGTACAGATACCGTCGACGTTGCCCAACATCCAAAGCGTGACGCCGGTCTGGGTCAGTGCTCCGAGAATCGTGGCAAGACCTTGGGCAAAGAACAGAGTCGTAGGCGGGATTTTGAGGTAGTGGCCGAGCTTCATATCGGCTGCGAAGTACAGCCCCTGACCGACGACGTCTGTGCTGAGAATCTTGAAGAGGATGTTGGCGATGGGTTTGCCTTGGAACATGTAACCTCCGATAAACTCGGACAACACGTTCAGCTGGTTGGCATCCACGTTCGTGACGCCCTGGATCATGCCACAAGGGACCATGTAGATTGCAGGGATGACGAAGGCAAGGATAACTCCCCACCATGGAAGACCGGTGTCGTAGCCCTCTGCGGTACCGACTGCCATGCCAAAGACGACGAGGAGAATTACCAACCACCACCACCACTTTACAGTCTTGTACGACTTCATCAGGCGCGCGTGGATGTCGAGCTTGAGTGTTCCCTTCATGGCATGAACGATTTCCTCGAAGTGGAAGAAGTAGACGTGGGACAGAACACTATGGGGACAAGATTAGAAGAGGAGTTCCGACAATTGCCATGGCTCAGCACTTACCTCGTGATTGAAGCAAAAGACAACCCGTAGACGAAAGCAAATGTTGCGGGCAGATACGGGGGAGAGTACGATGAGTACTTCTGCTGATCGAACTCGTTGTTCGTGAGAACCTCCGTCACGTTGTAAAGGCTGCCGAATCGATCGTAGACGTCGGCCGTACAGAAGGGCATGTACGAGGTGAACCAGGTGTTGGTGTAATAGATCGCCGGCGTGATGATCCAGAAGAAAAACGCAAAGCCGAAGAAGACGTTCAGCGCCGCCCAGTGAGGACTCAGAAGCGGGTTCGTGTTGTACGCGATCATGGACCAGTCAAAGGTCAGAGGGAAGAGACCCATGCCGGTGACCATGCCAAAGACCTGGTTGACGGCCAGGTTGTTGGGTGCAATCCAGCAGATCCAGGTGAAGTAGCTGAGGCCCGTGAAGATGAGGCCGGGGAACCAGTACCAGACGAAAGCGCATCCACCGACGATCATGAAGAACTTGATGCGGGTGATTCTCCATCCGTGGGCGATAGCGTTTGCTCTAGAGTGCAGGGAGCTGAGAAGGGCGACGTTACTGAGCACGCCTGGCCAGATCATGCTCGCGGGCTTAACGAGCCACGGCATGGCGAGACCTGCGACGGCGTATCCGCTGAGCTGACAACATAGGACAACAAGCACGGAGAATCCTGGCGGGATGTAGAAACCATACAACCTGGCTGCCTGAATGATGTTTGTCGCATCAGCTGAGCCAAAGCCAAAAGAGACGTTGGACATGATAGTCACGAGGGCATGTTCCTTGATGTTGAAGTGCCGATCGGGGTTGAAGCGGCTGATAGGCAGAATCTTAGCGAGAGCAACGCCGATGGGGAACGCAATCAGCTCTGCGACGAGAGACACGATGTGGACACCGGGGTAGCGCAATGAGAAGAATTGATTTACGCCGGCGCCGAGGAAGACGAAAACCTTTGCTGCAAGTCAGTATTGCGTTCTCACATCAGTTGGATCACCAATTGCATACAATTCCAAGGAACCAGGCGCGGAACGTGTTGACGGGAATCGCAGTGTCGTCCGTCTCCGGCACAACGGCTCTGACCTGAGGAAATGGCGAGGTATCGGCGTCGTAGTCCCCTTCTCCCTCATCGTCGAGCACCCTCTCCATGTCAACCTCCAGCTCCGCGAGTTGTCCATTTTCGAGTTCGATGTCCTGGTCGTGGAGATTATGCGCCGTCTTGATGTTGAGCTTCTCCCCTTGCGCCAGTGACTTTTCAGGGTCCGCATACTCTGGCGGCGTATGGCTAATGTCAGTTGCCATCTTGCTGAGGCTGAGAGTTTGCGAAGATGGGATTGCGGCGAAAACAAGCAAACGCCCAGAGGTGCCAAGAGAGTAGCTCCCGGCGCGGCATCGTAGCTATTATGAAGGATGGTGCTGGTTACACTAATGTAAGTATGAAGGGTACAACGTCGCATCGACTGATAGAAGCGATATGGCCCGATGTGCTATGCGCCCGACGCGTACGACAATTTCCTGGACATCTTCTCCCGCTTATCAGTTTGCCCCTGGTCGGTGGTCAGCCGATGATAGGATTCTCAAAAAGTGCCTTTGGGGTATTTCAAAAAGTTCCCCAGATTACACGTTCGTCCACTCATGTTGGCTCTACGCACACAACCATCACGAATCGTAATGACTTTCGCGTTTCCCCCAACCGCGGCATCGGAACTGCGGCATTGGCCAATTGAGCATCTTGGCGTTATCTTGGCTCCATCTGCCGCGGCGGGGATCCGCCGTCTGCTTCTGGAAGGCGACCAGGGATTCCTTTCTTAGCGGCCGGGTCCGGCTACACGGAATGAGGGAGACATTCGGGAAACCTCGATAAGTTTGCCGTGCTTCCGCGGTCTCTCATTCCCGAGCGATAAGACTAGCATTGATTAGCTGACCCAGAACGCGGCCATGACGCGATTTAAGCTCGGAATTATCTGCCCTTGCTTGACGAGCGCTGTTGGTTCCTGACATGGCGGGGTCATCCCTTCAAGTGTCTACCCGTCAAGCTGTCATGCAGAATAAAGTTGGCATTATTGGACGCTCATCAACAACAGTAAGCGCTGCATGATTGTCCATTATTAGGTGCTGACATCAGTCTTCATGATACTGGAACAATAGGTCTCCAAGTGGCAGGTTAAGCTTATCCTCTGCCAATCCCAGCTGTCTTATCTGCAGTACAGCTTACGCATCCTTGAGTCAAGTCAGGTGTCACGGCGAGCCCTTGAAGATGAAAGCCTCTTGCTGCAAAGTCTCAGCTATTGATTTCTGTGCTGGTTGACATCGCGTGTAGCAGGTTCCCATTGGTCGGGCTTTCCGTATCCTATGTGCGACATAGACACAGCTACTCCCATATCCACATGATAAATGGGGGTTATTGATTGCCGCTGAAGCACTGGATCTCTTACGGGCGACGAATTACGTCGGAAACCCAGCATAGTAGTTGTCATGAGTTCCAGCTTGAACAAAGCGCAAAGATAGGCTGGCATGCGAGTACCGTGCCAACATGGCTGCATGCGCGAACACAGCGAGTTGACCCAGGGCCTCAGAGTTTGTACACAACCTTCTCACCTGAGATTGCTCCGCTCCGATACGCTTGGAACCCCTTTTCAACGCCATCAAGACCCCCAAAAATCACCTTGGGTTTGTTAGGCTGGAATTTGCCAGCCTCTACCCAGCCCGGGAGCTTCTCGTAGAACTCGGTACCAAGCTTGTGGTCCTCCTCGCTAGCCTAATCCGCTGTCAGTATTAATCACCCTTTACGAAGCCCTGCAGCGACTACAACTTACCGGCCACTTGAACTGTGCGTACTGATGATCCTTCAAGAACGCAGTCCAGACCAAGACATCCGTCACAGTCGTCTGCTTCGTAACGTCCTCGGTGTTGGCCTTCCCCGGGCGCACGGTGCAGAGCCGTCCACCGTTTTCATCAATGGCTTGGGATGCCAGGCCCGAGGAGGACCTATTTCCGATGGTGTCGAAGACATACTTGAGGCCGGGCGTCGTCCTTTTAATGGACTCGATGACATCGTCGTCGTGGTAGTTGAAGACATGCTTCGCACCCAGGGATTTCACCAAGTCAAAGTGGCGAGGGCTACACGTCGTGACAACGTTGAGGCCTTGCATCGCGGCTATCTGGATGGCGTATAATCCCGCGCTCGCTGTAGAGGTGCACGATTAGCAAGAGGCTACATGTAGTCGGGGCATGTATTGGGCCGGCACACAGCTACCACCCCAGACGAGGACCGACGTCTTCGATCCATCCTCTCGAGGGATCGCAAGGCACTCTTGGGAGAACAAAACAAGCCAGGCCGTCATTGAGGCTAGAGGTAATGTAGCGGCCTCCTCAGGGCTTATGTTCTTGGGTACGTGGAAGCTGATGTTGTCATCCGCGAGGATGTATTCGCTGTAGCCGCCGAGACCCTTGATTTCACCTAGATGGAAGTCTGAAATTGCTCTCAAATCACTAGTTCGGAAGATCCACTGACCTCCCCAAATCAGACCAGCAACAGTATCTCCCTTGGAGAGCTTGCTGCACTTGTCGCCGACCGCTTCAACCGTCCCCACAAAGTCGCACCCGAGGACGGCGCCGTCACCGAAAGCATTGCCGTCAAGAGATTGAACTGCGAACTAGAGTTAGTAAATCGAACTTCTGTCGTCTCATGACTAGCAACGGGTTCCGACCTACCGTCTGTCGGGTTCTGTGCAATATGTGACACTTTTACCAGGGCTTGATGCGGGGCAGGTTCCGGGACAGGAATCTGCTTCTTGACCATCTTCGGCGACCCACCGGCCGAAGATTCGGTCACCAGAGCTTGCATTTGTTGTCCGATCATATTCGTTCAGAGTAGAAAATAAACTTACGACACTTGCGATGGGATACACGAATGGGGTCTTTCATGAGTTTCTAGTATGAAAGTGAAGCTGCCGAATGCAGCGTGGCAGTATCATTTTCTTTTGCAATAGTAGCGGTATTTCTCCTGCTTAATCAGCCTACGAGCCCCGTGGAATTCGGACCTTGGCGCGCAAGGAAACTAAATTCCCCTCAGCAGTAACTTATAACTACTAACATTAATAAAATTGTTTCTTCATGACGTAGTGGTGATGGAGAACAACACCAAAGGCGTACACCAATTGACATGAGTTGAGCCTGATGATACTGTCATGAATCGGCCGAGTACAAACAAGAACACACGGGACACATCGCCAGTAAGCGTGAAGTCGTGATACTAGATGAGGGCAAGGGATAATTCAGCTCATCATCGACTGAGTTCCTCAACCCACCCTGAATAACCTAATGCAAGAATCTTCTCCCGCCGGCACCCTCCCACCGGATTTAGACAATGCAACCCCCTCTCTTGCTCGTTCATCCCGCACAAACAATGTCTTTCAGTCCCCATCCTCCACCTTAAGGCATTGAGAGGCTCACAGTCTCGTGGCACTCCTCCAGAGAATGAAAAACTTTCCTAACCAAGGCCAGGCCAACTCTCCCGTCTCCTCAACAGCTCAAACCACATATCAGGCCTCACAACCTCAAACTCATCCCCCAACTGCTTAACCATACTAGCAACACTCGTCGGCGTCATATCAAAGGCACTAATCGCGCCCGCCACAAAAAGAGGCCCCCGACCCCTCCAATTATCCGAGATATTCCGCAACGTCGCCGCACCACTCTCCTCGTTCCCAATACTCACCATGTTTGTCACCGGGAACCCCTCCGTAACATTAACCTGCAGTGCATCTACCGTGGAAACAAAGGACCCGTAGTATATCCCCCGCAGCCTATTCCTCCCCACGGCGTCACGAAAGCCAAGAGTTAGCCCCGGCGTGAGCGGGTTATCTGTGGCGTTGATGCGGTCGTACACGAATAACACCTCGTCCGTCTGTGTCGCCCGCATGTACTCACCGCTCTGCGTCAAGAAGGTAGAGAGAGCTCGTCTAGGCCAGACCCCGGGATACGTATACCCTGCGCCGTCGGGCCCGGCAATCAACAAATCGTTCTCCGTGGATGTCTTTTGATAATACGACAGGATGCCCGGCCCGATATCGTGCAGCAACGGGCTGATAGTCCACCCGAGCGGGACTGATCCCCTCGCGGAGTCGTTCCAATGTTGAAACATGCTGCGCTGGTCATACTGTATGTTGTCGCCTTCGAGGTAGACGAGTGACAAAAAGACCTTGGGTGTTCTTTTTGGAGGAGGCGGAGGCCGCCACGGTGGCCCACCCGGCGCAGACTGCTGAGACTGGTTTTTGGTATTGAAACCGCTGAAGATCGTAGGGTTGAAGTAAAAGTCCGTGGCGGCTACATATAAGCCGTTCCTCGCGAGTTGCGTGACACCGGTCATCTCATCGCCGTTTGGGAACCAGCCGAGGTACGCCGCGTTGGGCTGGAACTGGCGTAGGAGTTTGTCAAGCAGCGCTGCTTCCCGCGGTCTGTTGCTATCCAGCCATATACAGGGAGCCGCTGTGCTGACGATGTAGTCGCGGAAGATAGAGTTGGCCTTGTAGTAGCCCGGCCGAGCTGACGTTGCCGAAACGAGAAACTGATTCCACATGGACAGGGTGAGTGTAAGGTTAGTCGTCTGGGGCGGATAGTCAAACTTGTAAATCATTGCGGATGCTCCGTCTGCGAAGCGCCAGCCCCCGGGGTAGTCTGCCAGGTGCGAGCCACCGTCGTCGAAGAGAAAGGAGTCTTCCGCCTCGCTGCCAGGGCTAAAATCTGCGATGGTCCTATTACCATCGCCAGCAACCTTGACGTGGTAGACGGAGGGGCCATAGCCATCTGCGGGGAAAGCATCTGTGATATTGACGTAGACAATTCCGTTGCCGTTCATGAAAGGGGATAGATCGACTGCATAAGTGCCATTATTGGAAGAGTCGGTAATGGACGAGTTTGCCTTCAAAAGGGTTGTCCAGGTTCTGTTAGCGTACAGGATAATCGAAAGAGGCTTTATCGCTGTGATTATACGATCAGTGACCTTGGGCCACACCTCCCGAGCTGCATGGTCGTACAGCTCGAATTTGTCTTTGAATCGACGTCGTAAGTCTTCGATGATGGAGATGTTGAAGCGCCGGGCCAGCTCCTCGGTTGCGAGAACAGCGCCATGAAGACCAGCAAGTGTCGATGCCAGATTAACAGTATCTGGCAATTTAGTGTCATAGATGATGGCACCCCGAATCTCAGACTTGTATTTGTCAATCAGTTGTAAAGGGGTGCTTGTCATATCGGCGCTCCGATATCCTTGACTCTCAAGCTGTCGTAGCCAGGCTTCGTTGATAACATCGTCCGGGAACGCAGAATCTTGCGACCAATAAAGGTACATCCGCGGTTACCGTCGGTTGACCAGTCCTTGCAGCGAAACCAAGAGAACCTGCTCATCGCCACATAGTGCAGTGAGTTTGGCATAGTCTATCTCTTTCGCAATTTCGGGGAATAAGGGCAGGGCTCTGTTTCCTGGCCAATCTAGACCTGAGACAGAAGGTGAACAGAAACAAAGTGGTATCAACAAGGCGTTCAGCAGCAGAAAGAGACGGTACATCGTGACTTGTGATGTTGGTAGCACCTTGCCTCCTGCCATGATCTCGAATTCTACATTAGTAGAGATACGACTCCCTTCAAGCAAGAGTCTTGCACCTTCATTTCAGGGACATTGCAATCATTAGCTTTGTCAACATGAGACAACCGGGCGAATGAGGCGAACGAAGCGGGGGTCAGAGATCGGACGAAGGTTTGCGACATGATTCTAATCTTAACTCTGTTTCCATGACTAGCTCGTCTCCTTGGCAGATTCTCGAGAAGCTGGCCTTACTCGCGGTATCGCCTTACATAGCCTAAAAAGAGCAAACTGCTGGGCCTGCAAGCTGCCCAATGGCTTAGGCTCTAGCGGCTCTTGGAGGCACATGGAAACGACACTCTTCAGTCGATCATCTGAGCTCCTACCCGTTTTCACAACTCGTATTTCTGCAGAGTCATGCATTAATTGCTACTATTATCCATACTACCTTAGTGAGGGTAACCTTAGTGAGGGTATGAGTCTTCTATAGACTACCTTGGAAAAGAAACCTCTTCTGATTTCATGTGCTCTTCACATTCGAGCTTCACCCTGATGCCGTTTTCAGCGGCACAACCAAACATGTCGGCTGACACCATGAGTCTGCGGACAGATAATCCCAACTGTCAAAATCTTTTAGCTCGCCATGCCCCAGCGAGGCGCGTTGACGATGACGCCCGCGAGACATCCGGAGATGATACCAGCAGTAGGCAGCGTAATGATCCAACCCATGTAGATCCAGCCAACCATGCGCCAGTTGATTGATCGCCAAGTACCGGAGCAAAGGCCGACACCTACGGTAGCACCAGTGATGCACTGTGTAGTTGATACAGGAAGCTCTGCATGGCAGTTAGTGATACTCTGGCATAGTCAACACAGCTTCGTCAACTTACTGAGACGTGTAGCCAAAATAATTGTGCAGGCAGCACCCAACTCCATAGAGAAACCACGAGCAGGCGAATGAAGGGTCAAGCGGTTACCCAGATTTCGCATGATGTTGTATCCGTAAGTCCAGATACCAAGAGCAATACCAGCACCGCCGAAGCAGAGAATCCAGATTGGGACCTCAGACTTGCTGCCAGAGAGAACACCTGTGTTCCAAATCTGGAAGATGGTGGCGTAAGGTCCAATGGCATTGGCCACGTCGTTGGCACCGTGCGTGAATGAAGCGGTGCATGCGGTCATAACTTGCATGAACGAGTAGAGAAACTCAGCCTTGTTATCGTAGTGTTGGACACGGGCGTGCATCTCCTCCAAGTCACCAGTGAGGACGCTCTCCTTCTTTTGCATTTTGATAATATCCTGATCGACACCAGAGAGGAAGACCTTCTTCACCATCCAGAAGAGAACGGCGCCGTTGTGCCAAGGACCCTCAGGACGGGGCCCCACGATGGGCTTGTGGACGTAGTCCTTGCGGGGAAGAGTGGCTGCAGGGGAGTCGGTAGAGTCCTGGACGACCTTCTTCTCTCCATCAGCAGAGCCAGTTTCGATGTCGTTGCTATTCGTTTGAACAACACCACCGCTGCGAGCGACTTCAAGCTCCTCTTTGGTCATGTGCCCGGCGTAGAAGTCGCGGATACCACCGCCGTTGCCTTCAGGCTGAGCAGGGGGCTCGGGCCGACGGAGCAAAAGGGGGCCGAGGGCGATGTGATACCAACGCAGTTGCCAATCGTCCTTGACGACCACACGGTAGAGCCAGGGAAGAAAGAAAATGGTGATGAGGAGAGCCCAGGCGGCACCAACACCAATGATCATGCCGGCGGTTTCGGCATCGTTGAAGGTAACCTTGATAGACCCGCCCTTCCAGACAATCAGCATAGTCAAGAGTGAGGCGGTGATACCAAAGTACACGGGCACCAAAGCCAGTCCCTTCATGACCGGATTCTTCCGCAACATGACGCCGTACTTGGTGATGGTGAAGATGATGGCTGCGAATGCACCGGAGATACCAGGGGCGATGATCCATGCAAGGAAGACCGACACAACACCAGAATCAATGCCGCCGCTAGGAGAGACCCAGTGAATGTTATCGGCACCAACAAGTGCGATACCCATGCCGATGACGCCTCCCATGATTGAGTGAGTGGTTGACACCGGGAGACCAATCTTGGTGCAAAAGGTGAGGTAGATGGAGGAGGCCACAATAGCACAAGTCATTCCAAGCATGAGGAGAGCCGGGTCGTTCTCGAATAGGTCGATATCCACTGTGTCAGCCAATTAGCCATGGCGTTTGTGTTATTCAGAAGAGCAGAGATCCTACCAATCTTGGTGCGAATGGTGTCTGCGACACGGGCACCGACACCAACCGAGCCGGCAAACTCGAGGATGGACCCGAGGGTCATGGCTTGAATGTAAGAGATAGACCGTGACGAGACCGAGGTTGCCCACGAGTTGGCAACATCGTTGGCACCTATCAGAACGGAAGAGTCAGCTTGGGCATGGCCAGCCAAGAAAGATCCTGGTTTGAGGGTACATACCAATGTTCCACGCATCCAGGAATGCGAATACGGTGCCAATGGCGAATATGTAGTCATATTGATGGAGAGGCATTTCGAAATTTCTCGCACAGGTTGTGCAAAGCCTGATGTTCAGGAAAGATGGCGATGATCGAAATGATGTTTCGAACTGGAATACAGGTCCACGTGCCTGAAAGAGGTGTATGAGGAGGTGGAAGACCTTGGCTTTGACACGGGTAGCAAGGCCGGAGAGGAAATGATGTTCGATAAGTCGACATGGGAGCAGGAAGGTAGACTTTGGGACTAACTCTGGCATATATACCAGAAGGCAGAATAGCCAAGACGTTGCTTTGGTGCAGTCCATCCATGTCCACCTTCCGAAATGCACGTGTACCCCCTTCCCGCCGGGGCACTCTCGGTGTATGATTCTCGGGCGTAAACGAAGAAGTGACTAGACACCAACATCAGCACAGGCAAGACAGGGTGGGCACATTCGATTCTGCGAGACGTACAGGCCCAACCCACCCAAAGGTACTCGCCACATCCATCATCTGCGATACTACTGGCATGGTGCATCCGCGGGCTAGTCCTCGGCGACTCTAGCTTGTCTGTCTTGCCAGGGTGCTCACCAGCCAGTTCGGTATCAGAGGTCCCCTTTCCAAGAAGAAGCATCCGTTGTGTGGCTCTGAGGGCATCTAACATTGCCATTGGTCATTACCATGATGAGATTTGGTGCAGAGTAGACTTCATAACAGTAAGCTTTCAATCGCTGCTTCTCGCAATCATTTGCGCACCGTTTCTGCATGCTTGGGGTCGTGGACATGGCTCAAATTGTCAAGGAGGAGCCGTGAGCCCCCCAGCACGGAAAGCCCTGATAAGCACACCCTCGGTGGGAGAGGATAGATGGCAAGGTCAACATAGTGGAGGAGTTGGCTGACATGAACCTGCGCGGGGCGGAATGGTAGGGTGTTGAGTAGCCCGGTAAGGAAGCCTGTGAGAAGCAGGGCACATTTTGGGGCCACCCACGTGTCGTGAATAGTTGCATGTTTGGCAGAACTCGGAATTTTCAGCAAGAATCTCAGCCTCACCGCTATGAGCGGTGCAAACAGCGGGTGCGGTAAAGATTCAGAAAGGCAGAGGTTGCACGTTGGATGTTGGATGTTCGAAGTTACTGGGAATCAAACGGACGATGGCAGGTCCCAGTCTGCGCCTGAGGTGGGAAAGAGATACATCCTCGCCGCATCCTTCTCAAACCATCGACCGAGATCCATTTGTGTGGGGCATCCTAAGCGACTTGGCGCGCTCAAGCGCCAAGACACACGCTCTCAGGAAGCGCCAAGCGCTTCTGGCAGGAGAGCAGCGGCCCCACCCTTGACCCCGCAGCTGCCGAATCACCGGTCCCGAATCCACCACGTGCTGGGTCCCGTCCCTTCCTGTGGATTTTCCCGGGCTGCATCCCCGGAGCTTCTCATCTTCAACATCGCAACTGAGTCGCCAGCACCATCAACCAATTCTCCATTGACGACTCGGATTTCTATAAATCCTGTGCCCCCCGCCAAGCAGCCAAGGGGCCAAGGAGTTCGACACCTCTTGAATGGCTCCGCCAGTCAACCGTATTGCGTGGAATGTCGACGTCTGATTCCTCCCACGCCCCGTATCCGCCCCTGTGTCGAATTGGCAGTTTCTACGGAGTAACATGACTGGCTTCCTCCGAGAGCTCCTCTTTTCCAATTGTTCCCCGATGTAGTTCGATCTCCGGCCTTCCCTCACCTGCGCCCCTCCACCGACAATATCCTCAGCTGACTTCCTCAGGTCCAATCCTGTTTCTTAACGTCTGGCTGGACAGTATCTCTGCGAGACGTGCGTGGCTGAAGCCACTATGATTCTTTCATTGCCCCCTCGGCGTTCAATACCACTAATAATTTGTGGCTATTACGGGCGAATACCGTCACCCTGGTTATTATGGCTGTCACACGCTGCCCTTTGGCCAAGAAACTAATTAACGACCAAGGCGATTTATCGTCTGCCCATCAACGAATCACATTTGCGGCTCGAAGCCCGTGGTCTGCCCTCGACGGCCTGAAGTTTTCGACTTTGCTTGTCGGCCGACAAGTCCCGTGCGGTTGAATTTCCTTGCCACCAGACTTGTTGCCTGATTATCTGCGGCGACGGTCGTGAAAACTTATGGTCTCGGGACAATTCTACCTGCATTCGCTTTTCCTTTGTTAAGGTTTGGAAATGCTTTGTTACCAGTCAAACTTATCTCCGAGTTTTTTGATGTGAACATGTATGAAAATCCGAAATTCTTTCTTGAGGCCGCGACTAAGACCTACCGCCTAACCCTACTCGAGAAGTCTTTTCAAGTTCTCCTTCAGTGTATCCTCGCCTTCATCCCACCCAGACTCAACTTCGTTCTCGAAGTTGGATCCGTAACCATTTCCTTCGTCTAGAAGTGCCACAGTAGAAAGCGCGGCATACGCCCTAGAGTTGAGTCTATCGTCAACTCCCTCTTCCGTATCCTCTCGCCACAAAGCACGAGCCTTCTCCGCAAAGCCGTCAAACAGCACATCAACAATTTTCCAATCCTTGAGACCGATATCCTCAATCACTGTGATCAACTGATTCGTCGATACCGTATGGCTAGCAAAGTAGGCGGCTCTGTTGCGATACTTCTCCGGATTGATCAACACAGCAACTAGGGCCTCGCCGTTGAGTGCGCGGCGACTGATGCTGCATCTTTGGTCTCCGGAGCCGTAGCGAGTGATGGTACGTTCTTCTTTATTGATCCAGAAAATACCGCGCTCGATGGTCCAGTCATACCACGGGCCAGATATGATTGCCGTCCATGACAATGACCCGTTCGACTCGTCGACGATGCGTTCAAGCTCGCGCTGTGCTAACAACTTGGGGTTGAATATGAGTGCCTCTTCGGCGTTGGGATGGAACGTATTGCCACTGAAGTCTGGAGTGATGATGTGTCTGACTCCTGTGGCTAGGGCTGCTTGCAAGATGTTGGTCTGGTAGGATGCAGCTGCTGGGTTGAACGCTTCGACAATCGCGTCTTGACCTTTCAGTGCCGTTGTAAGAGCTTCAACGTCTGAGTAATCGGAGACTCTTCCAGATACGCCGGCGGAAAGATTCTTTTCACTGCCCGGTCGAGTGATGCAGGTCACCTCGAAGTCGGCTTGCAGGAGTGCTGGGACGAGAACCTCTCCTAATGCACCAGTTGCCTTGGGACAGGTCAGGAATCATGACGGGGCTTGATAATAAATCAATGACTTACACCGAATATGGCGACGTTCTTGATAGCTGCCATCGCGGTAGTGGGGGCTGGGTTGGAATAAGGTACTTTGGGGCCTAAGTATTAGTTAGAAATGGTGAAAAGTTCACAATACAACCTCTCGACTTATTGATTCTGTGTTAGAAAGACAGGTATTTATAACTGTTTAACGTCGACGATGTCCCCATCGATGACCATAATAAATCAGGACATTCTTTCGGGCGCAACGTTATGGTGTTGCTGGGACGGCCATGAGCTCATTGGGTCAGCCGAATTGCGCAATCGTTGATGAGTAAGACTTGAAAACTGTGGCATAACGTTATCTCCCGTCTTACATACCATAACACACCACCAAGTACCAGCTTCTAACCCTCTTCAAATTCTTACGAGTGCTCAACCTCTACCTTTTCTTTCTCAGAAACGCTTGATAGCTTCTCGGCATCATTTCCAGCCCTCATTGCCTTTGACATTTCCTTCGCAACCTTGACTGGATTACCACCCGATGTGAAAAATTCGTCGATATCTTCCAACCTGAAGTTGCTAGTCTCAGGATAGAAGAAGTAGATGATTGGCACAAACAAGAAGTTGGTGATGACAAAGATGAGGTAGGCTTTCCACTGAAGCCGATTGATGATTACCGGGGTGATCATGACGACAAAGAAGTTCCATAGCCAGTTGGAACTGATACCGACGGCAGTACCTCGAGTTCGTGCATGGAGGGGCAGGATTTCGGGAACAACGACCCATGGGACGCAGTTCATTCCCATGCCAAATATCAAGTTGTACCTAAGTGTCTCGTTAGTGGACCTTTCGAAAAGCCTCGTATGCGCGCGACAGGTAAACTTACAGAAAGAAGAATGCCACAGACGCCGAAGCGCAAGCTTGACCGCCAGTGAAGCCCACCCGCGACAATAGTATCGAGATCATGAGCATGCAGACGCCAAGTCCCGCACTTCCCCACATCATCGTCTTGCGACGACCCATACGGTCCAAGGCCAGAGCCGGCAAGATGGATCCAAACATGAACATCATCTGCACACAGCCACCAATGATCTGGGCCAAATGAGGCGTCATGCCAACATTCTGCACCAGTACCGAGGGAATGTAGTATACGACAAGGTTGATTCCTCCCAGCTGATTCATGAACTGAGCACCCCATGCTAGCAACACGCGGTGGCCCGTTCTAAGCCGATCATTCTTGAAGATACTGATCCGGGAAGATGACTTTTTCTCGGCGGCTTCTAGCTCGATGGCGTGGTGGATTGCATGAACCTCGGCTCGGATGTACTCATCGGTTGGTTCTTTGTTAAACACGTCGCAGAGGACCTGGATGGCTTCCTGCTCGCGGCCGTGTTTGAATAACCATCGAGGAGACTCAGGGAGGGCAAAGACCAGAACCACGACAACTAGGGCAAAGATGATTTGGAATGCGAGGGGCAGTCTCCAAGCAATTGGACCGCCGACATATGACATACCGAAGTCGAACCTGTGGACGTTAGCACTAAGTGAAGCCAGCGATGAAGGTATGACGTACCAGTATGCGAAGACAATGCCTACACCGACGAATAACGTTTCGGCAGAGACAAGTCGGCCTCTGTACTTTCGATCACAGAGCTCGGATTGATACCTGCAGAAGTCATGATTAGATGGTGCTCAGTAGTTCGGTACTATTCGAGACTTACATGGGCACAGTCGATGTCTTCATGCCGGTGCCAAAACCGGTCACCAAGCGCCCAATGACCAGATGAGTTACCGTGAATGCCGTCGCTTGAAGAGTCGCGCCGATGATGACTAGACCCATGGCGGTCCAGATCGTCTTTCGACGACCGAGCTTCTCGCCAAAGATGAAGTTGACTAGAATTTGGTGCTATCAGCATTGGCTACCAAAAAGTGTCACGTCCCGGGGAAACGCCAACTTACGAACACAGCCTGTCAGACAACCCAGGTTGTAGCACGACACGATGATACCGGTTTCCGAATCAGAAGGGTTGCCGACTTGCTCTAACCAATCCTCCATTTGGAGAATGCCACCAAACACCCCTTGGTCATAGCCGAATAGCACAAACGCAATTAGGCAGCATATCGTGACGCCGACCTGGAGGCTTTTGCCCCTGCCTAGAGTGAAGAACATGATGTTGTTTCTCTGCTAAACTCGTATGCAAAAACCCGTTGATGATCCTGGAAGTCTTGGATGGTAGCTGTCTCATGTACCAAATAGGTGGGATGAGTCCTCCCCCACAGAGCCGTCCGGTCTCGGGAACTCTGACCAGGAGACTTTGGGGTTCAGATCGATGGGGTGTAAGGTAACCAAAGATCTTCCACGGGCTAATGTTGAAGCTAACAGCTTTGGAAGGTTTGGTGGGGAACTGGGTCTCGCGGAGGCAGATCTGTGGGGATAACGCGGGGAAGCACCAGATGATATCTAAAACCGGACTTCAGGTGGCTGGTTTCCGTCAAGGATTCCAGATTGCCTTGAACAATTAGGACACGATAGCGCTTGCACTTGCATCTTGCGGGTAACTTCACTCTTCTTATACTTCCGCATCGGCAACGAGGCCGTTGGCCGGAAGACGGACGAGCGGGGAGGTCGAGTTCACGGACCGGAAGAAGCAGGGTAGCACTAAGCACCTCCTATGCCCCAGTGATTTGCACGGCACTCCCTATCTTGCCCACCTGGCGTTAGCCATCTAAAGGTTGGAGCGCTTGATTCTGCTTGTTTGGGTGGTACAGTCTGGGGATGCTGCAGCAAAATAACCGTGCGTCGATGGGGTTGATATGCAGTCATCGCATGCTGCTCAAGCGTGATGACATTCTGGCATTGGAGTAGCCATAATGAAAAGCAAGTGCTGAGACTAATTGGCCCACAACGGTGCCATCATGATTGGGTCCGCTTGACGTTTGCCTCATGTCGTTGGCTGGCCTTAGTTGCCGTTGATGTTGGTGCTCGGATTCTAGATATAATAGTTTTACGCGCACCAATCACAATTACATTGCTGTAACGCGACATCTGCGGCATCCAGGCTTTGAGGCTTGGTATCACGACAGATACATCTGGTAAATGAGGCTCAGGATGAAGAGAAACAACGATCGGTGATCATTGCGGTGTGAACTAATGAATGCGTCGAAACAGGACGCTTTATACTTAAGACATGGTGTGCAGGAGCATCTAATTAGCCTGCCCTTCGCTGTGCTGACCACCTGACTTATGATATTGAGCCCACGAACACCAACGTAAGCCCTGCGACCAAAAGATGCGTCTACCGCCTTCGATATCTGAAGCCGAAGCGCTTTCAGATCTTGAGCTCGTATTGTCTCTTCAAATCCCGGTTGTAGAAGTGGCGGATAACGAGTACAGTCACCGCGGCCGCTGCTCCGAAACCAGCTGTAATGTAGTTGCCAGTGACGATGTATGGCTGGAGATTGGCAGGGAATGTAAAAATGGGCACCCACGCCGTGAAAATGTAGGCAAACGCGTTCATCTGATAGGGGCAATCGATGTTAGCTCTCATTGACTTGGAGGTAGTAGAACACTTTTGAAAATTGTATGACATACCATGGCAGACACGTATGCCCGCTTTTCGGGATCGTGTCTGTTCGTTTCGTTCACCCATGTCCATGTGATGCCAGCGCACGTACCCGCTAGAGCCGTGAGGTCTGATGAAGGGAGATTGTCAGTAAAGTGAGATGGATTCCATGAGAGCGAATGAGATACTCACAGTACAATGCCCATCGAGTTGCGATGTCTGCTGGGTGCACGGGTGTGGCTGCCAGTGCAATGGGGAAGATAATGGCCATCACGCTGGCAAACAACATACCAGGCCATCGAGCTGCTCCAGGCAAGCTGTCCGATACCCAAGAGTTGACCAGGGTTGCGAAGATGGAAATAATGTTGATCTGGCCAAAAGGTAAGCTACGATGTAATCCAGTGGGTAAAACGCGCAGAACTCACTCCGAGTGGGATGATATTGATCTCTGCTACGGAAAAGCGAGGTGGCTTCCCGGCTACGTTGTAGCTTTTGACCCAGAAGATCACTGCACGTAAAATAAGTACAGGCGGTTAGTGACTGAGTTCTCTCACGAGCAACACAATTCATGTGTGTGTGAACTCACTTGATCCTCCGGACTGGCCCAGCTGTGCAAGAAACGTGAAGAACAGCGGGACTTCATAAGTCAGTTTCCATGAAAGTAGTCGTTGACGAAACGGATCTTTTACAGAGGTAGACGTGCCACGTCGTGTGCCAGCGTTTGACATCCGTCCACTTGAACAGTCCAGTGTGCGGTCTGACTTCGGTAGGCATTCTAGCACGGGCCAGCTCAACTTCCTTTTCGGTAAAAATCCTGGGAGAATATCAGCTTCAATATTGCTTCTCTCCTAGGAGACTCCACCGGAGCATAGATACCAATTCGCTTTAGCCCGAGAAGGTAGTTGGGGCATGGCAAACGCAGTCCATATCGCACAAGGGAGGGAGATGCAACCGCAAACGCTAATCTTCTGTCAGCGTGATTTCTCGTTGAGGGGTCAGCCATTGGGCTTGGTATTTCGGTGCACTCACATGTACATCCATCGCCAGCCCGGGAGACCACTCTTTCCATCCAAGCCGGCATACACGGCAGCCATCAGGAAGCCGGAGAACAGTGGCCCGACGGAGGTGAATACTTGAATCAGCGTGTTGCGCCGCGCAAGTTCGTGCGGCTTGTAGTAACTCGAACACACGTACATGACGGCTGGGAAATGCCCTGCTTCAAACAAGCCGACGCTGGAGCCGAGTTAGTGAGTTCATATCAGAAGTAAGAAATACAGTAACCAGATGTCATTTGAATGCGTAGGAATGGCGACGACCCTGGATGCGGAAACTCACAAGAAACGGAATATGTAAAGCTGATTGACATCCTTGACACCTGCGGTGGCAAATGTAAAGACGGTCCATGCAAACTCAAGGAAGGCAATGTAAAGGGGAGCGCTGACCTAGAAAGCCGTTAAGACTTCTTGCTTCCTCTGGAACTTGAAATGTTGAGACTTACTCGAGTGAGAAGTAGGTTTGACGGTATTTGCCCGAAGACGTAAGCTGCACTCCAGATAGCGTTGGCGTAGTTGAGTTCCTTTCCGTACAACGAAAGATCCTCTTTCATACCACTGTCTGGAAGAACTTTCTTAGCAAGAATCAACAGACAAGTATAGCTCTGATACTGACTGAAAGCATTCGTGATATTGACTTGGTCGAGATAGCGACACATCACGCCGAGAGCCGATGCTGATATGAGTGTCAAATCTAGCTTCGTGAGAAATCGTGCCTCATCTTTCGGAACATCGAGTGCTAAAATAACATGAAGTCAGCACCTAAAGCCGTTTTTCGTTATGGTTTCAAACAACTAACTCGACCAGAAAAATGATTTCCATGTTCTCTTGGATTCGACATATGCTGCTCTCTCTGCACCTGCCTGTTGTGGTTCTTTGACTCCGTCATGGGCTTCATTCTCGCTCTCCCCGATGACGAAGGCGCTTTTTGGGCTCTTTTCGTGAGGAAGCGACATTATTTGTAGACGAGAGACGTGACACGAAGCATGGATCGGCCCTCATCAACTTTTCGCGAGGGAGTTTGGTGGGTTTATCTACGAACTCAATGTCTGTGGCTTCCCGTTCAGATCTCATTGCTCGGAAGTCGGGTTGATTGTCGTCTTAGGCGGGTCCCATGGCGACATCGACAGTCAACTCAGAGTGAGTCTATTCGTCATGTTAAACAACGCCACAGGACCTCCGTGTGTCTCCCAGGTGTTGTGAGACCAATGAGTAGTCAGATTTCCAGCGTACCATGCCGATAATGCAGACGCCCCTTTAGGAGCTACCGATGTCGGGAACATGGGTTGGATCGTTCTGTTGGTAGGGTACCTACAATTAGCGAGGAGGTGCGAGTCCGTAAACACCAATAACATCGACGAACAGCAGGCATACAATGGCGTGCTTGATGGCTCGGCAAAACTCCGCGTTTATTAATCATGAAGGTCGCAAGCAGGTAAGGAACAAGGCTCAAAGGGGCATTTCCTCCGTCTTAGACTCAATCATTCCAAACCCCCAACTTGAGGCGTTGAGGCACGGCGACTCAGCTTAACGTTGAAAAATACGCATTCTCTTTCTCGCGGTGAAGCACTTAGATCTGACGATAACGCCCCTCGGAGGGACCACAAGCCAGCTGATAGGGTCTAGCTCCAAGTGCTGTTATTCAACGTAAAGCTTGCTAGAATTACTAAGGTTGTATCGTCGAATTCTGCGGTCCAAACCCTCACTTTGGTGCTACACTCCGCATTTGTAGCGGCTGATATGAGGGCGCCCCTGGAGTCTGTTGATTTACAATAATTTTGCAAGGGCTGTAAGGCTTTAGCTAGACCAAATGACATTAAGCCGTTCCTTTGGTTTTCTTTTCATCTCCTTCGTTTCGACAGTAAACATATCTCACGGAGTAGACCATAGATGATAGGCGAGCAATCAATCTTAACAAAGCGTCGCTACTGAACCCTTCCTCTTGTGACATCATCTGATTTTTCACACAGGCAGCATGCCATTGAAGAATCAGAACGGAACCTTACCGGATCACTTGATACAATACCTAACACCAGCCCGCGGTGTTACGCGGAACGTTGTGCTTGATGTCGAAAAAGTTAAGCTTTCTCACTTTAGCGCTGGGTCGAAGAGATGAACCTTACCCCCTCTCGATGGCATGGATATGGTACAGACCCTACGCGCGTCTGAGCATTCTTAGTCGCAGGCAATCCGTCAGTTCAAAAAGCTCTAAGTGGTACTTCCTGGAGATGTGTGCTCTTTAATCCCCTCAGATCTCCCGGGCTGGTGACTGTCTGCCTTTGTACAACTATTCACGACTCGCTGGCGGTCAAACTTGAACCACCATTAACACAATCGTCTCATTGGTGGCCTTGAAGGCTTTGACGGCAGCCTGTTTACTGGCAGCTCTTTACTCCATTTACTCTTTGTATAGAGCTCGCAGCTTCTTTAGGTCACTTCAGCGTCAAGGATTGCCAATGCCTCCTCATGACCCAGTCTGGGGCCATCTCAAACTTATCGGAAAGGTTCTCAAAGATTTGCCGCCTGATATCATGCCATCCGCAGCACTTGCTCACGAAATAAGTTTGAGATATCCACACCTTGACCAGGCCTTCTTCTTAGACCAGTGGCCCTTCTTCAAACCCATGTTGGTCGTCCTGTCACCAGATGGAGCTCGGCAAGTGACACAAGGCCAATCTCTTCCGAAAGAGCCAGGCCAGCGAGAGTTCTTGAAACCACTCACAGGTGGCTACGACCTAGACACGATGGAAGGGGAGGAATGGAAATTCTGGCACAATATCTTCAGCCCTGGCTTCCGAGTCGCAAACGTTGCGGCGCTGGTGCCGAGTTTGGTTGAGATGACTGGTATTTTCTGTGATCGTCTGCGCCAGTGTGCGAGGAAGAACGAGGTGGTTTCTCTGAGCCCGATGGCCCTCGATCTTACCATGGACTTCTCAAGCAAGGCTATCATGGGCCACGACATGCATTGTCAGACAGGATTCAACGAATTTGCCGCCGCGATGGCTTCGCAACTAAGTTGGTTGCATTATCGCGGTACTTCAACGCTGAGAGACGTGAACTTCATCAGGCCTCTGGTCCAGCGCTACAACACTTGGCGGATGGATTCGTACATCAAAGAAGTACTACAGGAGAATTCAGAAGCTGCCAAGAGTAGACAAACCAACTTAATCTCGATACTGGATACCGCCAACAAACCACAAGACCAAGGCCATCTCCGGATATTTCCTGATGTCATTCGGTCGCAGATCAAATTTATGATGCTTGCAGGCTACGACACAACCGGTTCATCGATTGTTTTTTTGACCAACCTTTTGTCGCAACATGCGGAAGTACTGGCACGCGTTCGAGCTGAGCATGACGACGTTTTCGGCTCTGATGTGAGGGCAACAGCGGGGCTCATAACCTCCCAGCCGAAGCTTCTCAACCAGCTTCCATACAGGACTGCTGTCATCAAAGAGTCGTTGCGAATCTACCCACCTGGAGCTACTCAAAGATTGGGCAATCGCGATTTCAATGTTTTCATTCAGGACTTTTCTGAAAGCACGGAGCCTGCTACCGGCGAAATTCCAGCAATGACTCTGAGGTCCCTGCTGACTGACAAGTGCAACGTCTATGTCAGTCACTATGCAATTCATCATAATCCACGGTACTGGTTCCGCCCAAGCGAGTTCCTTCCGGACCGTTGGTTGGTAAAGGGCAAAGATGATCCTCTACAATCTCCGGCGAATGGTTGGCGTCCCTTCGAGAGAGGGCCTAGGAGCTGTGTGGGGCAAGAAATGGCTTTGGCAGAGATCAAGATGGTGTGTGCCTTGACTGCGAGGGAACCCGATTTCAAGCCTGCCTACGAAGAGACTGGACAAACCGAAAAGTATCACGGAGATCCTGTGTATTTGGTGAGCCGCGGAGGGGCAGCCAACCCGAGTGGGTTCTACCCGTGCCGAGTGAGCTTCGCGAAGAGAACATGAAGGTTGCAAAGCGCGACGGCAATATTCGACTCCTTGTACATTGTCTTCTTCTAGTGGGGGCGGAAATGTAGCATAACTTGGAAGATTGATTCAGGGTTTTGCGCTCACTGGATCCATCATACAATTAACATTGAAGGGTCAAGCTCAACAGCATCGTCTTCGATTACCAGCTTGTCAATGTGCAAGGATAGAACATAATTCTCAACGATAAGATAACATAAATTCATTTGCCCTACTTCAGTTCTAACATGATGATCTACAATCATCATACCTTGTCGACTATGCCTCAATCTTGTTACTCTCCGGCCAAGGGTTTCTCTGCCGCGTCTGTCTGACATCACCCCGCTGCCAAGAAATCAAATCGTGGTATCCGAAATACCGAGGATAGCCCAAGGGCTTGAGCTTGGCTGATGGCCCAAGGATTCTTCCGACGACAGTGTTGTTGAGCGCATGTCCAGCAGCACCCTTGGCTTGATTGGCCTTTTCCGTGAACCACTGTCTCCAAGACTGCTTCTCCTTGGGCTTCTCAGCTTTGATCTCGGCCCTCTTTCTCTCTTCACTCTCTTGGCGCAAGAACATCTTATGATTGATGTCGATGAAGAGACGCTCCCACATTCCTATGCGCTCCTCATGTAAAGTTCGCGAGCCCTCCTTTCTGTCATCTGAGTCTCGGGTCCAGATCCAGTGATTCTCGGCTTGTTCCAGAAGACAGAGGTCAGCCTCAAACGGCACTTGGTGTACAACAAGTGTGTGGCCCTTGTGGGACTCAAGGTCCATTGTATGGCCGCCGTGGACGGATGAGACGGTACCGGCGAGGGTTTCGTAAGTTGAAGCAATGGGTGTCTTGGGGTATGGATCATCAACCTTGGGCGGCGCAGTGCTTTTCTTGAGTTTGAATCCGTTCTTCGTCAAGGCTGCGCATTCCCATTCGCCAGCGTCATCGAGACCAGCGCCATCGTAGAGGTAACGGATGCGTACGGAGGGATGTACAAGCTGGTTAGGGCTCACGAGTCTACTTTTCCCATCGTCGGTCCTGTATAAGCCCGGAGTTCGGGTGCCCAAGACGGTGTTTTCACCCTTCAACTTTTGCCACGGATACCAAATCGCGTTGTATGTCTGATCAGGGATCGACGTGGCTTTTCCAGGGTTGTTAATTCTGCCCATTCCCCATCTGCGTGCCTTGACACCAGGAGTGAGGGTGTAGAAGAGCCGCTTCATCTCAGACGTGTTGAACTCGACACCGACAGAGGTAAGCTGATCCGCCATCCCTGTTCACCTTGTAAGCTGACTTTCGCTCTCAGTTGGGTCGCATTAGGAGTTCCTACAGGCAAGTGCAATATTGGCAATCTGTTGGTCCTCAAAACCTCCACCAACGTCGCTGTGGCTGCCGGGAAACCAGACTTGTCGAAGCTGCGTATGTTCATTGTTGTCCTTACCCCACAATGTTGGTTTGAATGCCGTGCGCCATTCGTCAAGTGCGAGGGCATGGAAGGCATAATCAACGTTGGGGTTGACATCGAGACTTGTAAAGCGAAGCTGATCGTGTTAGTCTTTTGTTCCCGATATCCGGTGATTTTCGGGCATCTAAAAAGGCTTGAACTCACCTCCTCGACGCTGCGGCCAAAGTTGACCTTTTCCCAGGGCATTTTGGGCCAGCCTAGACTTCCAACAGTATCCCATACGGCTGAGTTGGTAACAGTTAGACTGGGTTCGGCTCTCGTTCTGTCATGTGTAATACTCACCAACCGCTCTGACCTTGACGTTCGTGGGGACCCAGAATTCGCCCCAATCTCCCCCTCGACATTGCCTCTGCCTCTCGGTAAGAACCATTCCGTGCTGTGCGAATGATCAGTGAATAGATTCCTAGACCAAAGAGATACGTCTCTCATTACCTTTTCAAGCTGGTCTCTGTAATTTCTAGCCATCTTGCGAAGGTCCATTTGTCCGTAACCCTTCGAGTTCTTGCGACAGTCGGTCATTTTCTTGAAAAACTCCTGTTTCTCCTTGTCCAACGCAACTTGTAGGGCAGCGCTATCACGTTCGTCGATCCTTTCGTCCCTCGATGCTTCGCGTTTCTCAAGGCGCTCGTAGTTGGTAAGTGTAAAGCCTACCAAGTGGTCTTCTTTGTCAAAGCTTCCATGCCAGTTGGGGAAAGTCTGGTAATCGTGGAAAATTGCCCCGAATTGTGACAGGCCGACGCGATTCAAAAGCCCGAGATTGCAGATCAATCCGGACACTGATCGCGCGGTGAAAGCTCCGCGGGAGAATCCGACGATGAAAATCTCATCTCCTGGGTTGTAGTTATCGCAAACGAACCGGTAAACATCAGCAATATCCTGGGCGAGCGCAATCAAACGTCAGCAAAAGCCACTCTATTGCTATATGCATTTCAAAGAAAGACTGACCTGAACGATGCCCTTTCCGAAAACTCCGCCGAGAGTTTGGGCAACTTTTGATTCCTCGGTGCCAGCTCCTCGGTGGTAGTAGACAACCTGCGGCATACCCGTGCAGCACTTATGGGCAATGCCGGACGACAGGCGGGCCACATTAGTAGGAATGCCACCCTTCTTGTTTCTACCCCACAACCAGAGTCAGCGACAGAACGCAGCGAGTGGGTTAGGATACTTACGAATTATTCCATGTTCCGTCACAACAGACGATGATACGTTTGGTGTTAGTAAATTTGCCTGTTTTGTGAGCGCAGTCTTCAAGCTTGGGCTCCTTGACTGGCTGCTGTGATTCAGGCAGCTGGATCGTGGAGTAGAACGTTTGACCGTCACTAGTTGCTGACGCCATGTTAAAGAGCAGGTAATCTATGAAGTTTAAAGTTGGGAATGATGGTAGATGAACTGGCGAATACAGAAGCCATGCTACTCGATGGAAAGGTCCTTGACGCTGGTTATAAGTCTTCTGCCTTCTCCCCAAGTCGGACTTGTACAGCACTCAGCGTTGAGACAAGCTTCGGAGGTTATCAAATGGGGAATTCGACTGCAAACGCCAACAATGATCTGTCTTGGCTCTGTCTGTCTCGGAGATGTGGTGTTACCAACCCTACGGAATGGCAGAGGTCACCATCGTCTAACCGATCATGGCAAGAAATACCAAATCTGTCAGGCATCGAGACACAAGAGCAAGCGTTCACATGCTAAGTAGTTGGTCTGTATTGACATCTGAGACAAGGCGTGGGGACTTGAGATTTGCACATTATCAACGTTAGCTCGAAGCGAGTCTGGACTCATAGCAGTAGGCCTTACCATAACCGTTCGTGTCCTTCAGATAGGATCGCCGGGCTTTCGGCAACAGCATCAACTGGTGCTTGACACGTTGATGATCCGATTCACATTAGCAAGGGCCTTTCTGAAACTTATGCCTGTTTTGGGAAGTCATCAACAACGTTAAGGAGAAACACTCCTCGCCCTAGCCTGAAGTAGCTGGTTTTACAGATGACGTTGATATGAGACATTTAGAAATGATGTCCAGTGAGCCGGAAACGTGTAGAGATTACACTGGTCGAGATTCAGGAAGACGGCAATTCCGGCGATCCGTCGACGTAAACCCCAGCTTGCCCAGGCCTCCATACACATACATACGTGCCACCAAGCTAAGCCAAAGAATCCTGGGCATAAGTAGTCGAGCCGCGGACGGCACATCCACCACACTACTGCCGTGTGGAACACAGCGGAGCGGCCCGCACTCCGGGGCCGAGACGGCTGTGAGTGAGTTAATGTCATCGGCGGTGCGGACATGAGGTATTGGTCCCCCGCACCTTTGCAGCAATACTGACGGCCCAGATAAGATGTCATCAGAGCTGCAGAATACTAAAGTACTGATGCACGCCAACATTTCGACACCGAAACGGCAGTGAGATGGATTCTACAGGACCTTAGTTGAATACTTTACAAGCCGTTTAGAGCCATCTTCGAAAACGCACGGCTGTACGCCCAAATACTTGCATCATTTTGTTGTCGTTACGTCGCCAGGAGTATGTCACGATGAGAAGACTGCTAAGACATCAAAGCGTAGAATTTTGACAGTTATGTATGTTCAAAAGGCTTAGTATGTGCAGAAGTGAATTTTCATAACCCATAAACAGGCCCTCCGACCTTTTCATAACCACATCCCTTCCAATCCCAACAAAGTCCTCTAACCCAGCATTTAGGAGGTACCGGAGCATCCAACGAAGTTGTTGCCGCTGGCGCCAGTGTGGGTGATCTGGCCAGCCTGGCCGCAAGAAGCGTTGATGACGACACGGTCGGCACCGGGGGAGCCTGGGTACAGAGTCAGTCACTGTTTGAATGGGGGTTATGTGTACCACTCGGGCGACGCTTGCACCACTCGAACGTGTCGCACATGACGATTGGGGATATAACTCACCTCCGGTGTAGACGCCGCTGGTCTTGATGGGGAACTCGTACCACGGGCCGGTGACGTCAAAGTCGAAGCCCTCGTAGTTGTTGTAGCGGTGGGGGTAGGTGGAGCTGCCGGCGACGGTGCCGGCCTTGACGTGGGTGCAGGCGGCGCTGGAGGCGGCGTTGACCTGGGCGGTGGAGTAGGTGGTGCTGCCGCAGGTGGTGGAGCGCTTCTGGATCTCGGCGGGGGCGGCGGAGACGGCCAGGGCGAAGAGGGAGACGAGGACGACGGAGAACTGCATCTTGGCGGTTGGTGTTGGCGTTGTTGGGAAGGGATGGTTGTGGGCTGGGAGACGAGACTGGATGACTGGGCCTGAGGAGCTTCTCTCAAGTCTGGTCTATCGTGGGAAACCTCATCGTCTTTATACACGGAAGTTGTCTGTAAATAGAAGGCAAACTGACTTACCAATTATTGTGAGGACCCCGACTCCAGTGGGATGCTACAGTACGGCAAGCAACAGCCAAGCGAAAGCACAAAGTCCCACGTCTCCCAGGGTAGCGGTGTCAGTGCGTCCGCGACTCCGCCATGCCCACTTGTCGATCCCCGGTACTTAATGCGGAAGGTGTTTTTTAGGATCTTATCGCGCATGGCCAGGAACGCCGACGTGGTTGGCTGGAAAATAAAGAGGCCATAATGCATGGGAAACCTGTCCGGTCCGCCTTGGTTCACTCGAGCCTCTAGAGGTTCCCACTCAGCTTCGTTAGTGTAACCGTAGTGTTCCTTCTGCTAAGACTTGCGCGCTTGCTGACACGTCGAGGTCTAACAAATCAAGTTGTGCCCAGTGCTTCATGGCACCCGTTGAGTGGTGTTGCGGACATGAATGTCGTGCGCTAGTCAGGCGCATCTACCGACGGCATTGCGACCCCAATCCCGGGCCAAGCACCAACTGTATAATGTCATCAAGAAGACAAAAAGCGTTCCTAAGCCGGGTGAGGAAGTCTTTCCCGTGTCTACCGTCCCACACGCCGTTCGAGATCCCCGCATTTGAGTCTTGAGTTGCACCCTTCTCAGCCCCTTATTCCCTGCGGTGTCCCGCCGTTGCCTACTATTTCCCTCCCTTGCGGCCAGCTCCGATCCACCATTCTCTTAACCAGCTGTCAAAATAGGCTTAACCTCAAGGTGGGTTTTGAAACGTTCGGGCTGTTCCTATCATTCTGCCACGGGGGTTTGTCTGCGCTCCGGTGGGCTGCAATCTGTCTGGGGGAGGCAAAAGCAAGCCGACTTTCAGCTTAAGCGCTTGCTGCGAAGCTTACAGGTTGCCTCGTTACCTACCTTCTCCATGGGGTTACAGCTCAGCCGTGGCGCGTTCGTCCCATCGCCGGGAGATCAGCGTAGGTAATCATTCAGTGGGTGGAGAATTCATTTGTTCTCTTTCTTCACAGTCCTCTGTCGTCAAGTACTTGGCTCATCTTTGTTCCCATCGAATAGAGCGATTCCAAGCGGGAGCTTGTAATCTACTTTAGGTATTTACAGCACAAGCCAGTAAATAATCCGGCCGCGAGCCAAATTAATTGCACGACATCAACAGAGTTGAGAGTTCCCGAACTGTCGAAGTGCTCCATTCTCATTTCTCGCAACCGGTTTCCAAGCGAACTTGCTTAACCTTAATCAAGCTTCAGTGGGGGAGATGCGCCCCCTGGACGCAGGGATCAAGTGCCGCTCACCCGGTGCCGGACAATCTGATTCGAGGCATATCTCTCTACTTGATTGTATGTGATCTTGAGCTGTCGTCGGAGACGCCCGGACCTGTTTGCACCTTCTCCTTGGGTTCTTGGCTTCTCATGTTGTCAGGCTCGCATGTGATGCTGTGCGGCCACGGGTTGTTGTGCCCGCATCGGCGTTGGTGCTCAATCAGGCAAGACATCCCAACGTCGGATGCTTCGCTTAGGAATTGGTTGTCAGCGAATTGCGATATCACGAGTTTCGTCGTCGGCGTCGGCCGGTGCATATTATCTTCTATCATGTTATCACTGAGGCATGGGTTTCTAATGAGGACTCAACACGGAAGCGAAGGTATCAAGATGGGTAAACTTCATGAATAGCAGATAAGCCAATGTCCAAGACAGGTTCCGTGAAGGGAAAAACAAGGAGCTTGTTCCATGGAACTGCCATGGCATGTTGGTACGACATTGGTTCGAAGAATACACCGGTCAATCGTTATTCATCCTACGTCTCATCGATAGTAGAGGCACTTCCGTTGCATGCACTAAGCAGGCCGAAAGGCCTTGCTCCAGTCCTGTGCCGAAAGCCATTCGACGACACTGCCCGCTTTCATCCTTTTTTCTAGATCTCCGAGTAACTTCAGAGACTCTTTCCATCCATCTATCTTCTCCCCAAAAAGACCATATTCTGCAAGCCAAACCCAGCTCTCCGGAGCCTCGCGACCTAGCGGCTATTCCGCCGCCATGTCATCGACGGTTCTTTGCACGAAAACAAAGTCCTGACCCGTTTTCCTACGCAGCAACTCGATACACTCTTTAAGCGACTTCATCTCGTCGTAGGCTGCCAATATCGTGCCAAGAGGCTCAGTAAGCACCAGGGCCTTGACGAAGTTCCCGGTGCTGGACGAAGCATCGATGAACGGTACAAGATTATCGTCACTCACGGGCCCCTCGAACTCGATCTTGCCTGTCGCCGGATTGAAGCTGGGACCAAAATATGAGTCCGCTAGGATGTTGGAGTTGTAAAATCCAACCAAGATCTGTGAAGTCTTGGCCCAGAGTGCGGGATGCTCTCGTTGAATGTATTTGACAATGTTGGCTTTGCCGTCAAAGTGGTAAATATGCTTCAGCTTCCCAAGGCTTAGATCAGAGACAGGAGGAAGACTGCTGAAGATGAAGCGCTCCAGCGTCGATATTTCCGCCGCGGCCATTGCAATGTTCCTGCCCCAAGATTCCTCTAGGTCCTGGGTAGCAATGGCAAGATTGACTCCATCTTTTCGCACCCTACTAGTGACCTGTTCGGTCAGGATCGCACTCCAAAAGTCGGTGACTGCGAAGATTGCTGTTGCATCGGCGAAAGCTGACTCGAGCTCCAACACGGAGTCGAGAGAGGCAGACACCATTTCCGCTCCATGAGTCGATAATTCGGTGGCAGACTCAGAAGAAGGGTTTCGAGTTATACCGCGTATGTGCCAATGGCTGGCCAAAGCCGCGTCATAGAGGAAGGCTCGAGCCACAGAGCCGCCTTGGTTTCCGGTGGCACCCAGCACGACCAAGATTTTCTTCGTGTGTGAAATCATGATGGTTCGAAGCGATTTGTCAAGATTCAAACTTGAATAGTATGGTATGAGTGTATTTAGAAAAGCGTACCTGTGAGGGACAACTTGAATGCCTTTCTTCGATTTAAGACAGCCAGCCTGTGTGGTTCCTAAATACATCATTTCTAGTCGTGAAGATGAATAACGTTAGTTACTGCTAATTAAAGGCCATTCAAGAAGATTTTGTCAGCTTGGTCTGCTATGATCCCGCCGTGGCATTATTTGCCGACCGGAATCCTGCAGACATGAAGGTGAGGATGAACAGAAACACCGATTATGGGCTAATTATCACGGAAATGTGGACCCTCAAGGAGGAATTGCCAGCCGACTCCGCTCCGCGATAGCACCGGCAAGGTTCTCCACCAAAGTTGCCGGCTCCGGGGAATCGAACGGAAGGAGGGCGATTACCTCATTCTTTGCCATCTATCCAGGTGCTCCTTCTAAGGTAGGTACCTACTAAAGGTACCACGGTACCTACAATCGATAAGGTACGGATACCTAGATAAGTGAGATACGTATCCGTTCTCGCCAGAGGAACGTCGTTAATCCGTCCCGAGGCTGTGTGTCACTTGAGGGAGGTGGTCTGTGCAGCAGCTCAAGAGGTAGCAGTTTTGGTGCCAATTGGCCGCTCATTTAGCGTACGCAGCAGCAGGAGCTTTGGACGCGAATTCCAGGGCGTCCGGGCTCCGCAAAACGCGTTTTCTTGAGATTCAATCAACCCCAATTTGTGCCCACCTGTTTGGCCTGTCGCCTTTTTTTGTCTTTAGCTTTGCTCCCCAGCTTCACTATCACCAACCACATCGCGGCGCATCAATCGCATCACCTACCCCATCGACGAGAGCTTCACCAACATCCCATCAACGTCGCATTTACATACAAACCCTTCTATCCGACCGTTGACCTGGTCTAAATGACCCTGGGGGCCGTTCGCGATGCGCGTCATTAAGCCCACGTGGCTGAGCCATTCTGGCGAGCAGAAGGACTTCGAGGTGTACAGCTGTCACGTATCCTCCGACGGGAAACGACTCGCGACTGCTGGAGGCGATGGCCATGTCAGAGTGTGGTCAACCGAGGCCATCTATGGCGATGCGAATGGTGACGCAGAAGGCAAGCCGAGACAGCTCTGCCATATGAGCCATCACCTCGGTACAATCCACTCTGTCCGCTTCTCTCCCAACGGTCGATATCTCGCATCAGGTGCCGACGACAAGCTTATTTGCGTATACCACCTTGACAAGAGCCCCCCGGTTGCTTCCTTTGGTAATGCGCTCCTGCCGGAAGCCAATGCGCTGTGCCCTCTACGTGATGGGATGCTAATGCAAGACAACAGGACTTGGCGCCGAACCTCCACCGGTCGAGAATTGGAAGACATACAAGCGACTTGTCGGGCACGAGAACGACGTCCAGGATCTTGCCTGGTCCTACGATTCCTCTATACTGGTGTCGGTTGGCTTGGACTCCAAGATCGTGGTCTGGTCGGGCCATAGCTTCGAGAAGCTGAAGACCATAACCGTCCACTCCAGTCACGTAAAAGGCATCACGTTCGATCCTGCAAACAAGTTTTTCGCGACCGCCAGCGACGACCGAACGATCAAGATCTTCCGTTTCACGCCCCCTGCGCCGAATGCGACACAACATGATATGGTTAACAACTTCGTGCTGGAGCAAACAATCAGCGGGCCCTTCAAGAGTTCACCACTGACTACATATTTCCGACGGTGTTCCTGGTCTCCTGACGGCAACCACATTGCAGCTCCAAACGCCGTCAATGGTCCTGTTAGTTCAGTCGCGATAATCGAGCGAACACGATGGGACAGTGAGATCAACCTGATCGGCCACGAAGGCCCAACCGAGGTCTGCATGTTCTCTCCACGCCTGTTTCATACGGAGAACCCGGCGGAGCAACCAGACAACAATGCCCTAGTTACTGTTATAGCGTCAGCAGGCCAAGACAAGACTCTCAGTATCTGGAACACGAACACATCACGACCTGTAGTCATTCTGCAGGACGTGGCCAGCAAATCCATTTCTGACCTAGCTTGGTCACCCGACGGAACTACCATTTTCGCCGCCAGTTTGGACGGCACGCTCCTAGGGATTTCGTTCGACCATGGCGAGCTGGGCTGGGTTGCGGATGCTGGCGAAAATGACAAAGCTCTTCAGAAGTATGGCGCGTCACGGAAGGGCATGGGCATCGCAGAGGACATAGAAGGTCTGAACTTGGAGAACCAAAGCAAAGCTGGCGAGTCTCGTGCTGCAGAGTCCAGGATGGGCGCTCTAATGGGCGATCCGGGTTCTTCCAAGGGAGCAACGCCTGCGACCAATGGCACCAAACCAAATGGGACAGCTACAGGCACCTCGACGCCAAAGCCCACGAACGGCAACGTTGAGCCGGAGAAAGAGAAGCCGGCAGAAGAGAATGGTGACAAGGCGGGGGAGAGGGTCAAGGAGCTCAAGTCTAGGGTGACGGTTGGCAAGGACGGTAGGAAACGTGTTGCGCCTCTCCTTGTATCCTCATCCGGCACCGGCCAGTCATCTCTTCCTCAAACTCAGCTGGTGGGCTCGACATCGACCTCGAAAGCTGCGCAGAACGATACGCCCCAGACCATCCTGGACCTCGAAAGGCCGTTTGAAGGACTTCCCAAAGGTGGCGTAGCTGCCATGCTGCTTGGGAATAAGCGCAAGGCCCCAGTCCTTGAGGGTGAGGAGGAAGAAGATCCTGCATCGAAGCGACAGGCAACAGGACCAACGCCTGTGGTGCTGAACGGCGTCGACGGCGTGGAGCCAGCTTCAGTTGTGCCGGCTGCCTACGGTGTTGTACCTACACCCGAGTATCTCAGGCCTGCGGTGTTAAACCCATCGATTGCCTTCGCGCAAATCCGGTTGGCAGTGCCCAAGGTCAGATCTCAAATTGTGAGGCCCCTCGAACGCGGGGTCTTGCTCCCGGAGAGCAGCACAGATGAAGCTTCCAAGGTGCCCGAAAACATCATCCTCGAAGCCCGAAATCCTGTTCAAATCAGGGATCCATCATTCATTTCCGCTACCAAGCGTGGAGCGCTTCTTTGGCAAGACTACCTGCCCAGAGCAGTAATTCTTGTCACTGGCAATAAGAACTTTTGGGCAGTGGCGTGCGAGGATGGCAGTATCTACACCTGGACGCCCGCTGGACGACGATTGATGAACCCGATTATCATGGAATCCCAACCAGTCATCCTCGAGTGCCGTAACAATTATCTGCTATGCATCAACGCTGTCGGCCTTTGCCATGTCTGGGATCTGCAGAGACAAGCAGCCCTGCATCCCCCAGTATCACTTGGTCCCGTTCTCGAACTCGCGACAACAACGCTCAATCTCAACACAACAACACCGGGTCCCGGCATCACATCAGCCCAGCTCAACTCGACTGGCCACATTGTTGTTACACTGACCAACGGAGACGGATATTGCTACACCCGGGACATGTATACATGGCAACGGGTTAGCGAAGCCTGGTGGGCTGTTGGCTCCCAGTACTGGAACAGCAACGACTCTTCGATTGGGGCTCTGCAGTCAACTGCCGTTGGACCCGTCACACCCGCGAAGCCTAAGGACGACGACAGTACGGCCAACGTCTCCGCCGGCATCATTCCTTACCTCGAGAGGCACACGACCAATGAGTTCCTGCTCAAGGGTCGCGCCTATACCTTGCAGCGCATCGTCAAGATGTTATTGACAAAAGACGGCTTTGAGGGCTTTGAATCAACGGTGAGTATTGCTCACCTTGAGAACCGCATCGCCGCCGCTCTACACCTGGATGCTAGGGACGAGTTCCGCCTTTACTTGTTCATGTATGCGAAGCGCCTTGGTGCCGAGGGTCATCGGGGCAAGGTCGAGGAGCTCCTCAACAGCTTGCTTGGCGGCATCTTGAGGGACAAGGACGAGAAGCCGAGCGAGGGCGGCCGGGGCTGGTTCAGCCAAGAGGACGGAATTTGTGGCTGGGACCGGAAGGAGCTCCTGAAGGGCGTCGTCATGATTCTCGGTAAGTTCATTCGCTGTTCGACGCGTCATAAGGAAGTCCCGCTAACAATCGCGCAGGCAAATTCAGAGAACTCCAAAGACTGACCATCCAATACGCGCGCGTGCTCGACCTCAACCTCGAAAGCGACGGGGCGATGGAGATCGAGGCATGAGCGACTTCTGACAGAGGGAAAGTCTGCTGTATTACATGTAATGAAGAGGCAGCGTTTGTATAGTATACCTACCAAGTGACCCTACGGGTAGTTGGCATGATGAGAAGCAAAAGGGCTGGCAAGGCATGTTCGTTGAGAGGTTTCGGGAGTCGGCGTACCTATTAGGTGTTTATGGATGTGGTGGGCAAGGCGAGCGAGGCATCGTTTTTCACGCTGGCCTTGATTCGGGATGGGACGGGCGTGGCGAAGATACAATTTCAGTTTGAGCTCAAGCTCGTGAATCGCATACTACAGTTTATCATGTGTTGTTAGGGTCCCATGCTCTGGCAACGGGCGTCTCTATCTCCTGGCCAAGTTCCTCCGTCCAGTGGCGTCTCGATCCACAAATATCCTATCACGCTTCCTTCGGAATCTACAGCAAGTCCCTAAACCTCTCGTCTACCCAAACGCACCTGTCAAAACGTCACCTCCTTCGTCGCATCCCGGACCCTCTTCATCGCCCTCCGCAACTCATCCACATCCTCGGCGCCGACAGCCACGTCAGCCAGACTGCGCCCCGTTTCCGGATCCTCGTACCAGCTGATTATGCACATCTTTCCTGCCTTAAAGTCCTCTCGGAAAGACTCAATGAAGGCTTCGCGGGACTTGTTGTAGCTGATGGAGAAGGAGGAGGCGCTCCAGAAGCTGCGGGTGGTGAAGTGGGTTTGTAGGAGGGGGAGGCACATTGAGCCTGACGTTCTGATATTGAGGTCGACGATATGGAAGTTGGAGAAGTCGGAGTTACCATTCGTTGCATGTGAATTGCCATCGGTGACACCATTCACAGCACCGTTCGTCGTGCCATTTGTCTGGGGACACGCTGTCGACGATGCCGTCTCCAAGACATCGGCTCCAGCGGGTCCAACATACCCATACCCTCGCAGCCAAGTCGCAATCTTCTTGACCAATAGCCCAAACTTCCTCTCCAGCTCGTTTTGACGGCGATAGTTGATGGTGCTCCCGATCCACGCATTATCACCATCCGTCATCTGTTCCGATGCAGCCAGGAAAATTGGATCGCTCCCATCGTCCCCAACGAAGAACGTCAAGCCGTAGTTTTCCATGGGATTCTCGACAACCTCGGAAAGGATCAGAGCTGCTGGCTGGAGATGCGCGTTTGACTCCGTCGCCGAAGAGAGAAGCTTGCGCAGGATGCCGTTTCTAAAGTCTTGCACCAACTTCTGACGCTCGTCCCCGTCGTTAATGATGTACGTCCCCGCACCACCAAAAGTCTGCTGGTTCTTGAGGACGAACGGCAGAGGGTGGGATTCGAGATCCGTGTAGATCCTCTCGCTTTGCTCTTCCAGCCATCTGCCCCGACTTCCTGTACAGGACTCCGGAATGACAAACTCTGCTGCGTCGCCGCCGTGGCATGAAGCACAGCACGCGCACGCATCACCTGCTAGCCCATCAACCTCGAGAATCTTGGCTTTCGGGGTAGGAAGGCCTGACTGTGCGAGCGCGGCCTTGGAGTTGAGAAACCAGTGCGTCTCGGGCGGGACGATGAGATTGTTGTACGACTCTAGGCCGTCTAGGACGACTTTATATGCGATGAGGTCGATGCCGGGTTCTTTGATGGGGATCTCTGACGGTCCAGGGCAGAAGATGAGATCTGGCTGCTGGGTCTTGGACAGCACGGACAGAGTTCTTTCCGCCTCGCGTTGATCGTGTAACTTTTGCTTCTTGGAGTCGTTGATACGGAAAAGGACAACTGCTGTATCGCCGCTGATGAAGGCGTCTCGTTGCGGGATCAGCGAGAGATATTTCACTGCTAGTTCTCGCTGCTGCTGTCTCCCGCCGTCATCGCCTGGTAGGCTACTGCTAGAAGGGTCTTTTGGAACGGCGTTGAAGGGGCTATCTTGATAGAGGTATTTGGCGTTGCGTGGGACGTTGGGGTTGAGTTCCGAGCCGGAGTTGACGAGACTGAGGACTTGGGCGATGCGCTTGTCTGCGTTTCTGGGGCTTGCGCAGCGGTAGAGGTCTGTGAGGGTCGTGTCTAGGGTGATTGTTGGTAGTTCTATCATTTTCATCCCTTCTGCTTCTTTTCAAACTTGTAATATGATGAGTGAGACTGGGTTAACTGTGAAGGGATAATTCCCCGTGAGTTGCACTGGGTATCAACGATCATGTGCTCAAAGGGTTGAGCATGAGATGTTGATGTCTACAGATGATGTTTTTGAAGAGCAAGAAATCACAACCTAAAGAGGAAGCAGCACTACTTACTCTTGTGTTTTTAGAATATCGGAAAAGATTCCGTTTGTGGTTGTGATACGTTTGACTTATTTGAGACACTCTAGGGATATTGGTCACTCTTTGCAGATCTTCCAGGCTTGTGAGCGGTTGTCCGCCACGGTGCGGCGTCATCCCGCGCCCCTCGGAAGGGAGAGAAAAGAAGCGAGTATCCTGAGCAGAGAAATTATGCATGACTATTGATGTCATCGTCTCCATCCATATTCGTAGGGCGTCGGTTGAGGGTTCACTTGGACCAGAGACAGGCGCACAGGTCATCCAGCGACGATCTAGGCGGGTCTCATGTAAGACCTTTGACGTCGTTTTCCGATTGTGGAGATGGCTGAGATATTCTGGGCAGAGGCTAGCCTTACGGTCTCGACAAGCAACGTTTTGACTTCGAGATGACCACTTTTACTTTTGTGACTGAGAGCTGGGGCAAGGTAAAAGGTGTGTCGTTGTGAGATGCAGTCACGACCTTTGCGGCCTGATTACCCTAGCAGCTCTTGGCGAACTTTTACTTGCATCACCACCGCTCAGAAGAATCTATCATGTGCAGGTCTACGCTTGCACTGCGGCCACCCACATAAAAAGATAGAGAAGATGAATTTATCGTAGTAGCAGCACGGAATCTAGGGTCTTCCACAGCATGAGGTGAGAGAGTTACGGCACCCGACTGTCCGAGTTTCCAGCTATGTTGAGAATCGCGAGGTGGGGGCTTCTGTCTGACTTACTCGAGTTCTGCTCACCTGAATTTCAAAAACACCTTCAGTGAGGAAAGATTGACTCGTCCGCTGAGCCGGAGCCTTGTGATGTTTTATGAATCTACTACTGTATGACTGATATTGCCATCCGAATTAAGAAACAAAGGTTGATGATTTTAGTGTCTATTCGGTAGGGGAAACACACCCCAAACGTGGAAATGCTAGCCGTTTTCTCAGGATTGCTCCGTCTGGCATTCAACAGATCATCAATCCAAAATCAATTTTCCTAGTACGCTCCAACCAAATCGCCTGTAATACGAACGGCTAGCGAAGATTGCAGTGGTGTTTAATCATTTAAGCTTTGTAAACCTCGCTTGCGTTAGGCGGCCTCATTGTGTTGGCGGACTATTGATTGGTCCGAGTCCCAGTTTACAGAGGTTCGGCTCCGAACAATTCGCTTTCGGATAGCCCTGTTCCAACTTTCAGCTTACAACAAGTGAACAGCACCACTTTGTAGCTCCGGCTCCCCGTGTGCTGAATCATATGTACCCCGATACGCGGACTAGTCCGTGTTGTTTAGTGTGTACGGACTGGCCGATGAGATTAAGGTCATCCAACCAAGCTGTTGATCTTCGTTCATGAAGTTTATCATGCTGGCATCCGTTCACCGGTGGGATAATTCGTTGCAGTGGGCTTCTACAGGCGGTCGAGCAAATCAGCGACTAAGTTGCGTTGAACATCGACCCGCCGGTACAAGTCATGTACAACATGTGAGGCATAGCGTGTTTTTGGATACTATCGATGGAAATTAGCATGGCCAGGCGGTTGACTTGAAGACATCGTGGACGAGTATTTGAGTCGACAGGTTGGTCTGCCATCTATGATTTCCAAGCCAGCAACTCATTGTCATTCAAACTATCAAAGCTTCTCGTTATACCGCACACCACTCAGACATCATCTCTTCATCTTTCTCACAAAGTTCCACGCTAAACCTCTACGAAAACAAACTCTTAAACTACCTAGACAACAAACATGAAGTTCCAAGCCATCCTCCTCCTCGCGGCCAGCGCCATCGCCGCACCTACGCCAGAGGCAGTTGCCGAGCCAGCTCCCGCCGATGTTGGTGCCACAACCAAGGCCCAACGCCTCTTGTGCTCCGGTCTCTGGACTGGAAACGACCTTAGCTTCGGAGACCTCAAGTGGGCAATGAACAACCGCAGAGATGAGTTGCAGCTCAAGGCCGGATGGTGGAACGAGGTCAACACCGCCTGCAGATCGACAGATGGCAGGAACATTGCGCAGAATGGTTCAAGGATCACCTACAACCACGCACGAAGCACCCAGGCGAAGACAACTTTGAAGTTCAACGGCGCGGTGGTTTGCTCGCCGCAGAGCGACTGGCGTCTTAAGTGCGACAAGGCTTGAGTGCCAACATTCATGAGGATCGAAGTGGCTGATGAAGAGCGCTCCGAGAGCTTTTGGATATACCTAGCGATGCATTTACAACAATGAGGCAGCTTTTGAACAATGACAATCATTAACAAGCCACTTTTCATCATGAAGATGTCTGCCCGGTGCCGTGACCCTTCCAGCAGACCCACTGTATTTTCAACTCGGGAGTCGTCTGTCAACTTATTGAGCGACAAGTTCATAATTTCGGGAAAGCGGGCGTCCTGAAAAAGTAAAAATTGTACGCATCCTTCCTGCATGTCGCTTGGCCACATTACTACGCGGACAGCCCATTTGATTGCCCGGGCAGAAGAATCTTTCCGCCAAGGTCACATAGTAAGTCATTCAAGTGACTTTGACGAATACATAAGTATTTCCTTGATCTGGCAAGTCAAATGGCTACTCTCTCCAAGGTCGCTACACCATTACTTCTCAGAAGACAATGGCATCAATGCAGACATCTGCTTTCTCCTACACACGGTCAACTGGGGGTGTTCGGACGAATGTCCGAGGGAAGGGGCTCTGGCCTAAAAAGGTTTGCACATTGGTGGCGTTTATATCAGTGGATAGCTAGCTTTCAGCTGTTGTCTCATGGAAAGGAGTAGTCTGAATCGCTCTCGAGGTGATCCAGTCAGCGCCCATCCTCTTCAATACCCATACCGCCGGGCCTTCTGCAGTAAGTTGACCGCATACAATAGGATGGGAGTCCCGATGAGTTTTTCCCAGCATAATTAATACTGAAGTTATCCTTCACAAGGTCTGATCTTCTTATCACGTCTCCAGCCGGTTAAAACAAGGCTTTACCTTCCGTGCCAGTGCCTTCTCAGATTGCCAATCTCATCTACAGCGTCAATATTCACAATTTGACAGCCCGAAAAAGTTCAAAGACCTCTGGCAGATGTGATCAGGCGCCACCACAAGACATTCGCGATTCTTGAGGTGTTATGTCTCAAAGACTGGACTTGCGTTTGGCTTCGCCGGCTCTAGTCAAGAACGTGATGATCGCCGTCTGGTAATCGATTCTTGGCGTAAGGAACGCGGCAGAAATTGCGCATTCAAGAGCCGATGGGCATCACATATGCTGATCTTCTTCTCTTGGGACAATCAGGGGCCCGAAGAATGCTGTCCGTCGAAGATGCTCCGCTGGGCTAAGTCAACATGTTTCACGAGCTGTCGGGCCTCCCAGCTGAATGCAGTCGGGGTCTCAGATGAATCTGCTGGAACTTGACCATTGGTACCGACGACTCCACATCTAACAGTCAATACCAGTTCACCTTAGTCCGAGCCGAACGGTAATTGGGTAAGAAACGCGCGTGTCTCTGCCTTAGATGGTCAAATCTTCTGCGGGGCACTGAGGGAGACGCCAGCAACCCCGGCAGTAATTTTCAAAGTTGAACTGTACTCCACGCAGGGGAAGATATAACCGCTTTCGGTCATATCCCATCGAGTGCTGACTGACGCCATTTTTGCCAAGCCCCAAAATCCCCACTATTTACACTTTATTACCCCGCATTTAAAGGGGTACATTGACGATACAACATTTACCACTATGCTCTTTTACCTGTTATCACTACTATTACTAGCATTTCAATTGATGCTGCAATGTCTTCTAGTGATTCTGATACCTCTATTGCTTCCAATACCTCTATTGCTTCTAAAACTTCTGTTACTTCTGTACTCAGCACTATAGTAGTTGAGGTCTACCCAGAAGACCTAGCTGCTGCTTGTAATACAGCTTGTAAGCCAGACGGCTGTGACGAAGCCACAGTCCGGCCCTGTGACCCTCCGGCTACCGAGCATGGCCCTACGGGCTCCTTACGGCCCTTTGAAGTACCAGCCCGGGCCCAAGAGGTCCTGGGGCTGCCGGCAAGCCCGCTGGAACTATTGCTCCAATACGTTCCGCAAGACCTCGTGGAGCAGTGGGCCCAGTGGACGAATACAGCACCGCCGTCGTCTAAAGAGGGCCCCTGGCTTAGAACGTCTAGAGTGTATAAGTGGCGGGAGACCTCAAAAGAAGAGATCTACCTCTTCCTAGGGATCTTATTATATATAGGGATCCATAGGGAATCTAGATTATCAACCTACTGGTCAACCCAACAGCAGAGGGAGGATCCCATCCACCTATTTACGCGGTTTATATCCCGGGACCGTTTCCAACTACTGTTCCGGCGACTGCGGATATTCAATACTGCGGAATTCCAGCCCAGCCAGCCCGACGAGCCCGTCCAGCCCGCCCAGCCCAGCCAGCCCGCCGGGCCAGCCGGGCCAGCTGCTGGAAAGCTGGCCCAGTTGACACCAACACAGCAGGTAGTAACTACCCTTATTTCCCTACTTCCAGCTGCAACCTACCACGTCTTCTTAGACAACCTCTTCTCCTCTGTACGTCTCTTTAGTACCCTACGGAAACAACAGGTTGGTGCTTCTGGTGCCTGCCGGAAGGATAGTGGGATAGATGAGATTCTAGTTGATGAGAGAGAGACTGAAGGACGGGATATCCCCTGGGGCAAAATACACTGTATCCCTACGTTAGATGGGGAGGTAAGCTACTAGCCAGCCTAGCCCAGTATATCCAGCCCAGCCCAGCCCAGCCCAGCACATCCAGCCCAGCATAGTTAACTAGTGAATAGGTCAACCAGTTCACCTGGAAGGATAATGCCCTCGTACTATTCCTGTCAACTGTCTTCCAGAGCAGCCAGGAGGTTATTCGAAGCCGCCGTCGCCCAGCTGGGGATACTGCTGCTAAAAAGGCTGCCCGGCAAGTGTTTGGCCCAGACGTCCGCAAGGACCTTCCAGTCCCTAGGGCAATCGATGAATACAACCACAAGATGAATGGGGTTGATGTGAGTGACCAGATGAGGTCTTATTATCAATACGGTCACTGACAGAATCCATGCATGCTCCTATGCGAGTCATGGACATAACCCATTCGGAATGGTCTGATCATCACGAAACAGGCCAGACTGTCATTTCCACCTGGTCCTAGCTCTGCAAGACTTATTAGGATAGCATTAGGCCCACAAGCCTGTGGTGATTCCATCCACTCTTTAGTACGAATAGACGCTCTTTTCTGCTCACTCACATATGCATATTCCGCTGGCCACCCTGACTAACCGTCAGTCACCCTATTCGGCGAGGGGGCTGGCAGTCCCTAGCCTGGAATTTCCTGCTGGAAGTAGTAGTTGTGAATAGCTTCTTATTACAGCTCTGGGGTAGCCCTAGGTGGCAGAAGGTGGAATCCAACTATCAATGGCGGCAGTTACTAGCAGCCCAGCTTATTCAACGGTTTGGACCATTAGCAGGCGGGCGTAGACTATCACGACCTAGACGTACAGACAAGAGGAATACATCTATTCCATGGGAACAGCATACAAAAGGGTCACGGAAGGTTAATTCGCCTTGCTCTTATTGTAGTAATCTGAGGGCAATAAGAAACCGCCAGACTCTAGGCGAGATATCTGGGAATACCCTCACGCGGCGTAAATATACGAGGAAGGGCTGCTTAGACTGTAACGTACCTTTATGTACCCAGGGGAATTGTTGGTACCTCTGGCATACGCAGAATATGTAGGCAATAGAGGTACTGTAACCCTATTGGTTAACTCTATAGATTTCCAACCCCTAATTGGCTCTACCCCGCCCTTGGCAAAAATGGCGTCAGTCAGCACTCGATGGGATAGCTCAGTAAGTTTGTCTCTATTCTAAGCGACGAGTTTGTAGATTAACGTGACAGAGACAAGGACCATTCCCATTGTGGCAAGCTGTGCCCTGCGCGCGGGATAAGTCTCGAACTCACGTCCTTCGCCATCTTAGATCCTCACGCAAAGGCCAATCAGACCTTTTCACATACCTCGGCCGATGCGAGAGGGCTGACTGTGGCTGGCTCAGCTACGACAACTAGGGATGCAAGCATGAGCATTGAGGTCCCTGGTGTTTACCGACATCGCCTAGCCTCTATCAACAAGCAGGTCTCGGGCTACCCTGCAGATCACGAAGCTGCGAATGTTGCTTCATCGCTATCGCAAGCCATCTTATTTGCCAGGTGGGCTTCTTTGGGATGAAAGGGCGGAGATTGGGATCTTGCTAGTTTGTTTGGTGCTGCTTTGGGAAACCAGCCATACTTCAGCTGTGTCTCAGCCTCTCAGGAACGAAATTTGTGCTGATCATTCCTATACAAGCGGTATCGATGACCATTGTTTGAAAATAGCAGAAGCGGAGGTGACGGGGTCGTGCCGCCGCGAGTTTATCCCCGTCAAGCCAATGCCTTAAAAGTCCCGCGTCGCATGTACGATCTGGCCTGACCGAATCCGGCTCGGTCAGTCTGTTGATATTCCCCTTAACCCATGGCCGAGGGCTTCTACCAGTCTTTGGATTCTACTCTTGCTTCACACTTTGGACTACACAGCAACATGGCAACGACTCACGACCACAACCATGACCACTCCCAAACTCACCTGGGAGTGGACATTGACATCCACACGCCTCTTACTCCGGGCGAATCGGATTTGCTAACGAGCGAGATGTCGGGCCTGAGCATCAACGAAAGAAGCCGGCCTCGCCTTATCCCGTCTTACCCATCCGCGACATCTCCTCGTACAAGTAGTCCTACTGGGTCTGTTCAAAGCGCGTATACTACCAAGCGCCGCGTCAGCCGTCGCTCTTACAGCAATGAGTTCCATTCAAGCTCCCACAGTTCCAGCTTCAGTTCGGAGGTGTCGAAGGAGCTCACCCGCCAGGCAGAGACCGAGTTTATGGCTCTAACGGAACTCATGGCTAGCATGTCGAGGCGAAGCATGTCGTTGCGCGAAGTCTGGAGCAAGATCATCACCGAGCGCGAGTCCGTCTACTCCGAGATGCACCGCATGACCGAGCGCTACGAGGAGTTGACCGAGGTCATGGAGCGCAAGGATAGGGAGCACAGTCACCACAACCATGAGCGGGAGGGTCACAAGCAGGAGCTTGTCAAGGTGCGCCTGGAGCTCACTGCCGCCATCAACAATGCTTCCAAGTTCAAGTTGGAGCTGGCATCGCGAGACAACGAGTGCAAGACCCTCCGCCACGAAATCGCCGAGGCCAAGGACACCTACACCTACATCAAGAAGGAGCACGAGGAGCTCAAGAAGACTTCAGAGCAGACGAGACTCACCTTGGTTGCTACCCAAGCTGCCCGCGTCGATCTCGAGGATCAATGTAGCAAGCTGCGCGGCGAGCGTGCGGAAATGGACTTGAAGCTTACCGAGCTGACCTCCAAGCACGAGGAAATCACCACCAAATTCGAGTCGAACCACAAGGAGCTTGTGGACATCAGGAAGAGCCACTTGATACTCAAGGAGGAGAAGCACGAGTGGCTTCACCGGCGGGGCGAGCTTGAGGACCACATCCGCAAGTGCGACCACAAGTACGATGAGCTGAAGCGGAAGTACAAGGAGACAGAAGAATTGTATGAGAAGAAGAAGTCCGAGCTCAAGGAGCAGCAGGAGACGGTCATCAGAGTCAAGAACGAAAGGGAGGAGGCTATCACCAAGGTCAAGAACGAGAAGGAAGAGATCATCATCAAGATTAGAAACGAGAAGGAGGAGCTTCAGCAGCACATCATCAGACTCAAGCGCGAACTTGAGGAAGAACACTGCCGGTGGGAAGAGGCTGAAGACAGCTGCGGCAGGTGGAAGCTCAAGTGGGAGCACTGCGACCGTGAAATCATTTCGCTCCGCGAAGAGATCTCTCGCATCGAGATCACACGTACCGAGCTACGGGAAACCATCACGAAGAAGACGGAAGAGCTTCGTGTCCTCATTATCGAGAAGAAGCGCCTCAAGGACGAGGGCGAGCGTGCAGTCGGTCGCGCCAACGAGAACCACCGCCAGCTTCTGCTCGTGCAGGAGACCCTCAGCCATACCGAGACCATTCTCAAGAAGTCGCAAGAGGAGACTCATACCAAGACGGAGCGCATCGAGCGTCTCGACTGCGACCTGGGCGATGCCAGGAAGCAGGTCGAGAAGCTCCAGATCGAGATCGAGAGCCACCAGTCCGTCTCGGCCGTGCTCAAGATCGAGGTCGAGACGCTCAATAACAGGTGCGGTGCCCTCAAGGCCAAGTGCCACGAGTGGGAGGTCAGGTACGAGGAGGCCTCTGAAAGCATCACCGAGATCGAGGAGGGAAGCTCGAGCTTCGAGTACGAGATCTCGGCTATGCGCACCATGCTTCGCGAGGCGAGGGAGCAGAAGGAGACGGCCATTACGGCGCGCAGCACGGCGGACCGTGAGCGCGACGAGGCTATGATGAGGTTTGAGGAGAAGTGCAGGGCGATGGAGAGGTTGGAGGAGAGGATGAGTGCGCAGATGCACGAGATGAGCTCGCGATCTGGGACCAAGACTGTCACGACGAGTACCAGTCGCAAGTCGGGTCACCGGGTGAATAGTAGTGGCAGCTTCTGCGTTGAGACCTGACACGGTGATCGTTGGCAGGATCGTGGGCATAAGATTTCGACCTGGCAACAGCTATTTTCTTTTCAAACTTCATAGACATGACCGATCCTCATTCGTAGAATGGCCATGCAGCTAGTGCTCCTAATATCACACTACACCTTTAAATTCTCACTCTGCTAAAGCAGCTGTGGTTGATGAAATGCGAGAGGGATTCATGAGGTTCATATCAATGCTCGTGGTGACATTTCTTATTACTTCTCTCGGTTCGCCTTTTGGTATCATCTCCGTAATTTCAACCTAGGTAGGTCGTGGGTATTATGTTAATCTCGCTTGCCTTTCCCTCTGGCATCCTCCTCATCACTGCTTGTCAATGTCGCCTCGCTCGGGTTGATCCTGAAGCTGAAGTCCACAACACCAACCAAACTGCTCACAGACCGCACCAAGCCTTCCAAATCATCGCACACAAGCGAGCTGCAAACCTGCAGCACCGCGAATTCGGTATATCCGTGTTGCTCCACATTTCTCACGTCGAGAATGCTTCCGCTGCCGAGGGGGCTGACCATCTCCGATAACTCGGCCATACTCGCAATCATCGAAGTGTCGCTCGTTGGCGATTCCACCACGCTGGGCTTCCGACCTGACGGGCGAACTTCCGATCCTGTGCGCGTGTGCACCGTGACGAGTCTGTGCTCGAGCTCACTGCCTCTTCTTTGCATAGCCCGTGGCTCCGGCTCGGGGCCCTTGAGGTGGAGGAGCTTGCGGGTGAGCTCATTCGGTCTCGGAAGTTGCATGAAGGGCGGCAGTGACTGGCCCGACAGCAGCGAGTTGGACAAGAGCGTAAGTGTGGAGAGAATGGTGTGTTGAGTGGGTTCAATCCCCGCGAGAACCTGGTTGAGAGCGCGCAGCCAGGCCCGGTCGCTGTCGGACGAGGGAGTTGCTGACCTGTCACGCGGCTTCCATGTGATGGTGTAGGCAATCAGTGTCAGATACCGCATGGTGCTGGTCGACCGTCTGATGATGTCTTCGTAGGTGGCTCTGGGAAACTTGCCGCCGATATCGGGTTCCCATTTTTGCCATTGCGCATGCTGGTCCAAGCTAGGGAGCAGCAGTAGCAGCTTACCCAGGATGCGACGCCTTTCCTTCTCCATCTTGTGTGCAGGTGTACCGGGCTTCTTGATGTCACCGTGAGTCTCTTCCATCGTCGCCTTGATTGTCTCAGTCACGACGCTGAAGTAGTTGGCGAGGAGATAGAGCGAGGCACTGAGGTCCCGTCGGAGCCAGCGCCGGTCGGTGATGGGAGCCGGGAAAATGGTCCAGACGAACGCGATGAAGCAACCAGCAGCAACACAGGCAAGGCGGTAGGGTGCCAGGAGGTAGGTAGGATAGTAGGGTTGTCCCGTGGCGGCGGCGGCTTTTTCCCCGATCTTTTGAACCTGCAGCTCATATCCAATGATGAGGACCTGAGTGATGATGGTAATGAGCCATACAGGCATGAATCGCGGATGCTTCAAGACGAAGTACTGCTCGATGAAGATGAACAGCCAGAGGAAGACGATGACTCCGGCGGTGCGCTCGACAACGATGTACCAGATGATGTAGGAGAAGATGACAGCAACGCAAGTTCCGCCGACTCGACATACGAAGCCAAAGATGGATTGGCCGGCCGTGATGGTCATGCCGATGGCGATCATGATCATGGCCCAAACCAATCGTTGCTCAGTGAAGAATGTCTGGGTGCTCTGCAAGAAAGCCATGATACCAACTGTCATGGTAGCAATAGCGACACGGAAGCCGAAGAGCGACTCACCGGATCCGACAAAGGCAGAGAATGCCCTCACCCAGTTACCAAAGTGTTGCCAGAGGCCATGAGCGGGAAGATGTTCGGGGTCCTTCTTCTTGTTGTATCCGTCACCGGCATACACGATATTGGCACCCATCTCCGCAATATCCGGCGTCTGTTCGGGGGAAGCATCCTCTGTGCTGCAGATACCCTTGAACCATTTCTTGAGGCGTTTCTGGGAAGGGATGATAAGGCGCTTCTTTGCCATTGTGCCGTCCGCCACCTTTGAGTCTGCAAACATGACCAGATCCTGCACCGCTTCACCGAGGGCGAGCATGAGCTTCTCCATGTACAGCATCACATAAAGCTGCGTCTGGTCGCGCTCCCGCATCCTGGTCTCGAGCTTCTTCAGGTGAAGATCCTGGCGTTCCTGCTCCGTCGCGAGCTGTCTCTCCTTCAACCAGTTCCTGAGCAGCTCGCCCTTCTTGTCGTTGAAGTCCTGCACTCTCTCGGCGAGGACTTCGGCGAAACCGGCTTCGCCTGGCTTCGACGTGGCCTTGACGCCAGCCTCCATCTCCACATCGGCACCCTTGGTCTTCTTTGGCTTCGGTGTGAGTTCGAGGACGATTCCGACGTGGTCGAGTCCCTGGTCCATCGCTTCCGTCAGGATTTCGAACGGCTCCAGCAATTGGAGCATGATATCGTTCCAAACTTTCTTTTCCCGGTCCTTCTCTGCGTCCGAGTCGCCGTTGCCATCATTGACCCCCCATCCGTGCTTTTCGGAGGCACGGCGGAAAATATCGACAATTGTGCTGATTCCGTTCAATGGAATCATGATGCTTCGCAGGCGGTCGAAGATCTCGCCAATGTCCTTGGAGTTAAGCTTGCCGTAAGCGATATCTCTCTTCGCGAAGAGGATGTCTCCGTGCATCTTTCCAAACAGGGCCGAAATCGCCAAGGCCGTGGCCTTGAGCTCGCCGGCGGCCTTTGCCTCCTTCGTCATCTCGGGCTTCTTCTGCTTCTTGTTCTTCTTGAACACGTTGCTGCTCTTCGTCTGGTGACGCTCAAGCATGTCCGGGCTCGATAGCGTCTTCAAGTAGTTGAGCTGCAGGGCGATGGACTTGCGAACAAGCCCAATGGCACCCTTGAATTCACCGCTCACAACCTTTCTGCTGGAGACGGGGAAAACAAAGAGTGAGACGCCGGTAGCAATACCCATGGCGCAAAGCATTGCCACAGTAAGCCGCTTCACAAGCGACTCGGCGGCTGCAGTCGTCACCATCAGCGGGCCAAAGGTGCAGGCCACGTTCATGAAGATGGAGTAGATCATGACAGGCAGGTTCATCGCAGGGTACTTGGCTCTCAGGGTATTTGAAATCCAAATGTTGAAGAACAGCCAGACGCCGCAGACGGCGGACTGGCTTGAGTTGTAGACGGGTAATCCAGAGGCCAATTCCTCGGCGGAAGCGGTGTTCCTACGCGCCTGGACACCGGACCACAATGCCAGCATCGACAGAGCACCGCCAATGCAGATTCCAGTAACATTGAGGACGAGATTCTGAAGGTATTTTCCTCTGGGGAGAATGGCGAGCGCGAGCACTGAGATAATTGGCACGAGATAACCCAAAGTTGTGAAGTACTGTGCCACAGGCGTGGATTGGTAGATGGCGATGCCGATGAGAGGCGGTAATGAGCCCTTGAACATCGTGATGAGCGTCGGCGCGTCGAGGCCCAATCTTGTCGCCAGGCCCGGCTTCGGCGCCGGCTTCTTTGTCGCTTTACTTGCGGTCGTCGGTGACCGCGCCGGGACGTCATCCGGGTGAGTCTCAGTCTCTGGGGACTGAGACTCGGTGTACCGGTCAGCGTCCGGCTTCTGTTCGTCGGATGCCATGGTTCCTATCGTTTTGCGTTTACGTTTGCGGAATCATCGGCCCCTCGAGGGAATGAGCGGGCAGCTGTTGATTATTCGATGAAGTCGTCGCGCCCGTAGATCAGTCGAACATAACGGTCTCTCGGCTTCTTGTCTCTGAGGGTTGCGATGATATTGGGTTGAGTTTTCGCCCGGGCCGAGGGATGGGCGATTTGTTTTGTCTCATAGGAGAATGATGTAATTGCGGAGTTCGCCGCGTCTGTCCTCGCGTGGTACAGAACTCCAATTCCGTACGGATACAGCACTGCAGGGCAACAGAATGCCGACAGAGTTTGCGCTAACGCTATGTTTTGTGGACTTTTGTACTCGTTTTCGGTCAAGAGGAGGAGGAAAGATTACGGCGTAATAAGACCTAAAATAGCTGGTGGCCTCTTAGAAGCTTCTATTCAACGTGAGACGAGTCAAGATTCATGCACGAGCACGGGCCTTCATCTCATAGGTAGGACGGGGTGAGCCTGTGAGATGATGTGAGATTAGATGAGATGAGCAGATCACTCAGTCTAGGCTCTTGTCTCTCGAGCTGTGGAGATACAAAATCTGCAGTTTGCAATTGAGCCATGGTTTTTGGATTCTCCTATGATATCGTGGCCTATCCTAAGTACGGAGTAAGGATAGGTGAATTGTACATATCACTCACGGATGAAAAGGGGGATGAGTAAGCCACGCAGACACCTCATCTAGCGGGTGAAAGATGAGCGGTGCGGGTGTGACAGCAGCATCCGACCCCTCTTCCTCAGTGTCGCTAATGCTTAATGAGTACTGATAAGTATCAACAACGATCAATGAGCTTGGAAAACCTTCAAGAGAACCATGGGATCGAGAGTATTTACTTCCTTCAAGGTCTACAACAACGCTGAAGGTCCGTCAATCCCTAGCGGAGTAAAGGGGATGAAAAGACTGCAACTGTATGTAGAATCCCTGCACCTCTGCCCTAACGAGCTCATGAACCCCGTTACGTCAACTTGCCAACACCAAGCAGGCCGGCGTGTCCGGCAGAATATAATCGCGGAATTATAGCCAGTTCCGAGATCGTCCGCGGGATCTCGAGACTTCTCCCCGGAGAGCCACTGTATATTCTCGTCGAAATCTCCGTCGGCCGCCGAAGAATTGAACGCCCGCCGTCTTGAAAGAGTACCATGAAAAGAGCGCACTCAAGAACTGAGGATCCCAAGAGGAGGGTGAGTCAGCCACATTTCAGGTAGCTTGGTGGGTAACAACAACATTTTCCCCGCACCCCGGATTCACTCCCGCAAGACGCCGCGCTCAAGATTAGCACCGGGCCCGTTGAGGAGTCTGAGGGTGGGGAAGTTGAGAGTCGCTTCTCAATGGTGCTGCATGTACCTGAGGTAACGTGATGTGCTCTTCACGTGTCTAATGAGCTGGCGCGTTGCAAAAGACTAGCCACGTTCATCTTTCATGCCGTCGATGGAAATTCAATGGTGACATTCAATGGTATTGAACACGTTGCTGGCTTCTTGATGAAAGTCTGATTCTTCGCCGGAGCTGATGAGAAACCCCTGTCGGTGCAGGCAGCCATCTGCGGGCTGCTGACCGAAGACATCTCAGTGATCTCACCCACTTCCCGAGGAAGAACGACTTTTTGTGTCATACATGTCCACGACAACATGCTCCCATGTCAATCCCCGAGTTGAAGCAAATCGTACCTGTGATATCACGATGTCTCCTGTTTACTGGCGCTTGAAACATGGCTACATTCGGCTTCTTACCCTCCTTCCGGGCGACGTGTTTGATCCTTTATCATGCTCTTTGCAAGAGGTCTTGCTGGAATCGTCTCCTTATTTCGAGGCTATTTCGTGCGCAAGAAAGGCATTCGATGTTTCTGAGAATCTGACTGTTCAAGCCTGCGAGTCGAATGGAAGCCCCAAAGTCATCCCAATCTCATCGCAGATTCTTTCCCTTCTATTCTCCCTTCGCAGCACAGTCGACGCGAGGACACTATGGATCTACGAAATCTGCGTTGAGCAGGCAGATTCATCAGAAAAGAGCACCCAAGCGAAGCTCTTGCGGCGGATCTTCGAAAGTGCTGTCCGCGTGATTTTGTGGCTAGGTCCCACCCCCGAACACGAACGCAGCGATCGGGCTCTCACGTTTCTCAAGAGAATGGCGATGCATAGGAAATACAACGATAGAGGTGAATACCTCGGTGGCAGGAGAGTTGGCTCCGACACCAGCTCTGAGTGTGGAGTTGGGAGGCGGGCGGGTATTTCGGACGAGGAGACGGACGACGATGATGATGAGGAGGACGATGATGATGAGGAGGACGATGATGATGAGGAGGACGATGAGGAGGACGATGAGGGCTACGAAAGCGGGCTCCTTTCTGATAATGACCTCGATATCGTTGATGATAGGACTTCTTTCACAGTCTCGTCTGATGCCAGGGCTTACTTCGAGAATACCAACACATCAGAGCCGCTCACGTCTCATTCTAAATGTCTTCCCACCGAGATACATCAGTTCTTTTCTGGCATTGGATGGTTCTTGCGTAGCAAGTACCGGCACTACTTCGTCTACGGCTACTGGAACCCATACCGAGCATGGAGAATCAGCAGAGCCTGGGAAAGGGCTGTCCTAGCATGGGAGCTTAACCAGTCAAGAGTTGGCCATATAGCTTTTGGGCGGCCCGTTCTTTACGAAAACCGCATGGATTAATTCTTCCAGGAGCGCTATCGAGCCGAATGGGAGGCGGTTGACAGACTCCTTGAACATCCATGGTGGAGCCAGACGTGGACTGTTCTAGAGGTCTGGTGTGCCAACGATCGAGCAGTGATCCAGTGCGGGCAGCGGACGATCAAGTGGAAGACCTTGCACAAGGCACTACCATTTGCCGAGGCTTGGGACGATATGGGAAAGACAATGATTGGAACGGAAGACATACGCATGAGCGAGTGGCCGCAGCTGATCGAACGATACGCAAGAGCTTTCCACCTCTTGAAGAAGCGACTCATGGATGGAAAGCTATCAGATCTCTTGTGGAACACCTGGGACAGAGATGTGGCTGACCCTCGTGAAAAAGTGTTTGTGATGCTCAGTCTCGCTAGTAGCTTCCGTTGCTGGTCTCAACCTGATTACAACAGGTCCGTCGAGCAGGTATTCTGCGCAGCAGCAAGAGATATAATCCGTGACGAAGACAGCCTTGACATCTTGTTGGCGGGTGGAAGGACGAGGAGAGAGGACGAGGCAATCTCATTGCCGAGCTGGGTTCCCGACTGGCGCAGGGAACATAGCCCACTTCAGGGGCGGCCGATACCCCTGGTTGATAGATCGCGTCTCCATTTTCTCTTCGTCACTGGGTCGATTGAGTCTCTCGTTGTCAACGGACATGGATTCACGGCTTGCGCAGGCGCAAAACCAGTTGCTTGGTTCAGCCATGATCTCGACTGGTTGCATGTTCGAGCCGTATTCGTTGATGAAGTGGAGTCGACTGCTCCTCCGCATGGCCCGAGATCAGAGGCTGGCGTCAAGAACACCGTGAATGATGCTTGTCTCGTAGCCCAGGCTGCGTTCTTCGACGGGAAGCCTCATTGGTGGAATAAGGATGAGAAGGATGGGTTGCCTGGCCTGGTTAAGAAAGTTCTAATGGCTGGTTCTCGTGGCATGATGGAAGAAGAGGAAGCCATAGGAGAGACCATGATCTTCCGACGCTTCTTCGTCACAAATAATGAGCGATACCTCTGTATTAGAACCGAAGGAACACTACCAGGAGACAAAATTTTCATTGTTGCTGGATGCAATCTGCCCCTGGTTCTCAGGGAGCACAAGCAGGCAACAAAGAATGGGACGACGCTATATGAGCTGGTGGGGGAAGCATACGGTAAGTTTTGATCAACCGATGTAAATGGATCTTTACTAACTTCAGGTCAAGTCCATGGCATCATGAAAGGTGAAGTCATGGCAGGTAGGAAGGCCAAGGTTGGGTGGAAGAAGTTTGCTTGGTGGCGGCCACCGAGGAAAAGTGAAGTCAGTTGGGAGGAGTTGGTTATTCAGTGAGATCCATAAACAAACCTACACGGCTATCGAATAGTACGACTATACCTCAGAATTAGGGCATTGTAGAGACTAAACATACAAAAAGTCTTTTGTCATTTACAACAAGATAGCAAGATTCGAACCCATGGCGAGAAGCGAATACGAAGAGCGTAAGCGGAATTTGATTGCTGTGGATGTCAACGAGATCAAAATTTCCGACAATCTACTCCCACAGTGAGATGCTGAGGTAGTACTGTAGCACTCAATCAATCAATTAAAACGAAGTTAGATGGTCACAATCCGGTACGTTCAGCTTATTTTGAGCTGGTGATTGCAGAGGGCTTCCACTTTCTTCATGTTTATGACACAGAGGGGGGCTTTCCCCCCCCCCAATACTCAGCCTTGTGCAGGGAGTTACGATGCCTTTACATCAAGGAAACAGATTCTGTGTATGGCTTCCTGGTCTACCTAACTTCCGTTCCATGATTACTCGTGAACGACTACGTCGAGCAAAGAAGCGCGAGGCTGGAAGAGACACTGTTTTGGACGGATGCAAGATAGATAAACGGTAGAACACCGGAGCTAGAACGTGAGTTTGTGTCAAAGATTTACTTGCTGCAGGAGATTGGATCAACAGACATGGAACCTCCAGTTCTAGACTATCTATGAGCGAAGAAATGTATCTTTGGCGTCATGAATCAATCAAGATAAATGTAGGTCGACCGCTCGGCCTATTATGGATGCTTCTGTCTCAAATAACGGAGACGTAATCGCGGGCAGCTATTAACGCCATATATTCTACGACAGCTTCCCCTCCGCATCGTCAGACTGCGAGTGTCCACCGAGTAGTCCCCCACCTTGGACTGGACGGTAGGAGACCAGATATGAATCCAAGAGATCATCTACGAATATGCCAGAACTTGGTGCCAAGAGCGCCTGCCACGGTAGGTGTCAAGTTTGTAGTGTCGCGGCAATGTTCGAAGTCATCGACCTGATGATGGTAAACCACTTTGGGGTCTTCACTCGAGACCCATGACACTCGTCAAGTTCCAAACCAAACGCCAGCGCCGTGATCCATCAAGTCAAACCTCAGGTCATCTGTGTGCGTTACCATTGATCAAAGTCCCGTATTCTTAGTCCACAAATGTGATTCCTAATGACTCGAAACTCAAGAGGAGATCGACGTCCGTCAAGACCCCAGACAGCAGAAGGCCGAACTCTGGGATGTGTTCCAAGCGGATGGAATCGAGGTATTGACATTCATAGATGGAGAAGACTCCAACAAATGTGACGAGCATCGAAGGGTATGGGTCGGGTCTTCGTGATGATGGTAGCGTCTGATCGGGAAGTAAAACCTTTCGACAAGATACCATCAGGAACACAACACCAAGCAGCGTATGAAAAGGCAACGAAACAGAAAGTCATGACAGCAAACACGGGATAGACCAAGTCTGTCGACTTCTTCAAATAGAAGTCAAAGAACCTAACTTCAGAGTAGACGCCACGTAGATATACGCTCATCGAATCGAACAGCCTGCGTTACCTTCGATCTTGGTTCGTCCGGCCTCTGACTTGCTCGTCCAGCCTCAAAAGACAAAAGGCGTCAGTCATGGACTATTGCTAGGCTCTGACCGACAATGATCGAAGAGACCGCAAGGGTACTTTGACTCTCTGGTGTCGGGATCATAGACCACTAGTAGTCGAGTTGATGTTTTCGACAGCCGAAGCCCCAATCCAAGTCTCCCGAGAATCGAGACTTCAATGTTCGGTCCCAAAAATAACTACAAGCCCTTCTCTTCCGCTTCCACTTCCTCGCCTTTGCACATCTCTTGTTGTCCTCACCCTCTTCTCTCATCTCTGTATTTTTCTCCTTTCCGTTGTTCCTCTCGTCCGAGACGTAGGTTTTCTTCCCGCGCGCGGCATCGAAGAGTGGCCCAGGCTCGCGAATCGGTTTCGTCGGTTTCGTTCATACTCGATGGATCGGCCTTGGCATCTTCGTCGATAGCCGTTCGGCCGGCTTGTCGCACGATTCGAATAAAGGCTGGGACTACGAGTCATTAGAATAGTCCCATCTAGGTGTTACTGACTCCACAAGTTGTGATGGGATGACAGGTGTCTGGGTCGAGTTGGATGTTTGTCGTCGTTTCCATCGACCCATCAGATAGAGATGGACAGACGATTTCCGACGTCCCTTCCATAGTGCAAATCACCACCACGACAGTTGATAAAGAATCAAAAACAAATAGTCACAATAGAGAGGAAACAATTCAGTATATGTATCCGATTTTGTTCTCTGCCATCATCTATCCAGCTATACTACCGAGATCTTTCGCCATCCAAACCAAACTTCAGCTCCTTCTCTCGCCCATCCAAACTATCAACACAGCCGGCGCGCCGCTCCCGGCTCTACACCACTCCGGCGTTAGCATAACCAACCAAGCCCAGTCCCTAAGCTTCCCAGGACCCATGGTAACCAAAGAATCCTAACCAGTAAACTACACTTCCAAAGACTATGATTTCTCATCAAAATAATGCCACCAAACATTTGCATAACCAAGGCTCGCAACTCTGCGGAAAACCCACAGCCTCAGCCTCTACGGAAATTGTTGGTGTGGACCTGCCATAACGAACCAAACCTTCCAGAGACCAGACCAGACGGCACCGGGGCCCTCTCTGCCTACCCTTCCTCCTCCTCCTTCATCCCCCCTCATTTCCCCCATCATCTAGAGTACTCGTCACTCGATCAGAGGCAGAATAACTGCCTCAGCCTTGGACCTCCTGATCACCAACCACCTCACTTCCATTCCCTTTCTGCCGCCTCTTCCCTCTGAGATCTGTGCTCCGGGTGTTTCATTGACTGAGTTCCGCATCGTCATTTTACCGCCACGTTCCGCGATCTCTGCAAGCAGCAAGAGAGACGTCTTGGTCGCACCGCCAAGGTCACAATTAGAGAGAATAAGTGAATCTCCTATGCCGAACACGCCCCGGGAGTGTATAGCCCAAGTGATGGTGGAAATCCGTCACTAGTTGGCCCTAGCCAGCATGGTCCTTCCTGGGAGAGACTGAGGATCTAGACAGCATTCGAAACTGCCCGCATATCTAGTTAGGTGGCGGATCAACGCGGCCGAGTGGGAGTACGATGGGTTCAAAGCTCAGTCTCAAAACACATCTCGTCCCAACTTATTCCATCGGTACATCTTGGCAAGGCGACATAAAATACCACACAACCTTTGCGCCAAATCTGGCCGCGGATGTTCCGCTGCAGTTGCTAAAGCACGTCACCTTGATTCGTCACATTCCCCGATTGTGAAAGCCGTTAGTAGATGACTGATCGGAGCCGTGGCCCCCTTCTCCCCACGGTGGCCAATAAACGACGATCCGATCGGTGGCTGGCTTGTCTCAACGGCTGTTAGACATTCGATATCAGTCGTTGGCCGATGATCAGTTGAGGCTGCGGTACGTTTGGTCGCTGTCGTCTCAACTATGCATTGAAGCGGGCAGTTAGACTTTGTACAACTAGAACATCAAACTTGTCATGGTTTCTTTTCTGCACAGTGTCATGGCAGCATAACCGTGGCCGCATGACATTTTCAGAAATTTCCAATGACACGAGAAAACCATATTGAACCAGCATCTTGCCTTGGTAGACCTGCAAACCTAGACTCCAATCTCCACCGGACCCGAAGATGCAGTATTGGTCATGGCTCGATTGTGCTCCATTTATTGCTGGTCGTATCTGTAGGTACGGAGCACCTCTAGCCTCTGGGCTCTGAGTCTGGGGCTCGTGAGATTGTTAGCGCCCTAGTGCTCTGTTGGGCAACCCGATTCTAAGCGCGATGTAACGGCGGCTTGATGAACCGCCGTGAAAGTGCAACTGTGACCCTGATTGTGGAATCGACGGATTCTCTCGCCTACCAAGCCGTACGATGATGCATGTACGCTGTCTGGTCCCACAAGCGGTGATTTGAGGACACTTCGGTTTTGTGCTAATTGATCCAAGACATGTTTCCAACCGAGTTCAAACGAAACGAAACAATTAAATCTCCGGATCCATCGCCGGTATTTGTCCAAGAAGAGGGGCAAACAGCAAGGTGTGTTCGAGACTTCGAGTGCGCCTCGGTTCGGTTGGTGATGAGGAAATTGGGCCGCCTGGGGGAGAGCACGCATGAGAACTACAGTCAATTGACGGTGCGCACGGTGTGCAATGCGGAGAAACGGTGAGAACAAACTTCAAGTTAGGTCGCCCGAGTCGATCTACCTCATTGCCTACAGTAGCTTGGGTTCAGAAGGATGCGGGTGACGAGGAAGTGGCCTGGGCTGGATACGATGCTTCGCCCGGCTTTCTGGCCTAGAGGCTAGGAATCTAGATGGAGGTGGACCAAGAAAAGCAAGGTAGAATCTGGGAATATTGGTTGTGCTTCAACGGTCTCCGAGGGTGTTGCCTTGGTACCGGACATCGTCAAAGATTGGCATAGCAGGGCACTTGTCGACCGGGCCACCTGCTAGCGAGCCGTGTCCCGCCCGACGACCCGGACACTATCTAGCTTCAGATGCAAAGCGAAGTTTTGGCCGACAACAGTGAATCGGTGCCGACTTGCGCTTCCACTGTGGGAAGCTCGGAAGAAGTGCCAGAAAAGCACATGCAATTTGGGCGCGGGGACCCGGACCCGACCAGGAGATTGGGGTGGCGGCTGGCTGGCATGCTTCTGCTGCAGTGTAATATCGAACATGCAAGCTTGACACCAATTGACTCAGGGGGCCGCTGGTGCGCGGGTTCTCCGTTGGCCGCATCAGTGGCCGCAGAAGACATGAAAGGCCGCTGCTGGAGATGTATTGTGTGCGAGAATGCCGTCCTAGTCCTGTGCTGGTGCTGATAGTCCCGGCTGTCGGCTGCAAAAGGCGTAGCTAACAACATCTGGGTTGTGTTGGTGCATGGCATCCTCAATACGGCCACTTACCTACCGTGTACAAAGTAGAAGGTTTGGTGAATGGCTCACAGCGGTTCCTACACAGGAAGATCATCCCGACGATGCCTAAGTTGTGCATGAGATGGCCCCTTTGGTCGTCTGCACTCCGCATTGCACCTATGGTAGAACCAGCCAATTCACGGCTGTGGCACGCTGTCGGCACTGACCCTCGCAAATGACGCCAGACGCCCCGAGGAACTGCAAGGCATGGCGAGGCCAGCGCGATCCCATAGTATCTGTAGGTAAGTAAGCCTTGCTATATGTAACTTGTCTCTGTCCCCAGTGTCGCCTACTTTTCCAACTTCAATATTGATTCGGCGCAGGCGCCTGGAGCTTTTGCGACAACGCGTGCAGAAGGAGAGGCTCGAAACATTCATCAGGCGAGCCGAAAATAGCCAAAACACGGCGGCAATCCCAATTGTGCATGAAACATGGGGCTCACGTTAGAACAAAGACGCCATGGGTTCTCTGGGGTCCTCGGAGCTCGAACGACGTTGTTGCTTGAGTTCGGAGATTCGTCTATTTGGCGACGATGACCGGCCGATAGCGATGCAGCAAACGGGGCTGCATGTGGTCAACGGTTGACTGTCAACCTCGTCGATTGCAACCTGGCCCAAATTCCATTGCTGGATCTTGGCCGTTTTCTGTGCAGACATGTTCCATCATATAATTTCGCAAAGACCCAGTCTTCATTTCCCCATGTTGCCTGTAACGTCGTAGGTGACACACACTTCGCTTTTGAGGGTTGTATCCGTCCATCAACAGCCACCTCTACCAGTGTCTAGCGACCGATCCTCTTCCCCCCCCCCCTAGCCAACCGTCTTCTGGCTTCTCTCGCGCTCGGAAGACTTGTCGGGAGCCTTGAACCGACGTGGGCTCTTTGAGTGAGGAGCGACGAGGGTGGTTGGCCAGATTGACGTGACATTGGGGGTGCGACACTGACAGACCGGATGACAGGCTCAGGGTTTCTAGTGGGCCGCGTCAAACGTTCCTGACAACCTGGGCTATTGGCCCCTTCTTCAACGGAACTTTGCGATTCGTGAAATGGGTCCCCAAAGAGCGTCCAAACGAGATTGAGTTTGCAAGGGCGACCTTGTCCTCCGCAACGAACCACAGCCCGCAAGGCGTTGAGTCGACAGACAGGTGCAAAACCACTGCCAGCACCGAGCAGCCGCGCCATACTGTCAATTTGTCGCTGGCGACGATCATGGGTAACGCAAAGTCGTCCGAATAAGGTTGAGACCTTTTGGAATTTCAAGATTCCGATCAAAGCTAGACTAGACTAGACTTGACTGATGTTATGTCTAGTTTTGTTCGTGTCTGAGCCGAGGTATGTCCTTGTTATTGGACTGGTTCGGTATGCCAACAAGCGCCGCAAGTAGCCGCGGATCATGCACAGGTTCTTGATAGGTATCGTTCAGAGGGCGCATTAGGTGTGCACACATGAGCAGCGGCAGACTCGGATATGTCATCCTGTCATAGAGAGAGGTCTTAGTTGAACAACCTGTTTCGCATGTCAGCTGCCGAGACCCTGGGCCATAACAAAGCCTCTGGACGAGCAGAATTATTGCCGTGACATTCGGTCAGATGTAAGAGATTGCCAATCTCTTCATATCCAAACCGGCAATTCCCCCGCAAGCAAACTGTAGACTGGTGATGCTCGCAAGTCAAATATCAAGTTGTCCAACGTCAGGCATAATCGGGTATGCTTTCGAGGCCGAAGAGATCTTTGGCTAGGTATCTGGCATCGAATGACAGTGTAGCGTTGAGCCCGGAGTCTTGCACAGCAGAACGTTTCGTTGTTGACATTTCGAGCTGTATTTCAACGTGAAAAAGGAATGCCCCTCGTCGGTCGGCCGAGTGCAAGTTTTTCGGGTTGTGGGTGGAGGGTGTAGAATGAAATGAAGCAGTGGGTCACAAAGCCGATCAGCACCACGCTGCTGGAGACATCCGCAAGACTCCATACGGCATGACTGTCATCGAATTCAAGTGCAGTCAGTGATCAAATGCCGAATGATGCGAGCGAAGTACGGATAGAAGAGCGGAAAAGCGCATCACTGGTAGATCTAACCTACTAAAATACGCAGTCGCCAACAGTGCATAAAGCATGTCCCGCCTTGCAGGATGAGAAAGATACACGCGGCTTGCGCATGGAACATCGAATTCGTAACATGGCCCATCGTGATCCGACAAGACTTCTGTATCCCACAAGCGCAGACCGGAGGCGCCAATCCGTGTCAAGCTGCCATACACTTCACCCTGCTGTCGAATAGCATCATGACATCCGGGCATCAAATCGAAGATCGGCTGCCACCCACCTGACAGCGGCTGGAATTGCAGTGAAGCACGACATACACGGTGGGTTTGCGAGTCGGACAATGCGAACCTGGGTTGCAAGGAACGTCTCTAGGGCTTGTTAATGCGATCCATTCCCGTCCCGCGGGTTAGCCATTCAGCCAGACTTATTTATCCATAGTTCTGATCGTCCTTGCCGGGTATCCAATTCCCGTGTCAATGCCGTGCGCGGCATGGCCCAGCGGACGCCGTTGGCGGGAAATATGCCGGGAAGTTAGAATAGCGGACGTTAGACGCATTGATTGCATGCATGCAGCCTTCACACAGTCGAAGCGTGCTGGAGAGGACGCCGCTTGGGCACCGGGTCGAATTTGGCCCACGGACAGCGGAGATGGCGAGCCAAAAGCGGCCGTATATGTCTCACTGTACGGCTAGACTGGTGGTGAACCGATGAAGGCTCAAGTTGTATAGAGATAGTGCTATGGCCGCTCAACACTCCTGTCTATGTTCCCGTCTCTCGTCGCAGGAGAGGACATTGGATTTCCTCTGACCTCTAGGAAATAGTCTCTGCGAGCATTCCAGCGTGAGGACTTTTCTGAGGAAACTGGCCAGCGGAGCGAAACCCGGCTGATAGTTCTTCATCCGCATGCCCCTGATCCCCTGCCGGACATGGAACCTATTGCGAGGGGACTTTTCTTGGAAGCCGTAAATCGCTGCAGGGGTGTTTCACAGTATTCCAGAAAGATTGCCGACGAAGGTGTCGAAGAGTGTTGCATAAGCAGGCGCGGATGGAAATTTGGGGGATGATGCCATCCCGCCTACGGCGGAGGAGGTTGTGCAGGGGGCTCGGTATGGAATAGAGCTGTGAGTCCTTCTTCTAGAAGACTGAGGGATGGTTGACAGGCCGAGGCGAAACATTAGTCCAGCTGCAAGAGACTTGGAGATTCCGCAGCCTTGTCGTGTGGCCAGTGGCATGCCAGTCGAGACAGTGCAGCGCCTCCTCCTCGGACTTTGGTGCGGCGCGACCTGGTCATCGTCCTGCAGAGGGGGTAAAGGTGTCGGCGATTGGCAGGGGAGCGAGTGGGCAGAATTCCAGGAGGAATCTGCTAGGTATTGCATAGCCTTGCGGCGTTCGTTTGAAGGGGTGTTTGCTGGGCTGGGTGCAAGTAATTGCTCACAGGTTGGGAAATTCTCCTTCTCCTCCCATGGTGCCCCGCCGAAGGGTTTGCTCGCCGGCCAAGACACGATGTCAAGAGCGAGGAGGTTAAACTGAGTGGCATTCATGTCGTCCATTGTTAATGATAGCTGTCGTGTACGCATTCGGGGGATTCTCCTTATTTTGTCCGACAGCGATGTCTATCGCGAGCTGGCTTATTGGGGCAGATGTGCGTACTCTAGGCCAATGCGAGGCCGGGGTCATGCAGGGCAAGCCGCAAACGCCTCCATTTAGAAACCCTAGAGAGGATAATATGGCGTCGGTGATGACAACGGAGGCCTCTCCCAAACAGAGCACATCGGACATTGCCGTGATATGCGAAATAAAAGCAAGTGACGGAGCCATATAGACTGTTTGCGTCTGCCCAGTGAGTGCTCTGGTGGATGATGTCGGGCGGGCGCTGACTGACAGGGCGCCGAAGTGGACGAGGGTTGGAGGTGGACCAGAGCGGAGGACGACGGTTTATTTGTTTCATCGATGTCGAATTGGGTAGGCAGGTTGCAGAACAGGTTGAATGCTGACAATATCAAAGATTTGGATTAGGAGAGGCTGGTCGGAAAAGAGTCGAGTCAGGTCAGAAGCGAAACAACTGTGCATCTTGAACACGTCCCGCCATGAAGAATGGGATTGTGCGCGCCGAATTTCTTCATGCGGATGTGGGATGGGGAGGGATTCTGGGAGAAAGGGACGCCGGGAATGGAAGGAATGACAAGGACGGAACGGGGAGAAAGAGCCAACGGCAACCTTGGGACTGGGACGTATCGCGTCAAGTAGGTACCTGAGGTAATAAGGTAGCTACGTTCTTCGTTCGAGGCAGATGTGTACCTTCCATGCCATATATCAATGGAAAGTAAAGGCATTTCACTAATCTCAGCGATTTGTACCTGCCTCTTTTGAAGATCGCGCACGATCAATCCAAGGTGACATATCTTAGGCAAGAGGGCGATAGAACTTACTACAAATACAAGAGGGAAGGAACGAACGACTTCGCAAAGTCGCAAACACACGGCGGAGCCATCGTGCCATCCACTTCCTCAGCGGGATGGACACTGAGGACCAGAAAGAGCGGAGACATGTCACATTTAATGGGTCTGAAATACCTGACTACCTGGGTACGTATCCTCGGTGGGCCCGCACATCGGCACCTCATTGTGAAGGTGCCCTGCACCGAGTCGTTGTGCGAGGAAGGAAGTAGCAGGGGAGTGCCGTCTTTCCTCCGTTTTTGCGCACCGTGGTCACCAACCCACTTGTAGTGTTTGAACACCGTGCTACCAGCTGCTTCCTTTCGCACGGTATCACCAATCAAGGCAGGAACAAATTCAAGACCTGGAGTCACGTCGTGAGCGGGCATCGTCTCCGTCTGTGCCTTGAATTTGTCTCTTCCGCCTTGGTCAAGGAAAGAAGATGCGGTAATAACAAGGCGAGATTGAATCCGTCAGGTCACAGGTAAGGTTGTTTGATCCGTTCCTCGTCAGTTAGGCCGCGCGACGATGGATACGTACCGCTGTTAGGTAGGGCAAGGTCCAAGCCCGGGCAAGGCTGGGATCATTGACAGCTGTCAGATGAGCCACTCTCGGGAGCTTCAGAACTTCAGGGCCCTCAACGTGTCGCTTGGATGCTGGTCCTGCCAACACCAGCATTGATATCTGTACTCCTGGCAGATACCGCAGTCAAGTAAGGTAAGGTATGAATGGCTACCCGAGTCTCCAAGGTGGCATCGAAGCGTCAAGGATGGATGGTGTGTATGGCTACCTTATGTGACCATTGTGCACGTAAGTTGATGGAAGATGGCGCTATCTATCTCAGATATCCGAATTCTTTATGGAGCATCAGTCTGTGCTGTTTTCATACCAGCTGAGGTTCTCTCGTCCTGACAAAGAACTTACTGTGTAGAAGAACTCACGGTCCTCTACCCCGTTTCCCCCCGTGTGGCCCATTCCGCCCCGTGTGGAGCAGCCCGGCGTTGGCCGAGGCAGGGCGCAATTGAAGATTCGGATTAAGCATGCGCTTCATCAACACGGACAGATAATGCGAAGAAAAAAAAAACGTCAATCTTGTCTTGTCTTGGAAATACGTTTTACCCGTCAAGCCAACGTCTGTCCAAGCAGTGTCTCAGAAGCTTCCATTCATGCCTTGATGCCTGCCACGACTTCTTCTTTCCGCCGCGCACAGACGGCAGGGTGGAGCCGTCGACTTCCGGTCCGGGCACGGCACCCAGGGGCAAGATCAAGGGGTGCAGGGGTCAGGAATGTACACGTCAAGGATCTTGTCAAGCTGTCTTCGCTGCCCGTCAGGGGACAAGGGGTGAAGTGGAAAGCTCGGAGGCAGTGGGAGGTGGGAGGTCAGAGAGGTGACACAAAAAAGTGAACTGTGAGGAAAGAAGTTTAGGCAGAGGAGAGGATGAAGATGATGGGCGGTGGGGGGTGACCAGGGGCGAACAAGGGGAGGAGAAAAGGACCCGGACGTGGATGATGTTCTTCTCTCCGCAGAAACGGCCAAAGCACAGTGACTTGCAGCATCGATGGTCAAGAAATGGCAATGATGTGCCTACGCGTTGCTCGAGTATTCATTTATGCCGCGGGGAAATCGAGGTTGAAAGAGAACTAAAAAAAAAAAAAAAACAGACAAGAGATTGTCTCAACTGAATCTCAATCGGCCCATCTCTTGCGTTCACGTAATAGTTGGATGTAAACCCCTAGGGGACCTTATGCCAGGGCTGATTCATCTGAGATGCATCCATGGTGGCACAGGCTGTTGTTTATCTTGTCGGATCCCGCCGTCTCTTATTCACTACAATTTACACTTTGCACAGGGCAGAAAATAACCGGACAGAGCAGGGATTCTCCCGTTGGGTGCAAGGCGAAGCCACGAAGCAACGCAAATGCCAGAGACTAGTATTCCGTAAAGCAGAGACGATTTCCGTATGCAGGCCCTACCACCCGAATGATCTTCCCCTGCCTTTTTGTTGCCTTTTTTCCCGACATCCACCCAACTTACTCCCAGTCAGTCTCCCACTCACCTAAGGTAAAGTTGCAAAGTCTCAAGTCACTCACTCACCCACTCACTCAGTCCACCTCATGGTGACTTACCTAAGATAAGGTACAGATGCAGCACCTCGCAGCTCGCCCTGTCCAGTCTCGCTCCTACCAACGCAGCTTGCGTTACTTCACCCACCTTCACCTGCCTTAGCTCAGTTTAGCTCCAGATCAGGCTACCTTACCTGCGTTACCTGAGGCAGAGACAAGACATTTGACGCATGGTGGTGTACCTCGACACGGTCCAACACGTGTGTCGGTACTTTCTCGGACACATGGAGCACATGAAGCAGAGACACCTTAAGGCAAGGCCAACATACCGTAGGTAGGTCTTGAGGTGTGGGAGAGGGCAGAAGAAGCATGGCAGGTCCAGGTCCATCTTTCCCAATGTGGTCTGTTGCTCTGTTTCCCGTTCCTTAACTTGCCTCGACGAAAGTATTCCGTACATTCCTTCTTTTCCCAGCCCAGCCTTGCCTTACGAAGTTACGACTAATATGGCGCGGTACCTGTCTACTTGTGGCGTCCAACGACACAGACACACCCGCGCCCGTCTCGAGGACGGACCAAGTATCGCCTACTTCCGCCATCCGTGCTTCCTCGTAAAGACTGAAGTCACTTTAGCCTGACAAGGTACCTTTAACTCAGGTAGTCCACGCATCTCCCGTCTCAATCAGCACTTGCCTTCAAGGGACATCCTTCCTGCGCAGCAAGTAACCGGCCTTCGCGCCGCGATCCATCTGAACGCCCTTTCCCTCTTAACCTTACGGTCCTTACCTCTATACGGATACGTACCCAGGGTGTATTAGGTCGTCGATCCAGACGTGCTTGCCATTCCACTACCTGCACGCTCCATTGCTCCATAGTGCCAATGGGTGTGTGGATGCACCTGGGTATTGCCTGCCAGTGTCTCTTTCCCCATCTTTTTGATATGCATGGGTAATGGCAATACCGACATGGAACGGTTACAGAGACTGAACGGAATTGACATGGGACTCGGGAGGTAGGCTAAGGTAGGGTAGGAACGGGAGACCAGGTCCTAGGTGAACAATTCAGCCAGGTGAACGCCTTCCACCTTCTCCCGTCCTCCTCCTGCTCTTCCCTCCAAGCCAATCGACTCTTTCCATTGTCTATTTATCCAAGACTCTGTGAGGTATCTTATTCTTACCTAAGGTAGGGTAGGATAGAGTAACGTACCAAGTCACTTTGACGTTTACTCTCCTCGCGCCTCACGCTTCACCTCCTTCTTTTCCTCTCCACCGATGGATATCAGATCTGTTTTGCCCTGTTCTCCTTTTCATGTTCCTCCTCACCATTCCCTGGCCTGATATTTCGTCGTTTACTAGCCCCTCACTTTGGCCGGCATTAACCTTACATGAGATCCACTTGGACATCCCGACGGATGTGGCGAGGCCCTCTTCGAATGCTCCCGTCAAAAGTCCCCTCCGACCATCTTCGGTACCCGTGCCGTGTCTGACGTTCTGCATCATCATCTCTTTATTCTCGCCGCATGAACGCACAAAGCAGGCCAGGACCCGTCAGAAATTGCTTCTAAATCCGACCGGGCCTCTCTTTCATCTGCGCGCCCGTCTCAGGCCTGGGCCATGTTCTTCATCTCGTCGTTTCTCATCTTCAAGTCATCGATTGCTCATCAACAAGACGGCACGAGTACTCAGCTGGGCAGCAAAAACGCATACCCTATGTTCGGATTACTTTCCGCCTTGCACCCAAATTTGATACATCGGAATACCCAAGCTCAACAACAACAACATCACCAAGCTCATCTTGAGTATTAATCATCAACCGCCGTCATTGAGAACGCTCACAGTATCTGGTACACAACACAATACGCTCTGTTCCAATCGAACACCGCGACAGACCACCCAGCCGAGTCCAGCCCAGTCATCTTGGCTTCCTTGACCGCCCCCAAACCTCCGCTTGACAGGTCGCTTCTTGCCGAAGGTTGTCGACTGACCACATCCGGGACGACCAGGGACGACTCCGCCAAGAGACTCGAACCTCGCGGCACAGACCAGAGCGACACAGGGATTGTTCATCGGCTTCTCCTTCTCAGTTCCTCTGCCCCCGCCGGATGGCAACCAAGGCCTGGGCCTAGTCCATATCTCCCCAAGAGTCCCGTCCAGTATTTAGCATCCAGTTCCTCCAAGCATCTTGATATGTGTAGGAAGTACCTATTCTGGCAACCCACAGTCAACCAAGACAATAGAACCGGACGCCAGCTTACCATCTGGCTCTGCCCACTGGACTACGCCCTTGCCCACCCCCTTTGAAGCTTAGAGGTCAATCCTGTTGCAGACCGATCGAACTGTTCGCTCCTAAGTTAGACCGTCCGGCATCGAGACATGGGCTTGGAGTTTCTCTTTGCATTGTCATCGTCTCCAAATCGCGGTTGAAATCCCCGATATTCTGAAAGCCCCTCCGAAAGAGAAGGAAAAGGGGATACATTGGTACGACACGGTGCATCGCATCCCACCTTGAACTGCCACCCCCCCTTCCCACTCCTACTCCCACTCCCATTCATCCTCCATCTTGCTGTATCCGTACGGATAGTCCTGCCAGAGAAGAAACAGGCAAGCATTGGCCAAGTAAACCGTCTCGTCTCTTGGGGCAGGGTTCAAGGCGAGGCAGGTTGGGGAGACGGAGACCTGTTCTTCCTCGGCACACCCCACCCCCAAGCTTCTCTTTTGCTCAGTGCTCACAGCTTGGCTGACCGTTTTCTTTTCTTAGTATTCCCAGTCCTAATCCCATACTCCCAGTTCCAGTCCCGGTCGTTGGACGCCTCCTTCCCATCTCCAAACGTCTCCTCCATCTTGTACACGCCCCTTCATGCGGCCCCTGAGGTACGGTACCCTCTTCTGCTCCACCCGTCTTTTCCTGATCCCGACAACAGCTTCCAGGGCCATTGAGACCTAGTTGGCCTGCCCGACTTTATATCAAGATCACTGCTTTACCTCCTAGTTGCATTTTCATCAACCATCTATTTACCGCACCAGGTTCGACGGCATACCATCTCGGATCTTCTTCCGAGTCCTTCTGCTCCCTTTCCCATTTCTTTCTCTCGTCGCAATAACCTCGATCTTACTCGACACTTGACACTCGATAATCGAAACTCAACACTCGGCAGCTTCATGAGAAAAGACGTTTAGGTGGCGTTTTGGTGGTCGCAGAAACCGCGGGCAAGTACACGCGCAACACTTGGTGCGCCCGCTACGCGCCACTCGTCGTGGAGGTCGAACTGTCCATTTCTGCCACGGTGCTGTTGACGTACCACTGAGCTCCTCGACCGCTAGGGACGGGTGTAGCTTGCTTTTGCATAGGTAGGCCAGACCCTGTCTATATCACCAGCACATGCTGTGTCTGTGTGGATATGCAGAGAGAGAGGTCGTTGTCGCTGACCACTTAGAAAGTAGGAAAGAGCCGCTTTCTTAGATACACTGGCACTACTATTGCCTCGTACCCTCCAACTCTCCTCTTGTTGCCCCTCCGCACAGGAACATTCCGATCAGTCTCCCCTGTTGCTGTCCTGTGTCCCACCTCGAGGGATCTGCGCCTGGTACTGTGCTTCGGGCTACCATCGTCTGGCAGGGGTCTTACCATCAACTTCTTTGTCGCATTAAATCTCCTCTTCCCACACCAGTTGTACTTCTTCCACCACTTGTCGCTGTCACGTATCGTGTCAGATAAGCTTCGCCGAACGGTATCCAACATCAACGCCTCTTCGCAAATCATCAAACGGGCTCCTCGAACAATCACTTCTCGTCTTTCGTACTACGTCGCCTACTTCGGAGATACAAAACTCTTCCGCCACCACGGCAAGGTAACCTAACGAGTATCAAACCTACGCTGCCGCACCTTTCACTGGGCCAACATCGAACGAACTGCCCCTATCTCCGATACATCTGGATATCTTCTGGATATAAGAGACGAAATATTTCTTTTCTACCAAGGAACAGCAACCCTTGGGACACCTCACCACGAAACATATCGTTACTCAAATCAGACCAGCAAAAGAAACACACAGATGTCGTCTTACCAATCCAGTTGGCACACGGGTCCGACTCCCGACCCTCAAGAGTATGTTCAAGACATAATATCAGGGTGTCTGGGAAAAGGAGCTGACAAGTCCCAGCATTATGAGGGACAAGGAATCGTTGCGTCTGGCCATCGCTCAAGCGCCACAGCACGCCAAAGTAGCAACTGGCAAAGAGAAAGGTTCGTCTTCGCTCAACGATGCTACCCGATAGTCACCTAATACAAAGTCGCAGACCGTAAACCTATTGACCCTCCGCCGATTCTCCAAATCGACCTAAGGAATCACAACCAAAATTACGCAAACTTCATTCTGTCGAGTAAGCTACGAGATCCTCTTCCTCGTTCCTGCCTGCGACCCAAGCTTGGAGGATGCTAATCGTGCAACAGGCCCTAGCTTGTTCGTCCAAGTTTACCTCAAGCCCGGCGATAAGAAAACCAAAATGGACCCCGAGACCTGTGCAAAAGGGTTGGTGGGATCGACTGTCTCCTCTTTGCAAAAGTACAAGAGCATCGAGGGCAAGGACGAAGGCTACTTTGTTTTCCCCGACCTCTCTGTTAAGATGGAGGGTTTCTTTAAGCTGAGATTCGCCCTGTACAACATGAAGGGCGGCGAGGTATACTTCATGACGGAGATGGAGTCCCACGGCTTCCAAGTTCACACGGCGCGGTCGTACCCTGGAATGAGCTCTTCAACTGATTTGACCCGCCATCTCAGCGATCAAGGCTGCCGTCTGCGGATCCGGAAAGATTCCCAAGTTGTCAAAAATCGCAAACGACAGTTCCAATACGGCATGGACTCCGACCAAATGCGCAATGTCAGGCAACGTCAGGGTATGGCTCAGCTAACACAGCAAGCCCGTCGCCCAAAAGACATTGCACAGCAGCAGGGCTTCTCTCACGGGGGCTCGGCCACGGGAGTTCCCAGTCCTGCATCTTCTTCTCACGGAGGCGGGCAAGCGCCCGCGGTAACAATAATGCAACAGGCGAATCGACATCAAGTCCAGGCGGTCAGCTACGCGCATCCACAGCCATTGATGGCACATTCCATGCCGGGAATAATGAGCATGCAGTTGTCGCATTCGTCAGTGTATCCGCCACCAACGCCATCTTCTGGACTATCGGTTGCATCGCTTCCATCGACTTCGCCTACGCAGAGCCCAGACTTGGTGACCCCCACGTACTATCGGCTTGACTCGGGCCTCTACGATTATACGGCAACCCAACACAACTTGGGGGACGCTTTTTTTCCGCAGCCTCACCAGCCTTACAAGACTGACCAATACTGGGAGAGGGACTCGGATAGTAGGATCAATAGCCACGGACATGGCCATGGACAGAGCTAGGAGGCTGGAGCTACGGGTCGAGAGGCAGGCTAAGGGCATGGGAGTTCAGGTGAACAGCAAGAGCTCAACCGGTCTCCAGACGAGGCTGGAGTGGAAACATCAGTATGGTGGATATTTTGGTTTATTGTTTGGCTTGGTGCACATTTGTGAGGGTTGTCAAAAGGGGGTATTAGTTCAAGCGACATTGCATAACACCAGGCACAGTTGCTGGCTATGGGTCGATCCGGCGTTGGTGGTTTCGAAGGCTTCAACAGAGGACAAGATACCCTTGGGATTCTTTCAACGGGCATTGGTTGGTAGCACAGTGGTGGCGCAGCAGGAGCATAGAGCGGTATGGAATCTCAAGCAAGTCATCACTTTAGACTTTGTCAGTAGGAATCACGGTTTTTGTTCATCCATACCTTCCACGGTGTGCTGGCCATTTCTTCTGAATAATACAGCAAGACCAAAACCAGGAGACTAGGTAAACTATAGTCAGCGCCGTAAGGTACCGAATAACCCAGGGCCCTGGTTGCTCGACGGAGCGGCCCTCCGACAGGAATCCTTGCGCCATTAGCCCGAATGTCTACGGAGCGCGCTATTAGACTTTCCAAGTGTGTTGGAACGGACCCCTGCCCGCCACAAATTTCCTCATAATGCACGACAAATAGACCTTGGTACCTCACAGGCAGACAGCAGAGACCGCGATCCCCGCACTGGTGCTACTTGAAACGAGACAGGCTACGGCAGACAACAGCATAAGGTACCTAGCAGTCAGGGGGGGGTGTGGAGTGGAAGGGGGCAGGGCATGTCAGGATAGGGCGTGAGGAGAGTTGATTGGAGTTCAGGCCCTCAGCCTTTCAGCCTTTCAGGGACTAGAATGGAACAAGAAAGGGAGGGAGGGGGCAAGTTTTGCCAAGCTATCAAGTGCCAAGCATTCAAGGGAGGTGTCAAAATGTGTCAGGACTCTGGCGTATCCGGACTAGGTATGTGCTGTGTCCATTTTGTATTGTTGTCGGAAGATGCCGTTTCGGATATCGGCGAGGGTGCGTAGGTGCGTGGGTGCGTGTGTCTGGTGTAAGTGGTATGTGTGTTGGTGTGTCATGGTTTTGGTCACTGGTGTGGTGCTGCGGCCAGGTTGCGGCGTCAGGTACCTTGCGTTACGGCTGTCCGGCGGCATTTCGGAGGGCCGGGCGCCCGGCCGGGTGTTGGGGTTGTGGGGCCTTGTGGGGACCCCCATCACGGTGTGCCTTACCTTACGCTTGGTGCCTACAGGTATGCTGGGGAATGTCAATAGGGATGGATCCGTTCGTATGAGCAGATTTCGACGGATTGATACTAGTGTGTGTAGGATTGGCTAAGGGAATGAAGGGTCGATGAGTGATATAATCCCGCGTTTTGGCTCGTAGGGGTATTGATTTTCTGGCTCTGTGGTTTTTGGGGCTGTCGGATGGGGGGTTTCACGTAAGGTAAGGTACATGAGGTACGGTGCTAGTAAGGTTGATATCGGATGAGTGCACGTTGAATTTTTTTGTTCATGGGCCTGGAATATGCCTCAGACTTTGAGCGACATTATTTCGTAATAGGGTCATTGACATCTTAGGTATTGAGTAACGTAAGAGAAGCATTGACGTTCGATTGAGGAACGTAACATTGCGCATTGAGATCGAGTGATGACTTAGCCCACGGAAACCGCGCAATTATTTCGCACTCCTGAGACCATTGCCTCGGTCTCGGCTTAGCGACGTAGCTCGGGCGGGTTAAGGACTTTCATTCAAGAATGTGATTGCTCACGCGTGACCGAGGTTCTTCTCGGGAGAAGGAGTAGGTAAATGCTTGTCAGGTCATCAATAGAATTCGGTCTCAGATTGCTTCCGGTGAAAACATTGTGAGGTTCAAACAAGGTGAATACAAAGTTTGGAAGCATCTCTAACCGGCAGCCCTCATGCAATGGGTCATCTAAATCCAGCCCTACGAGGCTAAGGCATGTCACGAAGGTCAATTATCACCATTTATGATGGGTGCAACCAGACAGTTGGTTTCTACGCGTGACGACTGCTGCACATGGTGTACTTTGGCTGCCTTTGAGTTCAAGCCTACTGCGGGTGCACCAGGCTCTTGGTGTTCATCGTGAGCCGTGTGGTGGTTGAACTTGGTTGTGTCGTCGGCGCGCACGTGTGCGATGTAAAGTACATCGTGTAACCTGCTTTAGTGTCTGTAAGACTGACATGAAACGGCTTAGTGAGCCATGAGAATGGTGATGCGGCAGGATCGAGACACTTGGTCTAGAAAGTGACAAGTAACGGTCAATTGAACCACTCACTTTGAGTCCAAGCAAGATGGAGTGAAGTTGTAAGGTGGTGGTGAGGTTCTGCGGCGATGCGGGCAGTTTGCAGCTGCTCTCCCCGCACGATGGAGGGGCGGCGCGGGGCTGCGTCTGACAGGCCGCGGGGTCCCTGTGTGCGGGGAGGGAATCTGTAACACATGCCCAGTTCCCGGCACCTCGTCTCACTCTCACTCCACACCACCAACTCAACTTCAACCTCGACATGACGACGACCTCTATCAATGAGAACATCTCATCAATGTCTCGCCGCAGACTATCACAAAGGCTTCTGTCAGCGGTCATCTTTCTGACATGATGTGAAATGATGCCAATCCGCCGCCTCCTGGCACCTGGTCGCATCCCATGAGCCAAGATGCAAACCCGGGCCGGATGGCGCAGCCGCCTCATCCCGACGGAGATCATGGCGATCAATCACCACCTTGTCAACACATCACACTCGGGACCTTCATGCGGCTCTTTCGTGATCCGACGTACCGAGATGTTCACCGATTTCTCACTGAGACTGTATCCGAACTCCGGAATGTGAGGCCTGCATCCATGCCGTTCACAAACTTCACCCTACCCACCACACCGTTCACCCGTGATCTGCAGCTGGGAAGGTTGGTGATCACGCAGATATCCTGACACCCTGCGCCTCACGTCTGGAACTCTTATGGGATTGCGATTCTCAGGCCACGAAAGTCTGGGCACTTCGGAAAATCCGACATGACGCATGAGAGGCCTTGGTGAGATTTGAGTACACCCCTTGACTACCCCTCACCGTTTATTCGTCTCATCTCCAGATGAACACCCCATCAACGTATGGGCTATCGATCGACCATGACGTGCGTTTCGAGGCGCTTGAATGCTGGGTGGCAATATCCGGTCGATCACACAGCAATGAACCACTTCGTTGTCTCTTCTGCGATATTGACACTTTGCCGCGCGGGTCCTTGTGTAGAAGTTTGCATCGCGTCATGTCTCTACACAGTTCTTCAAATCCTCAGATGGAGGACCTCTCAATCAAAGAAAGTTTAGTTTGAGTTTTTCTACAAATTCTAGATTTGACCGACCGAGACCGAGAGAGGAAATTAAAGAATTCCAGGCTTTTACTCGCGATCGCAAAACTGGCGCTTTCGATGAACCTTCTTGGAAGTCCCTTCCGCCGATAATATAGGGCGTTCTGGGGACGAGGGTAAGGTGAGGTTCCTGAAGTTGTGAGCCGTATATGGTAGCTACCTATCATCGCGATCATCAGTGCGCCCGAGAGTTCCGTCCGACTTTCAGTCTCATATGCCCCTGGCCACTAGCATTGCCATCTCGGATCTCGAGAGTACTCGATGCATGGATTTGAAAGGAAGCATCCGGTCGATCATGCATGGAGAGGCCTCTTGACGCAAATGTTCTTTTTTTGACAGCAGGGCGGGAAGTCAGATGGACCGAAACCAAATCCCTTCGAAGATTGATAACTTCTTGATCAAGACGCTGGCGCGCTTCGAGGCCAGTAGAGCATTGCCACATAGTAATTAAGGCATGAATACGCAACTCCTCTGAAACGTCAAGAAGAGAAGGATGGCGATTTGGAAACACTATTGGACGTACTGAATAGACTTCTTTTGCAAGTTTGAAAGAGTTTTTGCATTAGACCTTGCCGCTTCCTGGCGAGTAGTCTTGGAGCTGTCTAGTCCCTGTATGGCCAAGAAGCTTTAGTGCCTATAACCCAGGCAAAATGCTCGCGAAGCTGGATTCTAATATCTAACGGTTACAGACTGGCTTCATTTGTAGTAGTTTTGATCATGTCATAAGCCTATCCTAGGTGCATCCAACTATCTTGCGTAATGGAACGACGGTAGGGTATGTGATCCGTAATCGTAGTATCATTGGCCTGGTATGCGTCTTTCCAATTTGCCTTAAGTCAAACATTTTTCTCTTAAGTACCTTACCTCGGGTAGTACTCAAAATTGATTCAAAGAGCTACCGGATTGCAAAGTCGTATCTAGCGATCTCTCTCTCCCACCAACGCCTGGTCTAGGTGCATCGTGCACCTACACCGATCAGCCTCCAGATCTTAGGTAACATCCAGAAAGCACAGGTAATGCTCATCCAAGAAGCGCATGGACTTGTATGCTACAAGCCGGACGATCACACACGGCATGTCACGTCAACACAGACCTTCCCGGGAGACCTTTGCCGGCCGGAATTGCAAGAGAGAGTTGCCTCACAGAGTCTCGAAAATAGCTGCGGGAAGGTTATCCATCAGTGCCGGATATTTGGTGTCCCGACATGTGTTGGCACCGACCGCGTCCAGCCGCAGTCTACTCGGAATCAACATCATTTACGATTCGAGTCATCGACGCCGTGATGAAAAGGAACAGGCCAGAAAGCGTGATATGAAAATTTCGGAATCCTAATTTAGAGAATCCGGCGATGGACCGGACTTCCTCGGCCTAGAAGCCCCACATCATCGGCGCCAGCGCCGCGCTGAATACTCCGTACGGAAGTCGGTTATACTGGAGGATTGCAGCTGGTCTAAAGTCTGAACAAGCATCCCATGCAAAAGACCACCGGATAAGGTCCCAAAATTCACCGAAAAGGCATTCGGAATGCCCACGGCTCGTATAGACAATACCTGGCTTCCAACGGTCAGAAGTCTTGTCTGCCGTCGGACATTTTCCAACTCGGCCATTCCGAGCAGACAGATGTCCGGATTGGTAATCCGGCATTTGAAGCATATTCCTCAATTAGGCTCAAAGGTTTCCGAACTAGACATCTTGAAGGTTGAAGGGGAGAAATTGCCAAATTGACTGGTTGAACGCCCGCAGTTCCCTGTCTCTCAAGATGCGTGGTCGAGGCCTCTACTGTCCCTCTAGGCCCAAGTCTAAGGTGTTGCTTGATCGTCGTCCCATCTTCACGCGTCTCAATACCGGATGACACTTTTTAGCCGCATCACGGGCAGATACGACAGTTTCAAGTTTTCCGCTGGCAGGGCTGGGGATATTTCAACTTTGGCGAACGGAGTGCTCGTTCGCTGCACCTCCTGGGAGCTGGTTATTCTTGTTCTGCTTCTCGCTCGTTCGGGCCGTTGGCCGCAACTCGACAACGGCGCCCTGCTCTACCCACGCCCGCAACACAGACCGAGTGTCTCCAGATACGAAAATACTCTTTGAGAGAAGTTCCGATCCCTTGGTCTGAGCTCAATTGACTTTGTTGACACTCCCGAGCCAAGCCCGAACTTCGCTGGAGTCTGTTCATGGTTGGAGGACAGAACAATCTATCAGAGTCTGCGAGACAATTGGCGGGCCTCGTTCGGGCCCGCCCGCCAAGCCCCTGGTGTCGTTCATCATCGGTCTCTCCATCATACGAATGTTTTCTTTTTTCGGTCTTGAACCCCCGGCTACTCTATTACGCGACGAGATCTCACATATTCCACACCCGGCATCGCCTAGATGATCGCCCTGATGCCATTGTCCGATGCAAGCCCGACATGGGTTCCTCGTCTGTCGAGCCAGCCTCTTCAATGGTCACTATCCGTACCATGCTGCAGCCACACAACAACCTCGAGGCTAGATGTATCTGGTACATGCAACTTGACCCAGACCAGAAGTCTTCATGGCAGTAGGCAGATAGTGCCACCTCCTGCAACGGCAATGAACAAGCATCACAGCCGTAATGCTTTAGCAAGATGCAGAGATAAGCATATGCAAGTTGGTAGGCTATCCATCAGCTAACCCCAGATGGTGCAGACGGGCGCCAGACTGTTGGCTCACTCCCCCAGTGATCCCGCAACGGGCGGGCTCGCCTCGTCTCCAGGCCGCACCGTGCTAAGGATTTAATAGCGGATCCTACGCCGGGAGTGGCTGGATGAAAGAAATTTCTTCTTCGGTGGACAGCCCGCAAAAGGCGGCATCTGCACGAGAACCAGAACTGGGCAATGATCGAATCAGGCAATGGAGGACCGTAAGACGGCAGGAAGATCACCTACGCAGTATATTGGCGGAGGAGTGGCGGAGAGCCTCCAGATTGGGGTTGTCAAGCCCTCGATCCTGGCCTGCCTCGTTCCATATTGGAACAACACTCAACTGCCCTTACCCTTTGCACAGCTACATTCACCGCAACTATACCGTCCTTCATCGTCATTATTCCCGTCGCCTTGCTTCTCTTTCCCGTCTCGCGTCAGCAGTCGCTCGGACACCTCGAGACTGATGTGCCATTCATAACCCCTCACCAGCCCCCCGCTCGACCACTTTCCATTTACCCCAACTCGCAGTTAGACTGGTGTTGGATGGATGCCGCCGCCGGATCGTCATGGGTGAGTGCGGATGAGACGACCGGGGTACCCGGGGACATTGGTAGGGCCTTGCCGGGACAGCGATTCCGAGGCTTGAAACATTAAGCTAGAAGCAGGGCCGACTCCAACGGGCCTCACGGCGCGACGGCAAACTCTGCCCTGGGCTCCATAGTAGCCCTTTCGAAGAGACAGGCCTTTTTCTTTGAAAAGGTCATTGACGTGTATGCAGTAGATGGGCGGAGGGGCAAGTCGTCACCTTGGCACGATTCGAACATCAGCAGATGGTAACATACAGCTTTCAGGGGAACGATCCCAGAGCCGTGGGAGAAGACCTACTCATTTCGGTGGCATTCATGGCGCCGATCCAATTGCAAGCATGCATCGCACAGGACATCTGTCAAACCTCATCTGCCTGCCCGGCTAGTTCGACCCAGACTCTGCGGCCTTGGCCACCGAGAGGCCGGGTTCTTTTGACATTTGCGTCTCAATTCTTTCGAACACCCCCCGGTATCCTCCCCCGCGCGCGGGCGGTTTGCCTGCCGCAGGCCCCAACCACCTCAATGTCGACGCCCATCTCGCCAATGTCGGGGTTTGGACCCGATGCTACAAGGAGAGGCTTTTCGGAATGCGTTACGCTGCAAAGATGAATGTCGGTGGCCTCGGCCGGGACACGAGACTTCCCGTCCCTGGTCCATCGCTTGGGTGCACCTTTGCCGCGCATGGCATATGACGCTTACCATGCTCGCCGGCTAATTACTTCCGCTGGGTGATACAAAAGGACGCGTTAATTCTAGCCATGGATTCACCTTGTGCAATAGCCCCATTCGATTATGGTGTTGACCTCATCTAACACCCATAGCTCAAGTCTGATATTGGCATCAACTGGCCACTAACAATGGATAGGCCTGGCTTCTAGACTTCCTTGTCGTGTTAGTGGCCCAAGGCCGAGGAATGGGCTTCGGCCCGCTAGTAGTCAAAGCCAACTCTTCGGTGTGCAATACCAACCTGATGGTTGGTTGACAAGAAACCGTTGTGAGAACCGCACGTGCTGTGGAACGCCAAGGTGGTCCTTTTTGGAGGCTCGGCCTTTGAAGTAGGGATCATCTTCCCGTCGTCCGGATTGCCTATCCGTGACGTTGGTGATCAGCATGCACAAGGATACGTCGGCACTGTGCCGATGACTTACAAGGGTAAACTTGATGTCTGAGATGCACGCGCTGTAAGGTATGGTGGCGAAAGTGTTGGCAGCGATCATCGTTGTCCAGGCAATCCTAGCATGTTAGCTTAGGAGAACTCCGGGGAATGTGAATAGCTTCAGATTCAGCATGTCGCGATATTGGCACGCAAGTTCCCCAAAGACTTGATGTAGAAAGTCTCTCAGAGTCTTTAAAGAGTCTTCAAGTACATATCCAAAGTAGCCATACAAAGCAACAGGTGTAACGTAGGTGATGTCACTGTCCATTTGAATACGTAAATATCGTCTTCTGACTGCTGCAACCCAAAGTTCAGAGAACTGAAGTCATTTTCCTACCACCTGGTGAAATGGAACTGAAGCATGTTGTCAGTCCTGGCATCTCTATTGACGAACACTCGGGCATTTAGATCCGAGCAGAAACACTCTGGGGGTTGTGGAAAACATCCTTCGGATCCCACTTTGCCTTGATGTCTTCCAGAGCAGCAAGGTTCGACCCCCAGTAAGAGCGCTGAGCATCTCTAAGCTCCGTGTCGACGAACCCTGGGTAAGTGCCAGTAGCCTGAGTAACAGTGTTCAACAACTCCCTGTGGAAGTTTTCAAGGCTGGTGCGGGTCGCCTTCGAGGCACCGGCGGCGTAGGATTGATAGAACATGACTTTGTCTCTATGAGCATAGGCAGTGATTCCAGCGGGAATATCTGTAACAGCGCCGCCAGCGGCCTGGAACTTGATGGACCAATCTTCCAACATGAGCTCAGCTGGCAGACTTGCGAGGATGCTGGCAACCTCTGCCTTGGAGAGAACGTCGCTGCTGCTCAAGCCCAAACTCTTAGAGTAAAGCTTATTCGGGATGGGAGCCGTATGAAGAGCTTCCTCGACAGCGAGGCGGGCAAGGGAATCCTCCCAGGTCTCCTGATGAGTTGTGGTTGAAGCATCGGCGATCTGAATGCGGCTGAGGATTCCAGCCTGTTCAAGCTCCGCCTCTGAGCCAAACCACGTCGATGAGATGCGAGCACCCGCCGGGCTGAAGACCATCTCCGTGCCGAAGCGATTGTCAAGGGAAGGATCAGTGGCGACAGACTGCCATGAATGAAGGACATCTGCGATCTCTGCCGGGTGGCTGTAGGATAATGTTTGGCTGAGGTGAAGAACACTTGATGGCGCTGGGCGAGTTCTCATGACAAATTCGGTGACGATACCGAATCCGGCACCAGCTCCTCTCATGGCCTAAAGGTTCGTTCATCAGCAAATTGAACGCGGCGGGACTCCCGCCGTTGGAGAAAACTCACGAAAAACAAGTCCGAATTCTCCTTCAAGCTTACGCGGACAATCGTTGCGTTCGCCGTGACAACCTCAACTTCCTCAACGTGATCCAAGGTTGTACCCCACATACGGGACATTGGGCCGATTCCACCCTGAACAAAGTTTGTCAGTGTTCATCTCAATGAGCTTGATCTTCTGTACTTACAACAGTGGCGTGGCCTCCGATACCGATGCCACCGCACATTCCATGAGGGATGGCTTGCTGAGAGGCGCTCAGGTGTTCATCGATTTGGCTGAGTCTTGTACCACCGCCAACTCTGATTTTGTTTGAGTCTCCATCTTGCGTATACTGGAAGTGTTGCATATCGACGGATATACCACCGTCCTCGCCTCCGAGGCCTTGGAACGTAGTTAGCAAGAGGTACATCTTGACACCGCAACTCATGTTACAGAACAGTAGGAAACCTAACCATAGTTACTGCGGACAGAGTCAATAATCGTGCGTCAAATTTTCTCTGGGGTTCATGAACTCACCCCCAGCCATGGCTCCCCGCAGTTGCTTGGACTTTGACTCCATGCTTGGCTGCGCATCTTACAACGCTGGCGATCTCTTGGGCATCCTTGGGTCTGACTATCGCAGCAGGTGTGACTGTGCGACCAAGGTTGAACGGGGCCATCCAAGTAGCTTCTCCCGCGTCCTTTTTACTGGGGAACTGGACGCAATCTGACCTTCCGGCGCAGACTTTGCCCAAACACGACTCAATCGAGGGGTTTGGCTTATGAGCTGGCCCAGGAGCAAAGAAGGTCTGCGCTATAAGACCGGCCAATACTGTGGCAGCGCAGATGGACCATGAGTTCCATTGAATCCCTTTGGTTGCCTTGGCTAACCTTGAAGGTTGGCTTTCTTGGTAAGTGGACATGATGGGAAGTGCTAGGAATAGGTTTGAGTTTCGTAAAGGGTTGAAGATGGTGTGAAAAGGGGGTACTGTCGGATGGAGGTGACGATGGCTGCGTCTTATAACCTCATAAGGACCAGATCATCAGCCAGCATATAAATGTCTCTTGACCGCTCTTAAGTGCCTATCTGGCAGAGGGCATGTGATTGTGATGATGCAAGACCGCTTCAGACGGTGGACGTCAACCGGACCCGGCCCCGCATCGCCGATCGGTCTCAGCCCGGGTGTTCAGAATCCGTGGATCGGCGAACTTTGATAACGCAGCTGGCTCCCCCTTTGCTGAGTTCTATGATTGCCGCGCGTAACGCGGTACCCAAATACAGGGATTTGATCCACCTAGATTGAGGCCGGGCATATGTTTCGGGATGAGCTCCATCAGGAACGCTCAACTTATAACCCGTTACGGTTGGCGGTGTCTTGGATCGTACAGCTCCGCCAAAGCTATTGAGACTTAACCCCAATGCATTCTCCATGGGTTAGCGCATCTGTTCCCGGAACGTCGTTGAGAGCTGAATAGCACGGATAGACATTGTCGATCGACCAGTATTCTTGGCTTGATTGATGCTAAGTTGTCGTGTGTGCATGGGTGCTTGTTCCGAGTTAGGCGTGTCTCGTTCTCGAACCTGCTGTCTTAGACTCTGAACCCCTCCGAATACCCGTCAGTCGGCCGCTGTCCAACATATAGTAGGTACATCGTGATTCTCTCATCATATTCTAAGACACGCTGTACAAGCAGCTACGTCATACGCTGAATGGATGGCACCTTTCCAGCCAGGTGAGGAATCCCTCATGTTGCGATAGAACGCCTTCGTGACATCACTCTTGGCTGCTGTTCACATGGGATTGACAGACGAAGTGGATAGTCGTGGGATAGTTGTAAAGCCCGAGACAGCATAGCTAACTTCTGGGGAGTATTGACGTCTCCCTTCCAAAAGTAAAATTCGTCCACCTCCTCTTCTTTGGTGTCTTGATTATGCCCCTTTAGGACACCCGATCTTTGAGCAACATTCACATCAATCAATTTTTCCACTGGCATATTCCACTGCGGCCATCAGTGAGTAGTCTGTCAACACTGCAGACACAAGTTGCGCTAAAAATTTCTTAGGACTGATTGCGACATCAAGTCGGGTGTTGCGCTGTACTAGCTACTGGTAGTTCTATCCCCTATTACGTTGCTAGTGCTTGTTCACAGTAGGTCAAAGTAGAAGCATCGTGGAAAGATATCTAAACCTTACGATGCTTGACATCGATACTCACCATCTGTGTAAATGGGGTCGCCAACAGCACCTGAGTACCTGCGGCCTGATCTAGTGCATCATGCTGCATCGCGGACGAACTTTCCAAGCTTTGTATCTCCACTATTGGCTGAGTAGTTTTCGCCAGTTATGACTCTGTCGTACAAAAATGAATCCGTAATTGCCGGCCAGTAATTACGCCTTATTTACCATAGACTCTCTAACCCCAGTCAAGCTCCACCGCTTCTCGCCGGTCTTTAAACAGGGTAGTCACCACCATAGCGTATCCTGTTGTACCGCCTTGGTCCCAAAAATCGCCAAAAATTCATGAAGTTGCAGCCGAGCAAGATACCTATTTCATCTTGGTTGCTTTCAAGGGATCCAGTGTGCTGGTGAAGTCAGCGGCCTTGGTGGCCATGTCGGTGGGGAAGCTCAGATGCTCATGAATCCACTTCCATTGCCCCTCGTTCTTCCTTGCGATGCCTGTCCTTCTGAAGCCGTATCAAACGGCACATTGCCAGCTGTTCCCCAGGTGTGTTGTATCATGGTGGAATAGGCATATTCCTTGGACAGAGCAGTGATCTCGATGTCCTTGAACTCCATGTTGCCGTTGTTCCAGTACAGGAAGACGGAGTCAAAGTGCTCTTTGAAGCTGCCACGGATGGTGTTGCCAAACATGTCGTAACTGAGCATGTCATCAAAATCATAAAATCGTCGAGTGCCGACCATTCCGTTGTGGTAGTCTTTGCGCGACTCCTTGTTCCAGTAGTGCAACAAGCCGCGATAAAGCTGGTCCATGACCTCTTGCTCTTCTTTCACCAACTCCTCTTTGTGATACTTTACGATGCAGATCAGTTTATGACTTTTTCATGGGATTGAGATGAGTTGGTGTCACTAACTTTGCTGACTGGCATGTGAAGGAATTCAGCCTGCTTCCAAACGTCGGCATATTCGCTCTTTCCTTCAGTCGGACTCATCTGCTCGAGTGGGATCAGGAGATACTGACAGCATCTTCAACAAAGCCCTTATCGTTCATGTTGAGTGTACTTGTAGCGTAATCAAGATATTATGTGTCTCCTGTGGATGGTCGAGGGAGTAGCCAAAGATGAGAAGTGGCGTCAAAGAGCAGCGTCCCCATATTTAGACTTCATCGAAAGAGCCCGAACATCCCAGTAGGTAGCCACGCCATCGCGGACAGATTCCCGCAGTGAATTAGTCTGTCCGAACCAACATCCATAACCACTTGTAAACTTCTAAAACAACAGAACCATCTAAACAATGGCATTTACGGCGAATCAATGGTGGTAAGATAAATCTACCCGACCGTCCCCCAAAACCTGCGGAAGTTGGCCCGCGGCCCCGTAAACTCGTGGGTCAACGCTATCTCACATTGAACGTCATTCTTCAACGGCATCATAAAGGTGCATGCCGTTCTTCGTCATATCTCTCTTTCCAGTCAATTGCATTATCGTCAGTCTTGTCAGTCAGACTATTCAATCCACCGAGTCTCTGCTTATTTTTTGTTTGCATCTGCAGTGCAGCACGATGGGCTCTCTATCCTCTCCGGAATATGATGCCATCATCGTCGGTGGTAGCTTCGCCGGATGTTATTACACCCTTGACCAACTCCGAAAGGCTGGATTCAAGACCCTTGTGATCGACGATGCAGCCGATCTTGGCGGTGTCTGGTACTGGAACTGCTATGCCGGAGCACGTGTCGACACACCCGCGCCTCTCTATGAGTTCTCTGAAGAAGAGATCTGGAGACCATGGACTTGGTCCGAGAAGTATCCTGGGAGAGAAGAAATTCGAAACTACTTCCAGCATGTCGAGTCCAAGCTACATCTCAAGAAGGACGTCATGTTCAACACCCGTGTTGTCAGTGCTGACTTCGATAAGATGGAATCCCACCTGGTCCGGCAGTCGTAGAACAAGGATGGACACATCCGTTGCGGGGAAGGCGGCGGGATCAAAAACAACGTTGTGAGAGGAAACACGCAGCCACGTCGCTATCTTACCAAGCGATATGCTAAGAGACTGAGTAATGGAGTGGGGTAACGATGTTACAGATGCATCGGGGACTTTACGGGCGTTGAGAGAGATGGCTTTCATTGTGAAACTACTTTACGGACATAAAGACTAATAGTCCCGTCGTTGAATCTGGCACCAGTTGATGGAAACAATTGAAACCCGCAGCTCAATCTTCTTTATCACAATGGCTATGAGCTCCCTTTTGTTGACGGGAACTCAGCCGCTTGCCCATATTGCTCTGTTGGCACTCGGTTCTTTCTTCCTTTTTTATCTTGCTCGAGGCATTTATCAAGCTTATTTCTCCCCGTTGAGCCACATTCCGGGTCCCAAATTATGGTCGATATTCCCAGTCATTCCCAAGTTCAAGATGTTGTTCGGTACCATCGATCAAGATATTCGGAAGTTTCATAGAAGATATGGGAACGTTGTAAGCTACTCGCCAGATGCGGTGACGTTTACTACTAGCCAGGCCTGGAAGACAATTTACGGCCATGGGCAAGGGCAATTCCCAAAGTACAGTGCCTCGAAGCAACTCGACCCTGACTCCAATATCCTTAACGCCGATGATGTCAATCACGCTCGAATTCGCCGAGGAATCGCCCATGCTTTCTCACCACGGTCTTTAGCCGAGCAAGAGCCGATCATTCACGACTACGTCGATAAGCTGGTTCGAAGGCTATCTGATGTTCCTGAATCCCGAATGCCGACAGAGATGGGCAGGTGGTTTCACATTGCTTCCTTCGACATTATCGGCGACTTGACGTTTGGCGAGTCTTTGGGCGGTCTCGACAATAACGAATTCCATCATGTGGTAACCTCTGTCCTCATGTTTATCGAACGCGCCAAGAAACTCTTCGAACTAAACACTTTGCTAGGCCCATTGGCGTGGATCGTCCTGCCGATTTTGGCGCGGGATGTTGAAAAGGGCTTCATGGACCAATTTGACTACACCAGAAAAGCCGTCAACAAGAGGCTCGAGCACAATTCTGAAGTCACCCGAAAAGATTTCATGCAGGGTCTTCTGCGTGGAAGAGACGAGAAGACTATCACTTCCATTGAAGAGATTGTCACAAACTCTAACACACTCTTCGTGGCCGGCAGTGATACGACCGCGACTTTGATGACGGCTTGCACCTTTTACCTCTTATCGACGCCCCATGCACACAAAAGAGCCGTCGAGGAAGTCAGAGCAGCATTCGAAGCAGCCAGCGAAATCAACTTCACGAATGCTACAGCACGCTTGCCATAACTTCTCGCCGTGCTGAACGAGACCTTTAGATTCTATCCGCCCGTACCAACTTCCCTTGAGAGAGTTGTTCCAAAGACGAAGGAGCCAACTCATATCGAGGGGATGTTCTTTCCATCAGGGGTAAGTTCTCTGCATACTATCTTACTCCACTTATTTAAGGCGGGAGAGTTGCTAATCAAGGCGTCTGTAAGACTTGAGTCGGAGTTCATCACTCCTCTGCCGGCCTATCTACTTCCAACTTTGCCCAGCCAGAGAGCTTTGCCCCTGAACGGTGGCTTGCCTGCATTGCTCAAGACCCAACATCTCCCTTTTACGCGGATAAGCGGGACGCTATACAGCCATTTTCCTATGGTCCTCACAACTGCATTGGCAAGCACCTGGCCTACAATGAGATGCGAGTTATCATTGCGCGACTTCTATGGGAATTTGACATGAAGCTTGATTCATCATCGACAGATTGGACACAGCCATACTCTAATCACAAAGCCTGGGCCATCTGGAAGAAACAGCCTCTGGTAGTGCACATTAAGAGACGTCCTTTGGCGATTTAGACCCTGGTCGAAAGTCAATGTGGGATCAAACGGTTTATTGATTCAAATCAGTGGGATCCTCGCCATAGATATAGTTCAGTTGAGTGGCATTCAAACAAGAGGAATATTCAGCTTGAATGCTAGCAATTCTCTCTAAGCGCCATCTGCGATGACCAATCCACGTTTGATTACCGACCAAGGCCTCCCATTATCTTCAAAATCTTGCTTATCGGGTTCCCGAACTTGTTTGCTTTCTTCCAGTACCCTGCAGATGCCAGCCCGGTGACGACCAACAGATCCATATCAAGTGTTTGAGGCGGAACAAACAGTTCAAAAATCAGACTCGAATCCCCTCGGCCTTCAGGCTTTCCCGACCATCTCGCTAATAACCGGTCTCCATCGGTTTTGAGGCAAAGTGTGTTCGTCGACATTGTGTTCTTGGACATGACCCATCGATAGTTGTAGCCGTTGAAGTTGACTTCGTGCCCATGGCTGTAATCCGTGAGCCCCAGGCTCAGATTGGAACCGCAGAGGGTGATTTGTGTTTTTGAAGATAAAGTGTGGTATTTGATAATGCCGACTGCACTGCCCGCAGGGACCTGTACTCTGGGGTCTGCGGAGACAACCGCAAGGACGCCTTCTTCGTTGTTCTCATTGACAGTCCACATTGGTATTTGTCGTCCGCTCTGGTCGACGCGATAAATGGTTCGTTGTGTTCCACCGTTAACGTCTCTGACCTGGAGAGTCTCGCACACCTGGAGGGTAATTTTAGCGTCCTTGATGTAGTCGTCGGTGATTTCGTACCAGCCCATGATGAAAATGGAACGCGGTTTGTTGCGTCAGGCTGCGGCTTGCTGGTGTTCTCGGGAGATAAGAAAGTCGCTGGGCGATATAGTATGGTACCAAAAGGAAAGAAGAACCTGGGGCTCGCTGGAAGGCATCGCGGCTACTTAAACTCCGAGGCTTGAGCAGCCTAATATTCTCAGGATTGCACGCAGCAAGACAGACCACATGATATGCAGGTGCACTACGCCGCAAACTCCTGCATGAGAATATCATCATTGGAGCTTCTTGGGCTTATTGAGACAGACTTGCCCAATGGGGAAGTAAAAAGTTCATTGTACGTGCGAAGCAGCAAGGTTGTTCCACTAGGTCTTACTGCTCTGATCAGTGACAAGCGTGGCTCATCTCATCACAAGCGAGCTGAACAGGGATCGATTAATGTCACGAATCAGCATACAGAGTAGCTCATGGAAATCGGGATCTCAACTGTGGTCTAATCAACTATGGAAAGGGGAAAAGGGAAGCCCTTGAGGGAGCCCCTTTTGTATGCCAATACCTCTGTCTACCCCTTATCTCTACCCCTGAGATATCCACTGCTATACTTCTTTCGTGACAATTAACCTGTTGACAGGCCAGGCAACGACAGAGGCTAAGAGGGGAGCAAATACCCCACTCATACCACGTCTTCTTTGTGACCGCACAAATCGATTTGGTCGACTACAATATGACTGGAGGTAAAACATATCTTCGCCAGACTCCAACAACTTGCTTTCGCATTCGACTCTGGTTAGCTACTTATCTAAGTGTTGCGTTACCTCTTCGAACCCGTCGAATTCGAAGAGAAAATGCTGTCAGCAGTGTATTCTAAAACCCAGGTACCGGCTTCCCAGGTTTCCCAATCCTCCTCATTCTCCGCATTTCCAAGCATCTTAAGAGCCTTGACACGCCACTTGTAAGTACCAGCGGGTACGGGAGCTTTGTTATCATCGGAACCATCCCAATACCATGTTGAACCATTCCAAGGGTCCTCTGACGTACTCTGGTATGATTTGACGACTTCCTTTCCGGTCTTGGCATCCACCATGCGAATGGTCATGTTACGCGACTGCAAGAGTAGGGAGACATCAATGCTGGGAAATTCGTTGCCAGGGAAAGAAGCTGGAACATCTGCGGTCATGTTCAACGTGCAGGTATAAACGCGGCCTGATTCAGCATGCGATGACCGGCCGGCGGTCACATTGTACGCTGAGAGATACGATTTATCGCGGTTGATGCTGTGCAAGGTAGTGAGGGGTGCGCCGAAGCCCGTATAGGGTAGCGAGAGTCTGTCAACGTCGGTTGCGCCCTTGGCTTCAATGTTTATGTAGCCGCCAAAATAGGAGACTCGAGTGGAAGCTTCCGATAAGTCGGGCTCCTTTGAGATTGAGACCGAAACTGTGGCAGTCTTTCCTGGCCCAATTGAGAGAGTTGTGGGGGAAATGTTGACCTCGGCGTATACGGGATAGACCACGGCTTTAGTGAGTTGGTAGCCATCGGCCTTGTCGAGAACATAGCCAGAGCTGGCTCCAACATGACTCAGTTGGTAGGCGGTAGTCTCCAATCCGGTGTTCTTGATGGTAAAAGTCAACTCTTTGGGACGATTTGCTGTGTCATTGAAGGAAAGAGCAGAGGCGTCGAGTAATGTAGCGGAGTTAACTGCTCCCCAAGCGTCGACAAGACCAGATCCTTGTTGGAAGACTGGCGCTAGGAAGTCTCCCGTGTTTCCCATTCCATCGTACCACTTGACTGGGCGGGATGTGGCTGCGATCACATTTCGGATCTCTTCAGAGCTGTAGTCTGGATGCTGCTGTTTGACAAGTGCAGCGATGCCGGCGACGAACGGCGTGGCCTGACTGGTGCCTGACGAAACATGATTGTCAATAATAGCCTGCGGAGCTCGTGAATAGACGTTGAACTTACCGCTAACTACTCCGTAGCCTCCAAGCCATCCAGGGAAAGTGCTCAAGATATTGCCGCCGGGAGCATGGAAGGCGGGCATAGATCCTGCTCGAAGAGTTGGACCCCAGCTGGTGAACGCGGTGCTCAGGAGGCCGGACCGGTTATTTGCCTTGTAAGTGAGACTGACGTCTGCAATAGAGACGTCATTTGCCAGAAAGACTTGGACAGAGTCATGTTTCGCCTTCGCATTCAGTAGTTGCTTTGCTGTTTCATAATCGACCGTGACATATCCCTTCTGATTTGCTGCAGAGACCTCCAGGAAGAGCGGTCCTTCAGAAACAGTGTAATTGCTCCAGCTGTAGTACATGGCATACGGAATGCCAAACTCTTTGGTAAGAGAAACTGATGAGTTATCGGCCGCCATCCAGCATTGGTCGAACTGGGAGAGGAAGATAACTTTGGACAAGTCGGCCGGCAAAGTAGACTTGTCCGGAAGTAGCTGGCAACCATTAGTGTTGGGTGTGTCTGAAGTCCAGACTGTCAAACCCTCGTTTGATGGGAAGTCGAAAGGCAAGCCAGGGACGAAACGAATGGGTCCGCCTTCATCCCCTGCAGTCCAATTGCCTCCCCAGTTGTAGTAAGGAGTTTGCGAGTTATCAGTAGACCCGACGGCGGCAACGGCATCTGCGCCTCCGGGACTGGCGCCTGTAAAGATGCCGGGGCCACCATTCCCAGCTACAAGGGAAACATAGGTGCCGTTATTGAATAGTCGCGTAGCCACAATAGACCAGGGGTCTTAATATTGTCAGTACGTTCCTTGGGCTTAGATATGAGTATGCGGCCAAAATACCTTCAGGGAAAGTGAGATCACCTCCATACGAGCATGAGATAACATCTACGCCTCTCTCTGCAGCCTCGAGGAACGAGTTGATGATTGCGTCATCCGCAGTTCCAGAGGTGCAGCCTGTAATACGGTAAAGCTCATACGTGGCATCCGGCGCTACGCCAACGACACCGAATTTACCCTCATCACCCTTGGCTCCCACAATGCCCAAAACGTGCGTGCCGTGGAAGGAACAGTTGTCACGGACATCATTATCACCGTCTGTCATGTCGTGGGCATAAGCAATGTTGGTTTTGCTCAGGCCCGGGGTATCAACATCGAAACCACTGTCAATAACAGCCACACGGATGCCTTTGCCCGTGATGTTGCTGGCATGAAGCTTTGACACTCCAGTATCCACGTGCGTCGGCAAGGTATTGGCTGCGATGCCGTCTCTCGCGTTGAGAGCTGAGATCTGGGACAAGTCGCGCTTGGACGATCCATGAGTAATGCTTCCCCAATTACCGTCAGAAATTCCTGGAATCCTCGGCATGTAGACGGCCGGTGTTGCTGAAGTTACTGGCCATGCCTTGTGAATGCCATCGATTGACTGTAGCGTCGGCAGTACTGACTTTCGAGAAACTCCATCGTTGGTGCAGTCGACGTTGAAAGATCCTCCTTGGAATACGGCGTGAGTGAAATGGAATCGCGAAGATGCTGTGCAGTCAAGGCCGGAGGCTGCTAGAGATGTCTGCGCTCGGCTGATGAGATCCTCTGCGCTCTGTCACCGTGTTAGTGGCATCTCTACTGCGGTATTACAATTGTGTGTTTTTACCAATTGCATGGATACGTCGAACTCAACAACAAAGGCGTCATTGTAATCAGAGAAAACCAACCATGGGAGGCAAGCTGCAAAGGCAGACTGCTTAACGAATGACTTCATGATGGTCTAGCAGACAGTTGAGTAAACCAAAACTTCCAAGCACAATGCTTCGGCCATGGTCAGTAATCGCCTCAAGCCTTATAAAATGTCCTTAGTTCCCTGGGGAAGACCCCTGACTCGCGCGAACCATCGCGGGCCCCCCTACTGTAGAGTGCAATACGGGCTTTCGCTTTCGGTGCAAGCCAAATTCCCAGTGGTCGAACTCTAACATATTGAATGCAATTACCGACTTCTCCGTATCCCATCGAGTGCCACTTGACGCCATTTTCGCCAAGGGCGGGGTAGAGCCAATAAGAAGCTGTAAATCTATTAAGTTAACCAATAGGGTTACAGTACCTCTATTGTCTATATATTCTGCGTATGCCAGAGGTACCAGCAATCCCCTTGGATACATAAGGGTACGTTGCAGTCTAAGCAGCCCTTCCTCGTGTACTTACGCTGCGTGAAGCTATTCCCAGATATCTCGCCTAGTGCCTTGCGGGCCCTTAATGCCCTTGTATTACTACAATAAGAACAAGGGGGATTAACCTTCCGTGACCCCTTTGTATGGTGTTCCCATGGGATAGAGGTATTCCTTTTATCTATAGCCCGTCTAGGCCGTGACCTCTGCCGCCCTTGTGCTAATGGTCCAAACTGCTGGATAACCTGGGCTGCAAGCAGCTGACGCCAGCGGTAGTGGGTTTTCACCTTCTGCCACCTAGGGCTGCCCCATAGCTGCAGTAAGAAGCTATTCACAACTACCACTTCTAGTAGGAAATTCCAGGCAATTGACTGCCAGCCCCCTCGACGAATGGGGTGGCTATATTGATAATAGGACCTCATCTGGTCACTCACATCAACCCCATTCATCTTGTGGTTGTATTCATCAATTGCCCTAGGGATTGGTAGGTCCTTGCGGACGTCTGGGCCAAAGACTTGCCGGGCAGCCCTCTTGGCAGTGGAATTCCCAGCTGGGCGACGGCGGCTGCGAACAACCTCCTCGCCGTTCTGTAAGACAGTTGATAGGAATAGTACAAGGGCATTATCCTTCCAGGTAAACTGGTTAACCTATTTACGAGTTAGCTACGTAGGCTAGGCTAGGCTAGGCTGGGCTGGGCTGGGCTGGTAGCTTACCTCCCCATCTAAAGTAGGGATACAGTGTACTTCACCCCAGGGGATATCCCCTCCTTCAGTCTCTTTCTCATCAACTAAGGTCTTATCTATCCCACTATCCTTTCGACAGGTACCAGAAGCTCCAACCTGTTGCTTCCGTAGGGTACGAAAGAGCCGTATAGAGGCGAAGAGGTTGTCAAGAAAGACGTGGTAGGTTGCAGCTGGAAGTAGGGAAACTAGGGTAGTTACTACCTGCTGTGTTGGTGTCAACAGAGCCAGCTTTCCGGCAGCCAGCCCAGCTGGCTGGGCCTGGGGGACTAATGCGTATGGGCCCCTTCCATGTACGTGACACAGCCACCGTATACAGTAGCCAGACTGGGCAAGGATCCAGATCTTATAGCCAGTTGGAATAGGCTTCGTTGGAATCGTTGTTGTCTCAAGAGATCGACCTATAAATCGAACCATAGCCTCATCAACTGTAAGATCTGAACCAGGTATATAAAAGGAATCCCCAGTCTCTTGGATATGGGCTGACCACTAGTCAACCTTCCAGTATACATCTAGCATTTAATCTTGAGCCCGGCCCCTGCCCCGGCCCCGGCCCTGGCTGGGCTGGCTGGGCTAGAACTCAGCAGTATTAAATATCCGTAGTCGCCGGAGCAGTAATTGGAATTCGGTTTCTAGAAATAAACCGCATAAATAGGTAGATAGGATCCTCTCTTTACTCTTAGGTTGACCAATAGGTTGATAATGCAGATTCCCTATGGATCCCTATATATAATAGGATCCCTAGGAAGAGGTAGATCTCTTCTACTGAAATCTGCCGCCATGAATTCACTCCAGACGTTCTAGCCCTAGGGCCAGACAACGGCATCGCATTTGTCCACTGGACCCACGACTCCACGAGGCTCTGCGGAACGTATTGGACGAAGAGATCCAGCGGGCTTGCCGGCAGCTGCTGTACTTCTTGGGCCCGGGCTGGCACGTCAAAGGGCCGGAAGGAGCCCGGAGGTCCATGCTCGGTAGCTGGAGGTTCGTGGGGCCGGACTGTTGCTGCGTCACAGCGTTCTGGCGTACAGTCTGTATTACAGGCAGCAGTAAGGTCTTCTGGAAGGATCTCAACTACTATACAACTGCGTACGGAAGTAATAGAAGCATCGGAATCACTAGAAGACATCGCAGCATTAATCGAAATGGTAGTAATAGTGGTGATACTAGGCAAAAGAGCATAGGGATAAGTGACGTATTGTTAAGTACCCCTTTGAATGCGGGGTAATAAAGTGTAAATAGTGGGTATTTTGGGGCTTGGCAAAAATGGCGTCAAGTGGCACTCGATGGGATACATTTCTCACAATTCTCGGCGCGGTTTTTGCGCATTGTCGTAGAAGTAGCATAAAGGGGCCGGCTCTGGATTTTCGTTCTGTACGATAGCCCTTGGCGCAATAATTACTTCAACTCTTACCCTGCATCTGTGCAGTAGACACAGTACCTTACAATCACATTCTCTTGGCAGCTTTGTATCTGGATTGCCCGTGGCCAGACCATGCCTCTATGCTCTTTTGCAACATCTCGATTCGGCGTACGTAGCTGCGATTTTTGCTTTAGCAAACTTGCAGGGCGACAAATTGGCACTCGAACGTATCCAAACTCAGTCCCACTTTGAATCCAAGCAACCTAACCACACAAGCATGTACCCGCTCCGGCCTGGCCGCACCGAAACATCCGGACTTGTGTACGTTTGCACGGCCGAAGGAGAGAAACTTCATTTGTAAGGCCGCTAGTTCGGCGGTCGAGAGTTAAACAGGCCAGCCATCGTAGTCGAATCATAATGCCTCCGTAATTCCGAAGCAACTCGTTGAATCCCTTCAGATACATGTGCTTCTCAGAACCAATAACTCATTACCTAAGCCCGTTGTCGGCTGCGGTCATCGATGATACTTCGAACATCAATAGCATAGTGTTGGTATCCCTATCACAGGAAAGTTGGTTCGAACCGTAGGGTCCTGGGGGTGACGAAGTATCAATATCTCTGCATTGATTGATTCTGCGTAATGTGTAAAAGGGAGATCCCAACCGTAGGTTGGTTGGGTAGTCGCGGTCTAATTGTACCACCTCGAGGTGGCCCATGCTCTTGCCCTTATCCGCGGTCGAATTGGACTTCCAATCCGACAATAGTGCCACTTCATTACCTTTAGACATTTGCTTCTCTCGTTGAGGCACTGGTGTCCAAGGCCAATAGTTAGTTGCATCACCAAAAGCGTCCTGGAACAGACTTAGAGATACCGAAATCTCGAGTGCTGTTGTACCAACATAGGAAAAGCGTGGAAGGAGATGTGAGAGTGAAGGGTAAATGGTGTTATTTCGAACCAAGTATGTGTGATTCCTGCACCCTAGGGAGAAAGGACAGCCTGAAATCGACTATTAGTCCCTGCCAACAGCCCATTTGGTGGCATCCCTCAACCAAGAAAAGACCATGTCGGTTCCCTTTGACCCATTTCTGGCAACAAGACCCCTCTTTGGGTCGGGGTCTGGACCAGGCGCGTTGAAGGCTTCGACCAAGCGTGTGTTATCTTTGCCAACTTCCAGAATTGATCCTCCGACAAGTGCCTCCTCCTCAACGCATCGTAGCATTGCCTCAGCAACCTCCCGCGGAGTGACCCAACCATCCTGAGCTTCGTCCAGATTAACCAGCTTCTCTGGGTGCTCAGTCCAAAGCGGAGTTCTTACGACGCCGGGTGCAACAGCGTTGACGCGGACGCCATCGGTCTCTTCCAAGCGAGCGAGACTGCGAACAAACCCAGTGATGGCGAACTTAGAAGCTGCGTAGAGAGGTGCATTGATGTTCGCAACCTGTCCAGCCACTGATGAGATGTGAACTATGCGCTTTGGGTTCTGGGGTGAAGCTTTGATCGAAGGTGGTAGGGCGGCATTCGTGACCTCCTTAGGATGAAGCCAGTAGGAGATGGCTAGCTGCGTAGAACGAATTGGATGAGTGATATTGATGTCAAGTAGAGCATATTTTCCGCCGTCTACACTGTCCTTGCTCTCGGATGATCCAGGCGGGTGCCAGAAGTTGGACCAGTGCGGCTCATAGACGCCCGCTCCGGGACAGAAGATGTCGAAACCCCCAAATTCATCAATGGTAACTTTGAACATGTTGGATAGCGCCGGCCATGAGGTCACATCGGTCTTGACGAAAACTGCGCGTGGCCTGCCGTTTGTCTCCTCTTGGTTGCTCGAGACGAGCTGCTCCGCCTCTGGTCGACGAGCGAGGTCAGCAATGACGACATTGCAGCCACGCTCAAGGAGCAGTTCAGCAAAAGAAAAGTTGATGCCTATGTTTCATTCAATGGGTTACTCAAGATATTATAATGCGAATGTGGTGGGTGAGCTGGGACTGCATACCTGACCCAGCCCCTGTGATGATGGCCGTTTTTCCGGCCACGTTGTAGGGCGCGATCGATTTCGTGACGGTCATGTCGCCGAATACGTCTGAAGTATTGGGTAAATCAGCTGAAAATCGAAAGATATTCGTTGCCCGAGTTTCTGGTTCGCGAAGGCAATTTTGGAAAGTAACGCCTCACTGTGTTTTGAGGGTGTTACGAGGAACAAGCTGTTGTTCTGAGTAGTGGTTTTCTGGGAGAACAGCCAAGAGTAAGAGAAAGTACATCGACAACTTTGGCGAGGGGTGAGAACATGAATAGACTTGGACCTGCTCGCGAGGCCGACGATCGGACCCTGAGCTTTGCCGAATAAGACGAACTGGCGAAAGACATGCCCACGTCATGCTGCAACGCCATGCGTGGCTTCTCCACGGGGTATGCTCGGTTTACCCCACAGAGGAGCTGGGCGAGACAAGTGTAGGCGTGGCTAACCTCACCCAGGCGCTTAGACTTGCCGAAATTAGATACCACAAAAGATGTCACGAATCAGCATACAGAGTAGCTCATGGAAATCGGGATCTCAACTGTGGTCTAATCAACTATGGAAAGGAGAAAAGGGAAGCCCTCGAGGGAGCCCCTTTTGTATGCCAATACCTCTGTCTACCCCTTATCTCTACCCCTGAGATATCCACTGCTATACCTCTTTCGTGACAAAAGATCACATCCCACTCATGCCGGAGGAAGAAGGGCCAACGAAAAGCTGACTCAGTCAAAAGAATTCCAAGGGTTGGTAGAATTAAAAAGGGGGCCGTTGGTGTTCGAGATGCACCAGGATTCTGATAATATTCAGATGGAAGCATACATGTACACCAAACCACTACTGGCTAAGTTTCCAACACTAATATCAGTCGTAGACGTTGTGAGCTTGTCAGTCAGGATTATAAGAAATGGCAGCACTATAGGTGTCAACGCAAAGTAGAAATGCAAGGTACTAAGTCTTCTAGTCTATTGAAGGGTATTGAAAATTGTAAGTTGAAAGGCAATTTCCCTAGTACAAAGTATATATCAAAGCTTTTCAAACGTTGTTCTCAATTGCTTTTTGTACGGAGTCTACCACGGAGCTGAACTTCCCCAATGTCATGAGTGGCGAAGTAACAGTCATCTGAGCGAAGAACCCAAGTGTCGAAACCAGATATCTGAAGATTGTGGCCCGCTCGTTCGCCCTCGAAATGAAAGTTGCAACTAGGCAGAATGAGCTGACGGCAATGCGTACAAGATTCCTGGAAAGACATTTGGTCAGTGCTGAGACCGTAGAAGACAGCGCGAAGGAGACATACTGATTTGTGCCGGCTTTGGTAGGATCAACTTCGACGAGTAACTTCAAAATGTCAATGGCAGACTCGAGAACCTTTTGTTCTATCTTATCAGAGATTGAGTCGCCCAATGGTCTGGCTGAAAATCTTCCGCAGACACACACTACCAGATCAAAGTACAGCAGGCTTGTTGAGATGTCCCCTTGAGAGGGCGTCGTACTTGGGCTGTTGGGTGAGGCGATTCTCGAGTCCCACATCGTGGTGGGTGCTGGTCTTCGTGCATTGAAAACGTCAACTCTCAATCTTTAAGCTGTTCCAACCAGTGATCTACATTTTCTGATGTGAATACCGTCGACCGGGAAAGAGCTTCCTGTATGTCAAATTCGTCTGCTATTCTGGCACAGCATTGAGCCAGACGGTAACGAACCCCAAAGGTCTGCATTGACGGCCTCCTAGGTCCGATCTCGGGAGACATAGGCTCGTGGTCGATGTAAGCATTATTCAGAGCCTAAATGCGAGGAGAAAAGTTAGTGCGTGACTTCTGTGGCTGATGATAAAATCGCGAATGAAAATGGCGAGCTTACCGAAGCTTGTCCGTTGCGCAACCGAAAAGGCTTTTCAATTATGTACAGCAACCAAAACGCGTGGTTCAACAATTCGACTTCCTCACTGGTCTGGCAGACTATCTTGAGGCATGCCAGGCTGTTTAGTCTCAACGATTGAGCGCAAGCAACTGCAGCACCGAGCAACCAATCAGTGTCTGCCGGTTTCCAAAAGGTTGAGGCCACGAGCTTTACGAGAAGTGTCAGCTACATTCCCACAGGGCTCACAGCCTCTTAAATCGCTATTGCTTACCATTGTGATCAGTGCCTATTTGATTGAGTCAGAATAAGCTCAGTATACTTGGGCAGCACTGGAAGTATAAGTACCTTGAAGTTCAGAGCTGATGGAGGACACGAGTGCAGTTTCTCGACATGCACCATGGCATTGCTATAAAAGCATCTCATGTTCGACTCTGTCTCTTTGGAAGGGAAGGATTGTCGCATCGAGATTGAGCAACCAATAGAAAGTGCGGCGTATACTATCGAACTCGTAACATGGTCCGACATCCCTTTCATAACCACCTCTTCAAAGAGTCGCAGAATTTCAGAGTCTTTAACATATTTCAACCCACAAAGACAGATGGTTAGATCACACTCATACTACCAGCAGGCTTTGTACGCTGGACTATCTCAATACTTACAGATATGGTTCAGATGCGGTGAAAGCTGCCAGCAACAGTTAGCCTCAGTTCTCAACCCCATCAAGACTGCTCCTGGAATTGATAGCAGTGTACCGTGAAGAAACTCAACTAGTGTGTCAAGGCTAGGTTGAACGCTTTGGTGGGAACTCTTCGGAAGCTTTGGGCTGTAACAGCAGGTGGTAGATTCGTCTACAAGATCCATGAGGTTCTGCCCAAACTGTTTAGAATTGCAAGAACTCCGATCTCTTCCTATAAGGAGCTTCACCATCTCGGTTGTTGAGTACGCAGATGTCACTGATCATCCTGTAAGCTGGTATACTGTCTCCCAGAATTATGGCTTGCAAGCATACCATGAACAGAATGGTCGATGATGCTCTCATCGGTGGTTGTCTGCAGAGTTTCAAGGCTCCAGTCGGCCGATGCAACACTATCAAACTCCTGGAATCCAGAGACGCTTTGGCCATTAGATAAGAGCTGCGTGCTCCAACAATAATCCAATGCTGAAGAGACTGGGCTGGCGATGATCTCCGTGCTCTGTGCTCCTAGAGCATCAGGCGAGTTCAGTAGACCACCTGACAACGGTCCCCAGTGTTCTTCAAGGGATTCAGTCGTCACCGGGGCCGGGAATTGCCCAAGATCCAATAGCCTATTTACACCTGAGAGTGATGACTGAGTTGACGAGGGCCCAAAGTAGTTCAGGTGATCTGTCGGTGAAGGGGGTGATGTGGATTGCTGTGACGTGAAGTTGAAATCATCGAATGATGCACTTTGTCTGGTTGTCGCGTTCAAGCCTGGTCGGATGTGCTTAGCTGCTGTATGGCAAACAACGCAGTATAGTTGAATCTTCTTACTGTTCTGACTGGATCTTCCCCTCTTCTTTGGTGTGACGTAGAAGCAGAAGGAGGCGGATGACTGCAAGTAATGAGATTCCATGGCGTCCAGTCCAGCCATAGGTACACTTACAAGGCACTTGTCGCAACTCGGCCTACCGCCATTGCCTATGAATTGTTATGCTACTGCTTCGAAGATGTTCTTCAGCTTCTCAACTCACATTTTCGTTTTCGTACTTTGCATGTTTCGCAAGCGCCGGGTCGACGTTTGTATACTCTTCCACCGATGTCCGTGGTGTTTGCTGAGGTCGGCGAAGACATCGCAAGAAATGGCTTGGAATGGAATATGATGGATGGGATGGCAGAGGAAACAGACACAAGAGAGCTTATATCGTCGGAGTCATGCTGTGTTGTGGGGGTCTTGGAATATGTAAACCATCGCCGTAGTTCAAAGCACTGATAGACCCCGGGCCGTGATTTCCGAGTCGAGAAGCAGTAGATCATCCCGCGAGGACCATCCAAGGTAAGGTAGACTGGTAACTCCATCCCTGCCCAATGAGTCCTGAAAGATCTAGCCGGCCATGGTTCTTGACCTACATGTAACAACTATCTTGTCTCTGGAGGACGCTACTGAACCTTGAACAGGCAATGCTTGAGTCCTGCGATCATCCAGACGCCTCGTGGAATGAATTTCTTCTGGACTTCTAGCCGAACTTTGATGGCTTGGCCCCCCTACGCTCCCTGTCTCTCAGCTCAGGTCCCCATTGTTTCTAGGCCCGTTCCTGTTCCCTGGATACTAGCAGCTTGGGTGCATGTCTCGAGAGACACATGTATGGCGGGCAAGGCCTCCGTTCTCCTCTTTGGAGTCGGCCCCACCCGCCGCATCGTTCACTTAGAGTACCTCTGGAAAAGCTCAGTGCGACAGCCACGGACTTCCATTGGAGAAAGAGTTGTGATGATCTGTTTCAGAAGATTCTTTTATCCGAAGAAGGCTTCCTTGACTATTCCAGATGGTGAGCATTACCCGTAACATGTGGATCAACTTCGGATTTCTCTCTCAGACTTTAAGGTCATCCAGTCACAAAATTCCCTTCACTGGATCGCTATCTGTTCGTTTGCTCAATTCACAACAGGAGGAGAAGCTGCTGGGCCAAATTTTCTTACAGCCCAGCTACTTTTCCCCTCTCGCACATGAGGTCCTCCATTCCTCAACTGATCGAAGTTCTGGATCTGGCATTTGTTCCTCTCGCTGCATTTGACGGTCTGCTACGTGGTCCCGAATAATGTCAGACGCAGTGTTCAAGGGACCAAGGCATTAGAGCTACCAGATATACGTCCATTGTTATTACGTCCATGGTGTTACGGGCTGGACCCGATTAATGGATCCGGGCTAAGGCCCGGATTCTGCCACGACTTACCGCGCCAATTCCGCGTGGGTCCCACTTGAACGTTTTTCCTCTGCGGAATCCCCGCCCCAAATCTCTCCTCTTCAGCTTAGATTCTATATACTGAAATCACCCCTACGTGGTCTCACGAGGGCTGGGCTCTTAACACATGGCAACTTGCATCGATGATCGCCATGGGAAATGGTATCAGCGCTGCCAGCCGGATTGCTTCACCAAAGCCATGAACTCAAACGGGGCGGAAATGGCCTGACTTTGACTTACCGTGATGTTATCCGAATGAATGTTGAACAAAATTAGACCTCCCGCTGGGGTCGCAACTCTGACGTTAAAGAAAATATGCATGCGTTGACTCGGGTGTAGGTGCGTGAACTCTATTTCATGACCCAATTCGTAATTCGGAAGCAGGCTAGGGCCTTGCTCGTGGTCTCCCGTGGTTGAAACTAGCGAAGCTTGGTAGATCTTCGGTAATGTTGAGTTCCTTCGATTGCATCGTTTGCCAGAACGAATACCATCGTGGCCTGATTCCAGACCAAACTTAGGCTGGCTAGGACGGGCTTGGCCTTGGTCTGCCCGCTCTCGTACTTGGTCGTATTGTCCTCAGCCCTATCCGATGGCCTGGAATCCTGGAAGCTAGCCTCTTCAACCAGTGAATCTCCTCATACCGGGCGAAGGAAGTCTATTTCAAATCCCAATTGGGCGAGCTGACGCAAACAAAAACTCAGTGCCTCGCGACTTCGCTAATGTCGCGCGGGGAACTGTCAATCCCGCGGGGTACCGGTTCGCTTCCCCAGTAAGGTTCTGGGCGCAAGTCTCCAGCAGGCAAAGGTCCAGCCATAACCACCTTATCTTGCATTGTCAACATAAGGCTAGCTTATGCTGCTCCCAGCATACTTACGGTGTGTCAGAGCTTCTCACCTGAAGTCTGGGTGATATCAAGCATTCTGGAGTTGCCTACAGCAACAAAGCGTCAATGTTTCTAGTTCGAATGGGCATCTCTGGAAACGCTTCATAATATGTCATAAACATGATGAACTAGACGTGGTTTATCCCATTCCGAGAAGCACAGCGATTACGACGAGGAGTCGGCCGGTGAACCTCTTTGGTTCCACGTATGTTATCTGTGATTAACCTATTGATACAGTCTCGATCTGCGATTTCGTTCGAAACACGCCTTGATTTCTACTAGTCTTCGTCGAGAGCCTCCTCATATCGGGCCGTTTCATATCTCTGACAGTGCCTACGTTAAGCTAATCCGCAATGTAAGAATTCTCAAGCACTCATTGTAAGGAGGGGCTGAGCCTGGTCGGATATTCCGAGATCACAAAACTCGCCGGCTCACCAGACGACCGGGAGCGCCCGTGGAGTTATTCTCGTGCTGGGGTCTAGCGTGGCAGATGAGCAAAAATCTTCAATTTCACACAAAACCCCCATCTTCCTGCCGTCTACAGCTTTTCTCTTTTCTCGAGATGACTTTTAGTGTAAATTGAGTTGATAGGAAAGTCCAACCAGTCGCAACCTCTGCCTTTCCCCGCCTCCTCACGCCTTACTTCTTGCGGCTGTCTGGGAACACTGACAGTTGCGGCTATTATATCATGAACTCGGGCGATATGAATATAACGATGCTTTTTCTATAGCCACATTTGTCCACAGTCATTAACCTCAGTATTCTCGAAGAAGACTAATGATGGCGATCATTTCCGGGAGGTCTGGCCTTGCCCCGTCAGAGGTGTAAGTTTCCGGTATTGATTGCACGCTAGGTGAGGCTGTGCCTGTGCCGAGAACCGACCACGTCTCATGAACAGGTGAGGAAATAAGTCTAAATAAATCGCTCACTGGCTTACGTTGGAGAATTCCTGATCAGCTATGACTGGGCAGATAAAAGTTGGAATGATACTCCAGCCTCTCTTCCTGCAGATGCCGACAAGGCCGCCACAGTACCTATTGAGCGGCAAGATTCTTCTTTCCAATGCCATTCGCACTGCAGAACCACAGACCATCAGACTAGCCGTAGATAGGTTAACGGAAAGGCATCCAGCAACCCGCCACCGATGCGTTCTTATCTTAAACTAGCTATGGATTTGGCCCAATCAAATGATCCATTACACGACGAAAAGCCGTTACCATGCTTTTCTTGACTCATGAAGGCGTTGTCAGTTGATAGGACCTTGAAAGGCCACCGATTTCCAACACTGACCTATGGCAATAGACACTTGATATTCCCAAAGAATCCGAGCGTTCAACTACATCTCGACGGGGTCACGCCCAGTACCACGGACCGAAATTGTCCAAATCGAGTAGTTCGGAAGCTGTCGCAAAAACGACGCCGTTGATTACGGGCAGCAATTAACGCCATATATACCCTACGACAGAAGCTTTATGTCATCCACCCTACTCTTCTTTTGGACAGAGACCTGTACGGCAGACTGCAAGAGGCACTCCGCCAAAACACTTTTTTCATGCGTCAAAGCAGAAATCGAATTTAATAATCACCCCACCACCGATTATTAGACTTTACATTAATGAGATAAACTATAGATATAGTTTAAGTAGAATTACGGCTTAAGATATATTATTAATTAAACATATAGGACTCCGTACGGTGGTATAGAGAACTATAGGGTAGTATATAATAAACTTCTTAGGTTCTAAAATTAACTAGCTTATAGAACGTAGTAGGAAGAGAGGTCAAGGAGTCTATAGATAATATAAGAAATTATAAAATAAGGAAGCTATTATATGGAGATATACTGTTACGGCCAGCTAGTCGTAGGGGTAGTTTGCAGAAGTTGAGGCTGCGGAACTGGTAACAGTAATCGTAGTCGTGGATAGCTTCAGGGAAGCTATGTCTGTAAGTCGTAAGGGTAGGTAAGGCTTCGGTGATCAATCGTAGTCTTGTCAAGGTAGTAGCTGAAAGCGGATGTTAATCCTGATACGAAGTTAATTGCTGAAGAGCTATGGAAAGTCTGTCCTAGAGTCCGGCTCGAGTCCATCCTATATACAAGTCCTGGTCCTGAACATATCCCTTGTCAATGATCAGTTCCTCTGATCGGGTGAGCGCTCATTGTTCGGCATGAGCGCTCATTACTTGGCATGAGCGCTCATGGCCCCACCATGGCCGCTCATGTCTTATCTTATCATCACGTGACTTGTACCATAGTTCTTCCGTTCCGTGAGAGGGTGCCTATTGTCCCTTATCTCCTGCATATGTGGTGTATTATAACCGCCGCGAGCCTGCGGGGCAGGCCCTGTTCTTGGTCATGCATGTTGGGTTGTAACAAGGGCCTGCCCCGCAGGACCACGGCGACTAGGGCACACCATAAGTGCACGAACTATGGGAACACATGCGTCACCCTACGGAACGGAAGAACTATGGAGCAAGTCACGTGATGGTAAGATAAGGAAAGCCGTATGCCAAGAATACGGAGTCCGTCCCTTTGAGGTACGGAACTTCTGAACACATACCTCGAAAGGTACCCACTGTTAGTAACTGTTAAGGTTATAGAGGGCTACGGCCCACTGCACTATCATCTCTCAACATCAGCCCATACGAGCTGAATTCCACGACCATGGCGGTCTCCCTAGATGTAGGGCCATCGATTACGGTTCACGGGGACGTCGGTATATCTCGGCGGTCGGGACGAGTCCGGAAGCCGACTGCAAAGGTTAGAGTGGTTGAGCAGGTTAACCACCAGGACAACTCTGAGCTTAAAGACGAGATCAACAAGCTTTCGAATCTTGTCCAGGACCTCCTACGTCGGGACGCCGAGAGGGAACAGTTTTTGAAAGACTGTTTGACGAAGATCGAATCCTTGGAGAGAGAGCTTCAGGAGGAGAAACAGCGTTCAAACCGGCATCAACGTGGTCTAGCAAGGTCTATGTACGCTATTGGCACAGGGCCTAGCGAGACTGACCTGA